TTTTTCAAATAAACGCACGCGCTGGGCACGCGAGGCGCATGCGCGTAACGCAGTCTGTACAATTTACCGACGTTGTCATGTAACATTTCGTAAAAGCGGCCTTTTAACTAAAAGCGGTCATAAAAGAAGGAATGAGTATGGCGTCTTTTAGCAGCGGTCCGATCGTCTTTAATTAAAAAACGTTTAAAAATGCTGCTAAAAGTGAGATATGAGTAAGGGCCTTTGTATTTCGTTATACTCGGCGGGGTACTTTTATCGGTTGGTTGGTATTCATGGCTACGTTCTGAAATTATACCGTGATTGTTCCGTTGGAAGGGCAGCACGGTGTCATATCTTCTCTCTTTTGCATCATGGCTGGACTTTATCTCCCCGCCCGCGCATTAAGTTACCCGCAAGTACTAGCAATAAGACTTTCGAGATTCAGCCCGTGATTGTCACGCGTTTCCATTTATTTCTCGTGCAGATTGTCCCACCTGACAGTTTGAATGGAAATACATTTCATTGATAAAAAGCGGATTGATGGTGAAAGTCACCTAGCCGTCAATTCGGAACGCGCCCTTGGAGACCCGTCTCCTAAAGTGCCGACAGCGCCGCCGACTAATCGCCATTAGCGTCGGCGCCCTTTTCCTCGCGTTTTCCGCTTTCGACTCGACGCCTGTCGACCATTCCGCGTTATCGGAAAGATTCACTCTAATAGTTTCCCGATATTCGTCGACCGTTGCTTTAACTTCGATATTCCAGGAGATACAGCCGAACGAAATCTCGAGGTGAACCGCGCGGCCGTTCGGGAAGAAATTGATAACGTCCGGCCTCGGTGTCCATAAAACTTCGTAAACTCGTCCCCCGTGTGCGATCTTAGATCATCGTTATTACTTAATCACGTAGTTCTCATCCAATGTCCACCGCGTCCCCAGGTGAATTTCTCGAGGTCCCCGAATAATCGATGAAGGCAGTCGAAAGTCTAAGAGCGAAACCGGGCCGGCACAAACGGCGTACAATTAACCTGGGACGATTTACACCCGAAAATCGCCGGACGTTAAGCCGTAATTAAGTTCTCGGACATGTCGGCCAGAGTTGTGCGCGCGCATCGACACGCGAACGTAACGAACGGTCGCGAGCTGATTCTCGATTCCCGATCCTCGGCCAATGATCAACGTCTCTCTCACCTGCCGCCTCTTTCACCTCACGGCGGGTCCGCGACTGTATCGATCGCACTTTCCCCCAATTACCGGCCGATTTTGCTCCATTTTTCTGCCCCCTCCGCTAGAATTCCGTCAAACGAACGTGCACTCACAAGAGCTAGATTTGTCGATCCTCACCTTTCATGGAAACGGATTCGTATAACCGGTATAATCTCGATAATCCTAAATTAGTCTTAAAAAGCATAGTTTCCATCATTACAACGCCTTCCTCCTTTTCTACAAAACAACGGTTTTATCGTCGCCGACTTTAAAAATAGACCTGTTAAGTCTTGAATTATTTAAATTCAAAATTTAACGCACGGTGAAAACATATTTAATGAACCTGGAACTAGAAAAAAATCGGATCGACGGCAACCCTTTGGACAAAACGACATCTTTATTGTTAGCGACTTTAAAAATAGTCCTGTTAAGTCTTGAATTATTTAAATTCAAAATTTAACGCGCGGTGGAAACATCGGTAATAAAAGTGGAAATAGTACAAAACGAATTTCCACCTCGAGTAGAAAGTGGAATCCGCGTCGTACCCAACCAGGCTTTATCTACTTGCGCGTCTCGTCATTCGGCTACGCGTTTCACTGGCACGCATTATCATCCCGCCGATCATTCGACCGTATATTTTACGGCCAGGCTTTATCCATACTTTATATCAGACGGCACCACAATGGCATAGACATTTTTCCATCGCATGCGCATCCCTTAATAAATGTAACAAAATTCAAGGACCGTGCAATTTAGATACCCCATCCCAGTGACATCCACAGCCGTTGACATTTACACATCATGGCGACATCTCGCCGCAGAACGCGTTTATTTTTTTTCTCTATATCCGACCACTCTGTATATCCCGCAAAAAATGCAGTCGATTTACTCGATGAATGATTAATTACCGGAAAAAAAAAAAAAAAATAGTACGCGCGTTAAAACGAAAATTTCCTACTTCATTTCCATTTCACCATAAATATCAACAATGAACTGAGAAGATAACGTGATAACGCTGCACTGAGAAAAGAATTCATCGAATCGAAGAAATATTTCGTTAAGTCGAGTAATCGACTTTGAATTAACAGAATATTTCTTTGGCACTATTCAAAGAAATAGTTCTTCCGTTCAATGAATCTTTTCTTTTCTTCTCGATTTAACGTAACCGTTTACACAACTGGTCATAAATATATATTTCGTTAGGTTCCCCTTCCTTAACATACGAACTTACAGTATAAGAAGTGACATAAGAAGTTTAACTACAATGTCGACCCATGAACAGGATTGGGTAATTCCCCATGTTTCGTGGTTTTTAACGTATATTACGTAAACAAAGTAGTGTACCGTAGAAAATCGTAGAAAACTCGTAAATTACGTTTCCAATATGAAGAATGCCGTAGAGGGACGATATACAGCATCGGCTAGGTCATAAACGTCTTTTAGCACATATACAAACAAGTAAATATTCTTAAGCAAAAATAAATTATCTTAACGTTTGCGTTGAAGATTATTAAAAATTGTACTTTTCCAATATGGCGGATGCCGTAGGTGCACGATATATCTATCCGCCAGATTATGAGCGTCTTTTAGCGCGCATATAAACACATACAAATTGTTAAGAAATAATTCATTTGCCGTTAGAATTCACAATGCTTTCGACTTGACCCTGTTTAATATCAAATTTCTAATTGGATTTGTTATTTCCAAAATAAAAAAATAAGAGCGTAATGTATATTGCACTCGCGCAGAAAATTAGGAACGTATTTTTGTATACACGTAGAAAATCACGTATGACGTATTATACTATATCTTTTTTATAGTAGTTTTACATATATACATATATGCATATATACTACTATAAAACACTACATGGCGTATTATACTTACCCAACCCTGCCCATTAACTCGATAATTAGTAATAGTTCATCCGAATGAATTATTGGAAATAGCTATCGAGTCTCGCCGCGATATACGAATCTCTCGGGCTCTAAAAAGATAATGGAGGAGGAAAAATGAAGATAGAGGGAGTAAGCACACTCGAGCGCGCGATAATTGAACCCTTCCTCCATTTTGTTAATGGCCTAACGGCGAGCGATGCTCGTCCGTATTAAAAACTTGTTTGAACGCTCGGCGTCGGGGTTGGCAATGCCGCGCGATAAAGTACTAATTGCCGGAGAGGAGTCTCGCGAGGCGTCATTAGGACGTCCGGCGCAGCAGCGAACAAACGAGCCGGGCAATTTAAATGTTTTATAACCGCCATGATAGGTTATCGCGGAGGACGTCGCAACGTCGCAGATCGCCTGATGTTTGCGTTAGATCGAGTGCTATTATACAATGGCGTCCCCCGGCGTCTAATGTGCCATATTGAATGTAAATGATTGGACGTTCCCGGTAAAACTTTATATCGCAATTCCTACAAACGTTGAGAAATCGCCACTGCTCGGGGAAATCGAGAAAAACCAGACATAACCTAAATGTCCCGCCTTCAAATAATGGGACCGATTATTTTCTATATATTAATATTTGGTATTACACCCTACCTATAAGGACGACAGATATTTTGGAATAATGTTAACGCTTCGATTTCTAGTATAGAAATTTCAGAGTTAGCGACAGTCTTACCGTGTCGATGAAGGTTGTCGTTGGATCTACGAAGGTTTCACTCTCACTGTTTCACTGTTCACTGTGGTCACTCTTTAATGGTATCAGAAGATGTACAATGTTCACCTTCTCACAACACTGTTAGATAGCCGTTAATACGTGTCCCGCTAATGTTTACACGAGCAGAAAAAGAACGAGGATTCTTAGCTTAGGGCGTTTATTCCGTATTTTTGACGAGAGCGCTCATTGCTCGCACTTTCATCTCACGTGGGTTTGTTTGCTGAATTACGTATCCGCTGTATGAAAGAACGAGATCCCTAGCACTTCTGGTCTAGTAATATTTCAAGTAAAGGTACATATCTTGTAAATCGGAAATTATTGCGAGATAGGGGATTATAGGCAGGAAAGGCGGGAAGACGGAAAGCCGTTAAAAGTAAATAAGAGGACTCAAGTCTATGCCCACCTCTTTTTGCCGGGCAACACATTAAGGCCGCCTCCTTTGGGTAATTCTTTAAGGTGGAAACGAGCGAGTCGACGTGCACCGAGATCGTAAGAGCCCTGCCGAGGTCATTATTACGTATTATTAAGGTCCCCCGAAATATACGGGTTCCACCTTTTCGCTGGGCTCCTCCTTTTTGCCGCTCTTCGTTACTTTCACTGCCATGTTAGTCACGTCGTGAGCAATGCGCGATTACTTTTTTCTAGAGATGACTCGGGACGTCATCTTCGCGATCGCCCGCGAAATATGGGCAAGATCAATTTATCGGTGAAAGCGCGTTAATTATTCGAGTCGTGAGCTTGCGCATTTATGCGGATCGTGTAATGTGCAATTTTTTTTTAACACGAGTTTCCGTTTTTGAATTTGGTACGTTGACCTTCTGAAATAAAAACTGGAAAAGTGAAGGTGGCGCCATCCTGCGGCTATAGAGGTGAATTAATGACCCACCGTACAGAGATATGCACGATTTGCACGAAGGACCCTGAAGAAACCTACCTTACCAGGGAAAAATCGATTTTATCGATGTTAGACGTCTGTCATATCGATAATAGAAACCCGTTGAACCAATATATGGCATTAGAACTACTGTAGAGACCTCGAAAATCAATATTATAATTGCGTCAAAATATAATCTACGTGATAAATGTAAAACTAAGTGACTTCCAGTGTTTTAACGACACTTTTACTGACGAAAGGGGGGAAAGAACCGTAAACGCTACTTGGTATCAAAACAATTATTATTGTTAAAACATTGGTAGTTAAAAAGCCAAAAACCATCCTCCCCAAACCACCTTAGCACTTTCTCAGATACAAGATTTTCGGATTGGAAAATCGTACGAGAAGATCCAACGTAACCCAGACTCGATGGAAGCTTCGAAAAGTAATCACACTCTATAGGCAAAATTTCCACGTTTCGAATTAAAAATATAGAGACACGTGTAGGATGATTTTTCTTCGATGAACCTAAGACGCATTAGAAGACTTCGACGTAGAGAGAAAAAAAACGTCTTCACCTTCGAACGATCAACGCGCGCTTCTTTTAATAAATAACAATATAACTATATATTCTTCGTGTTTCCTCTTAAATTAAGTCGTTAAATTACAATCGCGATTATTAAATTAGCCCTAATATTTCGTGCGGACGGTACGTTACGAACAAAAGTTATGCGCTCTTCGTTTAAGTAACAAAAGATAATAGAGTACTAATGGGGGAAGAAAAAAATAAAATGCAACTCTTACGTTCCATTCTCGCGAAAGGATCCTTCGGCGCGTGTCTAGTATCAACAACCATACTTTAGATCTTTACAAACTGTAAATATTAAATAGAAAGTAGCCACGCGTAAGTATACGTATCTTCCTCCTCCAAACTCAAACGGGAAACACGATAAACCATAATATCGTTTTTATACAATTAATTTCATGCCTATAATAATATATATATGTCTAGTTATTTATAAGATTTATAAATCTATAGAGAGTCAGAGACGTGGAAGGACACCGAAGCGGTAACGAAATTTATAAACACCCCATATATACATGATAACTTCCATTTTAATCCGACATATTGCACTCCTACACGATTATCGAGTCGTAATGTCCACTTTTCTATTTCCTTCAAATAGTCTCACGAAGGCAGCCCGTCAATATACTCGAAACTCGGACTTTTGGTATTTCTCCCATACTATAAAATATCGCTCTTAATAAAAAATAACTGAGAGATATTTAATCAAGCCTCCGCGGATTCGAATTGAAATTATGAGGAACTCCTCGAATTCAATTTACTAACCTATGATGTCTGACCTCTGCTAATTTAACATTATATATCGATTTATTCTGCGCAAAACATCTAATTATATTCCGCACTATTCTGACATTCAAGGTACCAAAAAATAGATAGAATATAAATCAACGAAGAGGAATATTTTCAGATTTTAAATAGGAATCTAACTACGCCAAATCATACCTCGAATCTGGTGGATTAATTTTGCATTAGAAAGCCCCCTATTTGGAAGCCTGTAATATTTGCAAATTGCCCCAGCAGCATGCTCATCTGCATCTTTGTCCTGGAATTCTCAGACATCCTCAAATACATAATAATAAGTTCGAAACCTCGTCGAACAATTGCACATGATTTGTCAACTCGTGGATAGACACCAATCGCATTTTTTTTTTCTCATCTTGAAGCCTAGACCTAGGACGTCCTAATTACTGCCAATTAACGTTTACGCCTAACCGATATATTTTATTCACTGAAACTTACATGCGTCCCAGCATTCTGTCCGTTGAAGTTCCCTCCTGAGTCACCGGGACTAACTAAATTTGAGATTGTCTTTCGATGTACATGTTGACTCCTTGGGCTCGGTCCCAATATTCTTCGACCCATCTTCTTCGCAATGTCAAGGGTGAACAAACCATCGGTGTGCACATTTACAAATTATAAGTCCAGGTCCCCTTTGCAGACTGTATGTACCTAAGTGGTACAATGGACATCCTGGAGTCAGGGCTCTTCGAAACCCCCAAGGACTCTCTGCTGCTGGCTCCGAAACCTCTTCCTGGAGATCTTCCCCCGGAGGGAATGCTATCGCTGCTGGCCACTCTCCTAACTTTGCTTTCCTTGCTCTCCGATCGAGTGTTCACAGCCAATATGGAGCTGGCGGACCTGCAGGTCGCCAGTCTCTCCGTTGAGTTTCTTCCTCCTAAATATCTGGGGCTGGGGTCAATCGATACGTTCCTAGCCCCCCTGTTCGTTGGAGGCCCGATGGACGTGCTTCGAGAGTGTGATCCTATGTCCTGGATTCGTTCCTGGCCGTTATAGTTAGTATCGCAATCTGCCCGCCTACCCAGCGTCATCGAGGAGTCCAAGGAATCGGAAAATTCTGGACTCGGGGCCCCGGAATCAGCAACTACTCCTCCGGGATATTGCACCGCCTCCTGGCTCGCCGGGGGGCGGTGTCAGAAACATCATTCCTCTAGTTCGTCCATGCGGTTCCTGACCGCCATCTCGACAACCTCCAGACTCGGATAATCGAGCTCTTTCACCAGGCACAACACTGCCGAGAGAATATTTGAATTCTGAAAAGAAACGACAGTCCCAATATTTTACGGGCTATGAGGAACCTCTAGTCTATGAGGAACCAAAGAAAGCATAAGTAAAGATACAAAGAGAACTGCAGTAAATTATTAAAGCGAAATTAAATATGAACATACCCTGGTCACAGGTCGTCGTTGATAGTGAAATCTGCACTTGTCCTTATCTGTCTGTCGGACCCATCCTTGCAACTGACTGGACTCATCCTATAAAGATGAACACTTCCAATCAGAATCCATTTACACCTAACTGTGCCTAGACCCAAGAAAATGATACGTTTCGAGTCTCGATTGAGCAATTGCGATAGTTTGACACGAGTCTACAATGATTTTATGCATGATGGTTGGACAATGATTTAATGTAAGCGAAGTGGGAGACAGATATCTACTCGGTGCAAATGAAGTTAAGATTTAAAGAGGTGTATTGTAATGATGTGGAATTAAATTGTTGCACTTATATGACTTATGATGATAAAGCATGAAAGATGTACGCGAAAAGGAGGTTGTATTTTATGTAGCTGAACATAAGATTAAAAGGACACGAACACATCTGAGGGATATAGAGTCTTTCCTGACCCTATCGATGTTCTGCTGCGAAGCGCTTCGTCTTGCCTGCATCGGAGGTTGTGGCTCTTCGTAGTCCGGAGGCCTTCGATCGTCATAATCATAACTGGCTCTTTCTATTCGCCTTTCCTCAGGATATTCTGCAGGGTACTGCGTTCTTGGCGAAGCAGTTACATAAGATCTTTGCCCGGAGTCATTGTTTCCATAATCAGAGTAGGCTCGACGCTCCTCGTAGTCTCCGTTGTGCCTTGGTGCTGCTGGTCGCTCCTCGTAATCCTGAAATATTCTTCATTCAGCTCCAAACTAGTCCATGGGATCCTCTCAAATTCATTGAATAAAGAAAACTGAAGAGAATAAACACTCTTCTGTCAGTTATATGTAACTCTACTGATTGTAGAAATAAATCCGACATTGTGTCGAATGCTCATTATTTCTGAATTAAGTTTTTTGGATACCATATTCGTTTTGATAGTACCAGAACAGATTAATATGAAGTATTAATTTAATTAAGACATGCAGTAATGATTGGCCCAAACATTACGAAGAGTCTAAAGCAGATTTGCAGAAATGGTAACTAATCTACTATTTTCTAACGAAGGATATCAGTGACTTCTATGACTAGATACTCTAATACTAGATGAATTTCATCGACAGGGTCTTCTATCAATTTGAAAAGCTAATCGAGGCTCGATGGAAGATGATCGAAGCTAAGACCCGATGAGAGGTATTCGAAGCATTTCACTATTGCATGGTCTACACGTAATGTCTATCTAAGATATTCACTTAACATTCCTTTTTAAGGTCATTTAAATTAAATCTGAGCAATTTTAAACATCAAGTGTCGACCAGACATGTGGCTTGATGATACCTTCGCCACCTCGATCACTCTTGCTGCTGTAGTCTCACCGATGCCACGTGACTCCACAGATGGAGCTTCATCTTTGTTCTGACTCTTTGTTCCTGATCGGCCATTCTGTAGCTATCTCACCATGTGAGAGAGAGACATTGTAAGAAAAAAGCCAAAAAGACAGGTACATCCTTCGACTCGTTAAACTTCTAGTCTATGAGGAACCAAAGAGAGTGCTCTATTTCAATTGAATCTCTACGGAACGTATATCTAATATCATGCGATTAGTCTGAAGGATTACAGCATAAATGATATTAAAAACAGGTGAACAAGAGCTTTTCGTGTTAAGAAATATCGAACCTTTAAATCAAAAGTTACTAAGTGTTTACTTTCTACAAGACGGTAATGCGTGATTTAGAAAGTAATCGTATTCCATCCGTTTTAGTAGAAACTCAGTGACTTCTATCTCAATGTACGTTCCTTGAAAAGTACGAGAATAACAGGAAAAGTATATTGCAAAAATACTAGAAAACAACTCTTTGATACTCTTCTAGAAAATCTGAGGAGCGTAATGTTTATGAAAAACGAAAGTTTTTTTCCTTCGGATTGCACTCACCTCGTAAGGGTATTGGCTTTGTGCGTATCGATGAGGCGGAGAAGTATTGTAATTAGCATTTCTTCGATCATTATCTTGGTACTCCTCTGGAGCATGTTGTGGTTCTTCGTAACTTCTCTGAAAAACATATTTCAATATTTATGATACTAATTTTATCTAGAATTATTAATCAAAGCCTTATTAATACTTTCATGACAAGTAGTACATACTCGTTGAAGGATCAAACTCTAATTTTATTCCTCTCAAAGTAATATCATTAATGTTGAGACATTTAATTAGTAAACCAATTTGTGACAGATTTATGAAATTACCTGATCACTCGATGAACTGTACCTCCTCTGCCGGTCAGTATCAGTCTCTTCAATGTATTCAGGTACGACATCCTGGCATGGAAAGTGTTACCAATGCGTTACGACACTCATGTTAAAAATTGCATGCAATGACCCAAAAAAGCGCGCATTCTCTTTAATTCGTTAATTATTAATGTACTATCAATTTGTCGCAAAAAAAAATGTAATTATCAAAAAATGCTATTAAACGCAAATTTGAAGTTACTATTAAATACAGTACAAACAGAAAAACAAGCTAATACAATATTGGCGAACTAAAAAATTGTTAAAAGTCAGTAATTAAACAATTTCAGTAATACCGCATGTTACTAACCATTAAATAAAGTATGAACGCAACTAATAAATGGGTTGTTGAAATCTATTGATCATTAGGAAATGCTTTGCACACTTTGCCAAGGTTATCCAGTTAATGCCAAATAAATATATGTCTTTAACATTACCTCCGGACTGATTGGATCAGATTGTGGAGGAGATGCATCCATATCCAGAGGATGTACCAGAATTCTTCCTCTTGCCAAGGCAGTTTGTACCTCCTCTGCGGAAACTATTTTGTCATCCAGCTTCTCCAGATTTGGTAGCGCTCGAAGTACTGCTAACCGATACCTATTTTATTATGTTAAAAATTAGAAACAAAATGTAATATATATTTACAATTTAAAGGGATGAAATAGAATTTTAGTTGCCAAAAAATATGAATCAGACCCTTCTCTTTCTGCGCAAGGGTTTTCACCAAGCCACAGGTTCCGAAGGTTTGATAGGTTCTGCAAGTAGCACACTTCATTCAAATCCGTGATGTTGTTCTTCCTTATAAAGAGGTCCTGAAGGTTCATACAATACTGGAAATCTGCCAAAGTGTTTATATTGTTGACGCTGGAATAAAAAACAGAAAACTTCCATCATCAGCCCACATCAAGAGGTACGTAATGATCAACTGATACTATTAACACAATTACTGAGCTGATTCATATTAATAATAGAGGATGACATAATATGGAATAATGTCACAGCATGATTCTTAAAAGTCATCGTAGTACTTTGCCCATTAAGGTAGCGGAGCAAAGTGCTGAGGAGGAGGACCAAAAAGAGAGTCGTGATTTTCAGAGCGAATCGTCACGCATATCCAACTAACTGCGGGCTCAACGGGCATGCCTATCTTCATCTTGAAATAGAAAACGAAGTATAAATCTCATTATAAAACAGAAAGACTGAGAAAGGGACCTGTAATTAATTAACGATGAAAGTGTTCCTCACAGAGTCTGCCTTGAAACAAGAAAAAAGTTAAAAATGTTACAAATAGAAGGTATACAAAAATTGTCCAGCCAATCCATTAGACCAATTAACGTTTACTTTTAAGCCTCCTTAATTCCCTATGTCCTGAAACTGAAAGTGAAAAGTGAATCATCTCCGAGCGGTGGTATAAATAAGAACTTGAAATTGGAAAGAAAAAACACTCATTGAGATCGACATGAGAATGAAGCCAATTCCCTACCGACTGCCGAATAAAGAAAACACAGCAAGAATCGCGTGGGTGGAACGAGTTCTTGATCAGTGGGCCGTATGACCCTGAGCCAAGTATGCGAACATTTCCTTAGACAGAAAACCTCCTGATCTCAGCTTCTTCTTATTCGCAGGTGGGTGGAATATTTTGATGCTCAGAATTGTTAAACAGTTTCAACACTGGAGAACTCAATCCCTGCAACCTTGGACACTAAATATTTTACCTGACTTTATATGTTGAAGATTCGAGACAGGACGTACCGCTCTATATCAGGCTGAATCGATTTCAGAATAAAAGAAGAAAAGAGCACGGTGTGCACCAGACAAGAGAGATAATAGATTATGCAAATCATTTGCCAATAAAGGAGTTAACATAGTGAAGCGAGTCATGCTTGTAATTTATTTCAGACATCAGCATCACGGAGTACAAACACAAAGGAAAGAAACCATGTCACACAAAATAACTGGAAGACAATTTTGGAGCAGACAAAAGAAGAAGTACGTAACCTGTACTTTCAATCAAATTGATCTTTTCTATTGAAATAAAAAACCTGGAAATCAAATCAATAGTCCAATAAATGTCTTATATTTACCTCAGAGACAAAACCTCGACGTTCTGCATCTTTCGAAGTATACTGACATCTGTCAATTCGGTGCCCCTGAAAAGAAACAGACAAGTCAATCGTCATCAGAGAACAACACGGATAGTTACCGAGTAGACAAGACTGAAACAGAAATTATGAATTACATTGTCTCCCGTATCAAACATAATAGATACATATCAAATGATAAAAATCACAGTTAACTATAGCGCAAATTCTCTGAACGTTCCGAGAAAAGCCAGCAAAACATCGTACGTCGCAGAGTGCAGGAAATTCGCATAGAGGTTAGACTCACCAGCAGTTGAGTTTCTTAACGTTAGCGAAGTCGGACATTCGCGTCCTCGCGACGACCATTTCCTCCGTTAACCTGACCATCCTGACATCCGAGAACGTCTACGTTTTCCTGGAGCAGACGTACTTCGTTCCTCAAGAGGGGACCTGAACTCGGCTGACACGTGAATTTTTCGAACCTCGGCAGTCAATTGGATTCACCACTGGCCAAATCGCATGGAAAAACTCGAAAGAAATCGGAGCGACGACATGACACTGAGTTACGGTTAATTTTACCGAGGAGCGTTCGTAACGCGTCGCGGATCACACGCCATGACCGATGGTCTAAGGACCGGCCATGACAGAAGAGCTCAGAAGAGCAACGCATCTGTATAGTAGGGGATAACCTATGAACACAGATATAATTAGAAGACCATCCTTAAAGAATGTATGACCACGTTAAAGTAGTACCCATCATAGTAGTACCACAATAGTGTGGCGCCACTTGTACGTTCCTGCAGGGTTCCTGCGTTCAATCTGTTGTAACAATTATTCAGTTGGCAACACTGATTGTAAAATACATACGAATTTAATTCCTTGAATCGGTGCAAGACAAAGATGAGTTGGGAGATTGCTCACGGGCAGGGTCGCGCGATCGCACCGTGTGCTGCCCTCTGATTTCGTACGTTAGCTTTCACCGTTTTTTGTCCCCAAGGGCGGCGCAACGAATTTCTGGTAGGGGCTCGCGCAATCGCGATGGCTGTGCCATCTACCAGTTGCCGTTGGCGGCTCACGTATTCGTGATGGTAATACCATGCGGTAGTTGACGGTGGTGGCTTACCATTATGGCAATCTCACGAACTCATCTCTGCCAAATCAGAGATGAGTTGAGAGATTGCCATAATGGTAAGCCACCACCGTCAACTACCGCATGGTATTACCATCACGAATACGTGAGCCGCCAACGGCAACTGGTAGATGGCACAGCCATCGCGATTGCGCGAGCCCCTACCAGAAATTCGTTGCGCCGCCCTTGGGGACAAAAAACGGTGAAAGCTAACGTACGAAATCAGAGGGCAGCACACGGTGCGATCGCGCGACCCTGCCCGTGAGCAATCTCCCAACTCATCTCTGGTACAAGATAGCCTCAATTTTGTTTTTTAATATACATACATATTCATAGTTTAATGATAAATTACAAAAGTTATATGCAGTTTGCCTATTCCATGTCAAAATATGTTTCAATGTACATATGTACACACGCGTACGCTCGTACACTCCATACCTTTTTAACCGCTTAATGTAAACGATCAGTGATAAAATAATCAGAAAATTCAGAATAAAATCTTTTTAATAGCCAGCTGATTCCGCAAGAAACGAAACAAATCACAATTTTCAGGATATTTTGTCTTTGGCAAATGGATAATATGGGACTGTAAGAAATTAGATTGAGGAACACACACTAGAGAAACATGGAAATGTTTCAGAAAAGGTATAGGCAGGATCACTCTCAGGGGACGATAAGCTTGGCTCCGTTATCGGCAGAGTCCAGAATCAAGGAAGCGGGATCTTCAGGAGACGCAGTCGCAGACTCGATAGGTGATATTTCAATGTTTCGTAGAGCTGGCTGGGGATTTGTTCTTAAAGTTTTGACTGCCTGTTGAGCGGTATCATTCCAACTCTTCCAGCCCACTCTTTCATGACCTGAAACCAGACAACCTCGAATTTTGCGAGCGTGCGTCAGGAAAGTCTGTCATGGCTTAACAGATGCGAAAAGGAAAAAGATAATTGTGGTACAGATCCACATAAGTGTCTACAAATTAAACAGGTGACTCATTATTAAAATCTGTATGTATCTACATGTTTAACAAGACTGACGGTGCCTTGAGGTACCCAAATGCGATTGATGTACCCAATACGCGAGTACGTAACGGTTTAAGGAAGCGAAGAAAGCACTGCTTAGGCAATGTCGTTGCTCGCAGGTGCCTTTTTACTTCTTACTTTTCAACTTCTCCGAAAGGTCGTCGAATGCTGGATCCTGGATGTTAAGCATCAAACTGTTTCCACTGAGGTATACACGGTTCTGTGAGTTGGCAATCTGAAAACAAGAGACATGGTCTAGACTTCATTTATTGGAACTCTTTTAAATAACATTGTATAGAACTTACCGTGCGTGAGATACTTTGTGCTGCACGAATTTTCCGTAGCTTCAAGTATCCAGGGTTCTGGCTTACTGCTATACCAAGGTGCTAAGTAGTTAAGGAATACACCACCATCGACAAAATTATCTTAAATTATGTCCCTATCTATTATGAAGCCAATGAAACTAATAGTAAAATATTGCAATACGTGAAACAAATAAAAGGATATCATTTTTGCTGCTTCAGCTTCTCCCTCAGCTTGAACAATCTTTTGTTGCTTTTCTTGTTTGGCCCGCTCCACAACAAAGGCAGCTCGCTGTGCTTCTTGCTGAGCCACTTGCTTTGCTTCAACTGCTGCTGTGTATTCTTTACCAAAGCTCAATTCCGTTATGGAGACATCATCCAGGATAATGTTAAAGTCACGTGCTCGTTCGGTTAGCTCTTTGCGAACCATGTTGGAAACTTGCTGTCGCTGAGTAATTAACTGAGAGGCATTAAACTTAGCTACGACCGACTTCAATACTTCATTGCAAATACTTGGAAGAACCTACATTAAAGATAAGACTTATATTAATTCCTTTGATCTCAAAACCATGTAAAAAGTAACACATGATGTAAAAAGTAAGACCTTCTCATCATAGTCGAGACCAAGTTGACGATACATAATAGGCAAGGTTAGTGCATCTGGACGAGAGAGTACTCGGAGTGAAATGTTGACCATTTGTAAGTCTTTGGATCCAGTGGGTGAGGAGATCTTCCGCGGCCGACTGCGAATATCATAGATGATCGGATAATGGAACCAGGGTAGCCGGAAATGTAGACCCTCTGCCATAATGTCTTTTTGGATCCCTCCGAGACGAGAAAATATTATGGCACGATGACCACCTTCAACTGTAAAGTGTAATCACAATTAATTCTGAGGATTCCATTCATATAACATTTCCTCAGCCCTCAATGTAAGATAAGTACGATATAAAGATTCATATAATTAATAATTATCTTAGGGTTCGAGGTTAACCTGTGTACATGGATTGCGAAGCTCCATACAAAGCCACGCCGGCTGCCGCAAGCAATTTAACTCCTAAATTCATTCCGCCGGGATTCCTGCCGAAATTCATCGCAAACTCGACCACCTTGCTCTGTGCCATATCTGGAACAACCTAACTTTATATAAAGCTGCACTTTAGTTACTGATCTGAGTAATAAATAAATTAAAAGAATGGTGCGAATCTTCGTACGAGTAGGCCGGCTTACGCAGCTAAGAGGTTATACGAGGTTAAGGGTCCGATAAGGAATGCGATATATGTATGTACAGAGATAACTGGTCCGTTTCCATTGACTCCATTTCCATATACATGAGTACCGGCGTAATGGTTTCAAAGATATCGCCTTTTAAGATAGCAACGCCACTTCATAAGAACTAAACTACGTACTTCAGGTTTTCTAAACCCCGGCAATTTAAAAAATAGAACAAGAGTTATTTAAAAACCTTATCCTAAGATATACTCGTTATTCTGCCTTAACAACATACGAAATGGCCAGGAATGGCTGAGAACATTACACAATTTAAAAGTATTTAAGTAATACATGAAAATAACCGTGAAAAACTAATTATTGGCTTCATACTTCTGTTGTAAACCTAACCTCTCAGTAGTCGCAATCAGCCGCTAAACGTGCCGTCAAAGAACTACAACGATTCAGGAATTGATAATTTAAACTTACAAAATGTTGTTAGTGTATTTAATTTAACAGTTTCTTGTATAGAATTTAAGTTGTTTATTGGCGTATTGTTTTAGTTACCAACAATGCATGGATTTTTTCGGTTGTTAAACAAAGTCAGTGCGAATTGTTTGCAGCCAAAAATGGCAATGGAGAAACGATTGCCACTGACTTTTGAGGTTTTTGCTGAGTGCTCTTCTTCGAAAGCTAGGATCGGAAGAATCATCCTTCCACATCATGAAGTAGACACACCAGTTTTCATGCCTGTTGGCACACAGGTTGGTTTTCAATTATTATATAAGTCTAGACAACAATTACTAATAGAATTTTATATATTTTTAGGGTACATTGAAAGGTTTATTGCCTCAACAATTAGAGCAGCTAAATTGTCAGATCATTCTTGGTAACACCTATCATCTTGGTAATAGACCAGGTACTCAGATTCTAAAACAAGCTGGGGGTTTGCACAAATTTATGAATTGGAATAGGGCACTACTGACCGATTCTGGTGGTTTCCAAATGGTGTCCTTGTTAAAACTCGCAGAAATAACGGAAGAAGGAGTCAAATTTAAATCACCGTACAATGGTTTGTGACACATACTTTAATCTTATGAATATTTATTATATGATTTCATTAGGAAATGTAATAAAAATATTAAAATAATTGCAGAATCAGAGTGTATGTTAACACCAGAACATTCCATAGAAATTCAAAATACAATAGGGGCAGACATAATTATGCAACTGGATGATGTTGTTAAAACAACAACAACTGGACCAAGAGTAGAAGAGGCAATGAATAGGTCTGACAAATAGTTTGATAAAGTCTTATGAATGTGATAAGTGTATTAAGTATAGATTTCATTCAGAACAGTAAGGTGGGTTGATCGATGTCTTGAAGCCCACCAAAGAGGTGACGAACAGAGCATATTTCCTATCGTTCAAGGTGGTCTTGATCCAAAATTAAGATCAGAATGTGCAAAACAACTAGCAGAAAGAAAAGTTAATGGGTATGCCATTGGTGGATTAAGGTAATTATCAACATGATTATTTATATTATATAAATAACCACCTCTGTTCAGTAAGCTAGAGCTCCTCAATATTCGCCTATTTAAATAATTTCAGTGGTGGAGAAAGTAAAAACGACTTCTGGAGAATGGTACACCTGTCGACTGCTAATTTACCAAAGGACAAACCTCGGTATCTTATGGGAGTTGGTTTTGCAGTTGATCTTGTAGTATGTAGCGCACTTGGCATTGATATGTTCGATTGTGTATTTCCAACAAGGACTGCGGTAAGAATGATACATTTTAAGAATATTGAAGTTTGATAAATTTATTTCATGGATAGTTTTAAATTTGTTTAAATCTGTTAATCACGTAATTTTACAAATTTCAGAGATTCGGTTGCGCTTTAATACGAACTGGACAACTGAATTTGAAACAAGGAATATACACCAAAGATTTCAGGCCCATTGATGAAAATTGTGAATGCATCACCTGTAAAACTCACACACGTGCTTACTTGCACCAAATAGTGACAGAAGAGACTGTAGCTTGCCACCTCTTAACCATACATAACATTGCTTTTCAAATGAAACTGATGAATGATATAAGAAGTAGTATAAGAGAAGATAAGTTTCCTAATTTTGTTCAGGAATACATGATCACTGCATATCCTGATAAAGATTATCCTAAATGGATAATAGATGCACTACAAGCAGTAAATATCAATCTGCTATAAGCCATAAAAGTAAACCATACATTTTCAAAGCTTTCATGCTCAAATTAATGGACTGGCAATAATAATACGTCTTAAATAATTTTATTGGATTTTTGCACAATTCCACAGAAATATTTTTGTACAGTATCCATAACGCATCGTAAGTAATAAAGGATGATAATTGAAGAATTCATCAGTTCCATTAACAAAATGTAATACCTGAGAATCATAAAATTAAAGTTGAATATTGGTCAAGAGACTGTCAGTAGATTGACGCACCATAATATCCATCACATGAAGTCATCCGAGTCATAGCCAGTGTTCTCGGTGTTTGATGTCATATTGGTTGAATTAAACAGAGAATTGTAACTCCTATAAGAAGCATAATTGTGAAAGTTAAGAGCATAAGAACGCAATTTAAAAAATGCAATAAATTGTAAAAGAAACATTTCTTGAACCTCATTTCAGCTTCGTCTTGCCGCTTCTTCTCTTCAGCTTTCTCTTTTTCTTTTTGTTCCCTCAAAATCTTTTTCTTATCTTCTCTCTCGATTCTATCTCTTTGCTCTTTCTCTGCTCTAAAATTCACCTCTTCAGACCGCTTGGTCTTGATCAGTCGATTTACAATAGTATTAATTCGTTTGGCTACATGTATCTTCCTAACGTCTTTATCTCGATGAAATCCCACCTGACCAACTTCCATTCCTTGAGTTTTCTTTAGATTGGACCACATAGTATAAACAACATCAACATCGTTCATCTTGTTACCCTCGATACTATTTGCCTTGACCAATTGTGCAGCATCTTCTAAGACTGTACTTGGTATGTCATCTATTGTTTGACCCTTAAAGGATAACATTACTTAGATTGACATATACGCATTAAAGTGATTAATTTCTCCACTAATGTTAAACGAATATACTACATGATTTAAAGTATTACAAATATTGAGAGAATACAAGTGATAAATCAAAAGCATGTATCGCTTAAGGAATACATAAATGCTAATGTAACTCACATGTCTTAGCCTCAAATAAACATGTGCTGAGGAGAACTTCGCAACGTGAAACCAAACATCTTCTGGCCATCCCCATTTTATAAGGTCTTCATCTATTAAATAGAAAATGTTTTATTAGATCTTTTACTATAATTCCACAATCATGAGTACTCAATATAACAAGTTGTCAAGGAGCAGTATCAGAATTACGACTAAATCAGTTAGAACGTGTAAGAAACATGTACATGATATTTTCGACACTTACTTTCAAACTTATCAACACCCATAAAAAGTGTCACTGGGGGTTGGACCACTGAAATTTCAAGACCGAGTTAGCCTAACCTTTGAGCGTAGAGTATGTTACTACAGTTACACAAGTAATTCAGTAATGACAAAGTACATTAAATAATAATTAAACAAAATAATCACCATCACTTGTGAAGTAAAATACCATGACTGTTTATCGTTATATCGTGATCACGTGTATTTGCGTTGTCTGTCAAAAACAACCTCTAACCTCACCATTCTCATTTTCTCCTCAAGTTTTGAATCGTGAGTATTCACGCGCAATGAATACAAAAAATTCGAAGTTAGAGACAATCAGAGAAATATCAGAGATGAGTTGGGAGATTGTTGACGGGCAGGGTCGCGCGATTGCATCCTGTGCTGCCTCCTGGTGGTTGGTGCGGGCTGTTAACGTATATGCACTTGTTACTCTCAGTGGCAGCGCAACTCATCTCTGCCAGAAATGAGTTACCCCTATATATCGCGATCCAGCACCCGGATTGGGCGAGGCCGGGCCCAATCCTGGACGCCCGCGATTACGAAAATGTTCTATCAGGAATGAAATTAATTAAACCGCTCTTGGGAATCCGGATAAATGTGCAATACGCATGGACTGAGCATCCTCGGATCGTAGGTCGTCGTTTTGCTAGCTTTTGGATCTGCTTTTGGATCGCGACCCTACCCGTGAAAAATCCTTCAACTCATCTTTGGAAATATTTTACGCCGCCATTTTACATTGAAGTGAGATGTGAGAAAATGATATTCTTAGTCAGCGCCATCTGACAAGAATAAACAAAACATTATCATGGATACGAAAGCATTTCTGTATCGATAAGAAAAGACTTATATAACCAAACGGAAAAGGGCTAGGAAATAACATAAATTAATCTCTATATAAAAAGCAGTGAGAAATGATTTTAATCCAAAGGTCGATCAAAAAAATATAATACTTTTAAGTTTTTTCTGTACAGAATTTACATCTATCATCTGTATATATACTTCGTACGCCGATAAAGGAAGAGCCTGGGTTATTTCCTTTTCCATAAGATAAAGTAGAAAATTATAACTTTAGAATATTTGTAGGACTGATCTAAATTAATTAATTTCAAGACTCAGAAAGTACTTATTCTTAATAACGTATGGACATGCAACAAATATTATGCAATTCTTTCACAACGGAACATTTAGCTTTGACCACATCATTCTTTGTACCATAAATACGCAATCATTTAATTATTACAATTTCTCACGAAAAATATAAAATCCACAAAACGAGTTCCATATTATTTATCAAAATAGCGTACCTGCTAGAAAAATATAAACTATAAAAACCAAAGATATTATATAATTGTTTTAGAAATGTTAAGTACATGATCATTAAAACTCATTCCTAGTGAATTCCTTGCTCAGTAAATAATTCGACTTTGAATTTCAGTAAGTATTGAAGTGAATGAGAGCGCGGAATAAATATTTCTATCAAACTCGTCTAATATTTACAATCAGATATACTTATCTGAATTACGAATTGTTTTTCAATGACGCCACTTAGATTCTATCGGCACTTAGCGATATGACAAAGGTTTGATACTTTCCGTTTCTTTAAATTGCTAAGTATAAACAGAATCTCATAAAGCACCAGACAATTTTTACACTTTTCGCATAGAAACAGAGGTGACTCTAATGTATAATAAATAACTTTGAACTGTTATTGTTAAAACAATTTTGAATAATTCTTCCCTTTTTTAGTAGTATTAGCATTGATTTTTAGTTAGACTTGAGATTTAACCGACATTAGTCGTTACGAACACTATTAACAGTGTTCACCGTTTAACTTGTAAGAAAAATATTGCCGTGGAATTGAGCCGTTTTTCCATATGTTAGCTGTTATCATAGCGATTCATATGAATAGCATGTTTCTCCGAGTGATAAGTCTTAAAAATCTGACTTAGAACCGGTGAGGCTTCAGGATCATTTATCCAGATGTTTGCAGTCGATGGTGTTTCCAGCATTGATAAGTATGCTAAAATTATTTTACTTAGTTAAAAAAATCCAAAGAAATAAATTTATAAAACAATGGTTAGAAGAAAATACTACCAAGCAGCATTTTGGGGTTCGTAAGACTGAGCTGAATGTGAGGATTACTCATGATTGCCTTATATATTGGTCCATCCGGATCTAGTCCATCATCCAGATCTTGCAAACTTCGGCTTCTTTTACCAAGCAACCAATCACACTGAAAGAAAATATTGAAATATATTCTTCTGACTTGTACTTCCATTGTCCATAATGTTTAAAACTCACAGCATTGTAATGATTGTTACCAGTGATCTTGAGTGCCTCAACGATGTCCTTTTCCTCGAAACCCATCTTTTTAAGTGACTCCGTCAATCGTGGACTTGGCTTAAATTCTAATTTTCTATACTGGTGAAAGCTTTCCAGCAAGAGTGCTACAACATTCACCAGATTTGGCTCTTTCTTTTTACCGTGGCCGCCTAAACATCGTAACATTGATATGTTGTAATTAGACATTCTCACATATTCTGCGATATCCTGAATACAATTCCTAATGTTTTTAAAAAACAAAGTCGTATAAATACAAATAAAAAATAAACAATCATCTGCAATACAGATATACATAAAATAAGATTATCCGGAAAAAATTACCTCTGACTAGGTTGTTATGGTTTTCTTGAACGGAATTTTTTCTAGAAAAACTCGGACCAGGGGTGTTAGCATCGAAGTCTGGATCAAGAGGTGGTAATTCCAGAGTTTCTTCGTCAGGATCATCTTCATGCTCTATCAACCACTCTAATGCTTCTGATGTATTCATCCTATTTATCAAAAGGCTCAAATAATATTTCACTAACATGATTTGTGTGTATTATAAAATTTATTATTTCTGCTAACTTACTTTCGAAGTCTTAGTGCTTTCAGTACTTTTTTTTCTGAAAAACCTATGTCCATAAGATGTTTCACTACTTTTGGATCATAAGGTGGCTTGTTACGGGCTTCTAATCGTTCTCGAATAATCTCATATATTTTCACTGCTTCCGGACTATGCATCAGAATTCTTGCTGACGCTTGCGTGAGGGTTATTAAAATTTTTCGTATCTCACTTTGAAACTGGAAACAATAAATGAAATCAGTTACAAAAGTAGCATGTGTGAAGACACCTGTTAATAAAGAATGAACATACATCTGTTGCACAATCCACGGGAGGCATTGCACGAGGTGGGTTCAAAAGTGGAAGTCTCTCTGTGGCCCGTACTATAGCATCTTCATTTGGACCACGAAGAGCATCCTCCGACAGATTTTCTTTGGTTGGTATTGGACGTACTTCAACTAACATCAGTTCATCTGAAAAATGTATGTCCTCCAACTAGTATTGATGACTTATGCACCAATATTTGTTCATGACAGACTAAAACTTAATTTCTATTAAGTGTTTAATCTTAGAAACTACTTTATTTTAATTCAAGTATTTTTAATTAAATTTTACCGTATGAAACAATGTCCTCTTCACTAATCTTTCGGTCATCGTCAAGCCTTTCCGATCTGGTTACATGTATTAAACGGTAATGATTTAAGGATCTTGAAGTATCATGGCCATAGAAATGTTTTGTTGCTAAAGATTTCAGTTTCTCAATGGTAATATCAGGCTTGACACTAATGCTGGTCACAGTACCCTCTAAGCTATAAATTAAAATTTGATTAAACGTCTCGTTTCTATTATAAACATCAATCTTTCACATTGGTCCCTTATATTAACCTAATAACATAGACTGGAAAATTGTTAACAGCAGTAGTTGGTGGCAGTGACATCGTATTGACAGCGGAAGCTTCCAAGGACTGCCTTCTGGCCGTCCTTGAATTCTTTCCGCTACGCCAGATTCCTGCTACCTGCTCTCGTATCCATGAGATCATCAAGGGCGGATTATCATATACCTGTAAAGAAAAGACCCTTAATTTAATAATTTCTCAAATTATTCTCTAATAATCCAATTCCTGATAAATCTTAGTACAAACATACAATTTCTGCAACTCAAATTATTATTTTAACAAGTTTATCTAAGTATCATTTATTTGTTATAAATAATAAATACTGTTTAATACAAATACCAAAAGTACTTATTATGTATGATAACAATTAATAATATGGACATTAACATTTATAATACACGACAAAAATATAATTAAAAAAACTGAATAAGGTGACATTGAACGCATAAAACTTAAGAATATGTCGAGAAATAATAGTTAACTCATTCCGAAAATGAAAAAGTTATGACGGACTTACGGGACATAACCAAAATTTCTCTTCGTTTTTCAAGAAATAGGTTATGTTTTAATCGAACTGCAATAAACGTGAAGAAATGAGACTAGTAGAATTTCAAATGCGCTCTATTGATCGTAAGTGCAACTTGAAATATCATAAACATATACCTGTAATGACACACCATAAACATATACCTGTAAACTTGAATTTAACTCTCGCGAAATCTCAGCAAATCGTTTGACGTTTTACTGTGATCGCGACCGTTTTCGCGAATTTACGCAGCCGCAGTCTGAGAAATGCCACTGAAGAAGATGTTGAACAAGTGCATCGTATCGATGAATGCAATTGTGAGTAGTTCATTTTTTAAAGAAAAGATGGGCAATCATTAGGGTTATGTCCCACTGAGCGTGTCGGGTGTCACATAGAGCGTGATACGTCGACGCAGTGAGGATGAACAAACAACTAATCAGAATTGCACTGAGTTTCTTAACATTTCCGCCACAATTCCGATAAGGCTTTAATCTTTGACGCGTTTATGCGCTGTGCTCTTTGTGACATTCGACGCGTTGAGTGGGACTCAGGCTTCATGATCTTTGATGATCGCTAGACAATGACGAGTAGCGCCATCGTAGACAGAGGTTGGTACTACAAAACGTTTTTACAATACTCGTAGCTCAGAGATGAGCTGGAAGATTGCTGCATCTTTCACGTCATTCTCCATCTCTCTACTGCTTTTTTCGCACCTACTATCACGTCAGCTCGACGGGGAAGGTTCTTCCCATGAAATTGCTCTTCTAAACGAGGGCCTGCGACTTTTTTCCCGAGTTGGGTCGCATGCATGAGCCACCTGCACGCTCCTCTAAGGGCAGCACAGACCGCGATCGAGCGAACCTGCCCGTGAGCAATCTCCCAACTCATCTCTTCGTAGCTAATAGCACATGGCAGTGGTGCCATCTGTCGGTTGACTGGCGTACTACGACGTAATCCTAATTAGCCGACTGCAACTTCGTGTCGTGCTGACGGGGAGGAAGAGTTCAGTGCGCAGCGCGACGTTGTAGCGTTAGTGTCGTTTCTGTCATCGCCTTTCGAAACGTTTATCGGTAGTCGGCTGTTGACGTACTCCGTACGAGCCGGAATCGCCGATTCTTCGTTATTTTCTACCAAATAATACTATCAACGCGCAGTACAACGCCGAGTCAGTCGTACGTGTCCCAGTGCGTCAACAATCACAGAAAGAACAGAACCTTTCGAAGTGTCAAACTCGAGTTGATTCAACCTGGATCGCACGTCGGATTGCCGAAGAGGGTGACGAAGACATGCCACTTCCCCAGGAGCGAAATAAATTGATTTCGAAGGTGGGCATTCTCTCTACGAACGAAGAATGAAAGATAGAGGGACGGTTGACACGCGATAGGATAGAAAGAGAGGTTATAAAAATCGAGCTCGGACCGGTCGGTTGAACCCCGTGTGCCGATATACAGGGTGAGTCAGAAAAGTAGGTAGAAACGTTTGGAATTAATTTACGCACAACTGATACAAGGCGTAATTCGTGATTTTTTAGCCGTTCTAGAAGAGGTAAGGAATCCGAGGCAGTTCAATAACCATGACATCTCAAACGTCGCGTCGTCAGTCAAGGCGATCTCTACATATGCTTCCTGCATGTTTCGTGATCATCCACTAATTCCCAGATTCAGAGATAGATATGTATTCATAACTTTATTTACGTTTAAGCAGGTACAAAGTTTCCTATAAAGACGGTACTAGGAGCGAAGGTTCTCACGGGTGAGCCACAGTGCCAGGTTGTTGTCCTTGAGAATGGTCCCATCATACTCTCACTTTCCTAAAATTGGGTACTGCGTTACTTAACCTTGAACCGATACATTCTATCACTCCTTAATGTATACCTATTTGTGATCGTTTAGCAGTAAAAACACCTGCACCATCCACTACCATTGTTTCGGTTGACACACGTGGTATTTCATTAGCCATGTAATCTGCCTGGAACAAGATATACATCTGGGCAGTTGTGTTACAAAACACAACGAAGTGGGCATCCAATTACACCATTACAATCACTCACCATGACCCCTAAAAGAGGAAGAAACCGCGCTGAATGATCCTTGTAACATATAGATGACTTACATATCACCCAGTAGGAGGACATGAGTCGTATAACGACCAAACGCGACCAGTTCCATCGGCGATGATTCACGTGTGATAATATTACGTGAGCGTTCTTCGATGCCCGATTTATCATCACGTCTATCAGAAGCATTGTGCGTTGGCCGGTCCAGGGCAGAAATTCTCATGGCGTTACGCTCAAAGACACGCACCTGTGACAAACATACACGTACATTACCAAAGCTTCGTGGAACATTACATATATACGTGGCAAGTAGACCCTTTCTAGACCGTAAACCCGCCATGAGGGGAAGTCGACCAGGGAGACTACAGCCAGCTAAACTAAAATCGACGCCTCCTTATCGGACAACGATCAGGCCCTTATCATACACCAAGGCGTTCCCGAACGACATGCAGTACGGCCCACCAGGGAGGACGAGACCCGGCAATCGTCTAAAGTGACGAAGATCGATCGAGAGGAAGAATGTCGCGTTCTCGTTGGCGTCCCCCAGGTGGAGAGTCGGGGCAAATGAAATCCTATCGGCCGACCTTTTTTCCCCGTAGAAAAGTCGCCCTTAGGGGTGCTCTTTCCGACCCGAAGGGAAGGACTCTTCGGGGAAGCTACACTGACCCAGTTGGGAAGTATCGCTGGCCCGGAGTCTTTCCCTTCGTCGACCCTCCATCCCGGCACGCTAATAAACTCGAAAGGACGAAAAGGAATGCCGAGGAGTCCGGGAAGGGCCACACCCTCTGGTCGAATCTCACGGAGGTCTAATTGGTTGCGTCGTTATGTTTGCGCTCCCGAAAACGGCCAGCGTGCAGCTCCGGCTCCCTCCGCTTTCGAAAATTGATTGCGCGCTCGTTTTGTATCGTGGCTTAGGTGTTACGCCCGCGGTAATTATACAGACTGGATAATCTCATTAGAGCTCGCGTGTCGACGCGCGGCATTTTCCCCGCTAATTGCCGGAGCGGTGTGTTCTCCAAAAGGACTTCTCCGAACCCCGTGATTCCACGTCGTGATAAGACTCCTGGGGATTCCTCGTACGCTTCTTCGTTTTTTTTATTTTTTTATTAATAAGATATCATGCCACGGTAGTACGTGTGAGTACACATGGCATGAAAGGGATCCCCTTGGAAAAGGGAATCGGTTTCCTTTTGTTTCTTTTCTTTTTTTTTTTACAATTAATGATCATTTATATTCATGTTCGCGCTCCAGTATTGAGGCAATCCACGTAAATGGTTTCATTAGCATTAGTACGTTATTCTCTCAATTAATGACATTTATGGAATATAGAGATAATAAAAGTAAGCAATATAAATAATTATGCCCAGAACAAGCAGTGCCGAGCGCGTAAGGGAATTTTACGAAAGAATAATTGAGAGTAATTGGTAACATTTAATCATTCTTTTTGACTTACAAGGAAGATATCCCAGGTCGATCTCTCCGATGTCATTTCTTTTATAATATGTTATAGTAGACTAAAAACTAAGCGGCACGTATTTTTTTTTTATCTGCCATTAAACATTTTACGAAGGTGAAACTATCATCCAAAGTATGGGTTGTGAGGGGTGGCTCACCCCTTGATTTTGATTTTTTTAATTGAGAAAATTATATTTTTCATTTCTCGTTATGAGATAGCTTTTCCATTGGTTAAAAAATATAATGTTCTTGTGGGTGAAACTGCCAAATCTCCCCTTGACATGTCTTACTTTGGATGGTGGTTTCACCTCCTTAAAATGTTTAATGGCAGATAAAAAAAAAAATACGTGTCGCTTAGTTTTTAGTCTACTATAACGTATTATAAAAGAAATAAAATCGGAGAGATCGACCTGGGATACCTTCTTTGTTAGAAGTTTCATTTGCAATGCGTGTAGCGACTGTGTACAATGTTTTGTCCTTTCAGGTCTTGAAATCGAAGCCGAAATTCTTGATTAGGGCATCGGCTCGCAGGGCCTTGGTATTGATTCCAGGTGCGGACTGCAGTCGTGATAACGTTTCATTTTTTGTTTCCAGGATTGAGGCCTGCCGGGAAGGATGGTGCAGTACTGGCTGAACGTGGTCCTCCTCAGGGCGGTCCTTCCGGCTACCTATGGCGGGGGTAAGACTCGAAAACACCTCTGCAAATTCCCCTTTCTCGCCCCCTCAATGCAGCTGCCCCTTTCGAGTAGCTGGAAGAAATGAACACGACGTTAGATCGTTTCCGGAAACGTTCATTGCCTATAAACGTGCCCAGCTTGGAGGCCGCGTCATGTGCTATTTATTAATTCCACATTCAATGAAAAAGTTCCGGCCGATATTCTCAGATGCGGCTGGTTAAAGGATCTCTAGTTACCCTTAACGGGGAAGTCTGATTAACACGGCCGATAAACTCTAATTCCTGAAGCCTGAATTCACGGTTATCTTAATCAGATTCCTAAATTATTGGATGAATCCCTGGGAGAGATCCAGAGATTCATGAATCCATCGGGAAAGGTATTATAACGTAACCAGGTAATGTTTTAATAGAATAATACGTACAGCCAGATAAATAGTAAGGGCATGTTTAATAATCTAGTCTGGTTGAAATAACCGAAATTCTGGTTCTTATCCCTGGATCTTTTTTTTTGAGCGCAAAGGAGACCCATTCATCCAGCCGATCGGAGGAGAGGCGGCGTCTGGATTGAAGAGAGAGAAATAAAATAGAAAAGAAAATACTGAAGCGAGATACCTCGTCCAAAGTTCAACTTCCACGAGGAGCCGGGATCGTCTAGCTGATCATGGCTTGCGCAATCGGCTGGGCGCGTATCGTACATTTGCATTCGGAAATTCTTGACCAGCGAGGTGGTCCCCCCGATCGGGAAAACGATGGGAGTGCCCGGGAGCGTCGACGACGTCTCTCGGGAAAGCGATACATCTCGACCCGAAGGGAATGCCACGCGTCGTCGTGGGCCGCCTTCTAAAATTAGGAACCGACGCTTAAATACGATTCGGGACTTTGAGATGTGTCTCGTTTCCAAGCCCGGAAACACTCGACATGTCTCGCGCGGCTCTTTCTTAAGGGGCGTTTCCTGGCCGATAAATCTCCCGTTGACGGGTTTTATCTTTTTTCTTTCTCTCCTCTCCTTCACGTCGCACCCTGAGAAAAGAAGGAGTTGTAAGATAGGCGCCAGTTCCTAAAAGGGATATAATATGTAATCACGGGAAGAAAGGATAACTTTACAAACGTCCTTTTTTTACAGACTGGCGTCTATTAACTCTATGTACAGAGAGAATAGTATTAAACATTACCACGTGAGCTGTGTAATTGGCGCTTATCCGTCAAAAGGATGTGATCCGCAACAGATAGAGAAAGAAAAGATAACTTTACAAATCAGGTAACTCGGTGGAGCTTCGCCCCAAATACATTTAAAAGACTGCGCAAATCGCACCGAATACTTAACGCCAAAATTCGGCACATAGATTCGATAAATATTTCTTTCTCAATTAAGAGAATAAATTTACAATCTGTAGTTGTATAGTATATCTTTCTCAGGGATAGACGCCTATTCCACAGCTCGCAAGATAACTGTTTAATACCATTTTCTCTCAGTGCGTGGAGTGTCGTCGGATGAAAATCTCTTGGAAGTTTCCGCCGCTATTTCGAGCTTGTAAAAACAGCGTAGACCTTAATGAGACGAGCGATAGGATGTCAATGCATCGTAGGTTTATCACGCACATTTGTCATTCCGTACGTGCGACGATATGGATAACGGAGCGTGGACGCGTGTTTCCTCGACGAAGAAGGGAACTCGTTTCCGCGTGATCCCCGTTCACTTCTCGGCTCTTCGTAGCCTCGCTCTAAAAAATGTGAACTCTTATCATCCCGTTTACGGAATGAACCCAACACCACGTGGAATGTTTAGACCGATGTACTTGTACCTGTGCCTCGATTACAAGGTTCTTTTGTATTTGCAGTCGCCATCTTTAGGCCGGTCGGACTGTCCCTGGCGTACTTGCTGTTGCTGTTGTACTCGCCCCTGGTACCGGTGCCGAACCAGGTGACGATGGCCGGTCACACGGGACGTTACCTCCTGGCCGGCCTGTGCTTCTCCTTGCTCACTTGCCTCGCCCAGTTCACCTTCCAAGTGGTCCTGCTGGCTATGCCGCCCTATGGTCACTTCTTGAAGGACTGTTCGTAGCCCCTGTTGACCGGTTCGCAAGGAGAAGTCACCTCTGAACTCGAGGAAGCGACCTCTCCTTGGTGGTGAATGAACCGGAACTCTTACTTATACTTCACTCCTATCTCCCAGGCGAGTTCCTGGAGAAGCTCCTTCGCCACGTGGGTCTGATTCGAATGGACGGTGTCAACGCCTGGGAGATCTTCTACTGGCTGATACCGGACGTTGTCGCCCTCACCGGCAGCTGCGTCGTCTATTGCCTCTGTCGACGGCTCAATCGGGCCCCGAAGACCGAGGTCGAGGGCGAGGCTTCGACGTCGAACCGCCGGACGGCCGCCAAGACGGAGGACGGGAACGCCAAGGTGTCTAAAATAGAGGAACCCAGGGAATTTAGGTACGAGTATAGAACGCGGTCTCTATTCGCAGATAATCAAGTACCTCGGCACCGCCGGGAACTACGTGACCCTGGGCCTGATGTGCTGCGCGTCATCCTTGCACCCGTCGGTCCAGTGCGCCTTCTACTTCCTGGTCTTCATAGCAGCCGGCACTTGGTGGGCCTTCCACCGCGAGCTGCGCCGCGCCTTCGCGGTGGTCTGCAGGATCGTCATGCTCGTCCTCGTGGTGCACATCGGGGCGCTGCTCGCCTACCAGAACCAGTGGCTCCAGGAGCTTGTGCCCACCGACAACCAGTGGGCTAGGTACTTCGGGCTGAACGCCTACTATCTAACCAACTGCACCAACGCCAGGGACGTCGACTACGTCGGCGACGCCGGCTGGTCCACCTATGCTTATCCTCTGAGCATTGTTTGCCTCTACTATGCCCTGGGCCTGCAGTCGCGGTACCTCTTGGGGAGCCAGGTGAGGACCTTGAAGACAGTCTGGTCGGTCGTCCGGTCAAGACCCTCAAGGTGGAAAGAGTGGTCCCGCAACCCCTTTGATTAATCTAGGGTCGTCCATCGATTGCGTAGGATCATCTTCCGCAATTCTCTGCAATAAGGAGTATTTATTTTTATATCTTTTTCTTCTTCGTGATCTCTCGACGAGAGAATAACTACTCTCGAGGAAGAGTTTCTGGTGTACCGAATCCTTAGATGATTCATGGACGGCCCCTTTTCTGACGGAATGACGTCGCATCGTCCTAACCATCGTTCTTTCGGCTTCTACTAACTTGGCTAGGGCCAGTTTCAGGCCGAGGGGGCGACGCGACTCAGTGGGAAACTGGAGAACCTGGAGACCCCGTTGTCGCGTCACGTCTCAGCGAGACGGCGAACGCCCTCGCAGAGATGGCAGTCCGCGAGGCGGAAGGCTCGCGTAAGGGTGTTTATCTCCAGCATGAGCCGAGTCGAGCTTAGGCCTCTTTGTAGTCGACTGGATGTACTCTTTTTTTTTCCTCCCTCTCTCTCTCTCTTGTGTTCTCTAACCAGAGATAAGAGACTCGTTAATAACGTCGTCTCGGGCTCGCCTTGATGCCGCCGCCGGTCCTTCCTCTTCTGATAACCTGTGGCAGCACAGATGGGTCCAGCTATTATCACAGTTTCACACGGTCTCTTGACAAGTTTTCTATTTATCAAGTACGAGAATGCAATTAGAGGAGGTTTCGTTCCTGTCGACGGCGCTTAGTTAACAATTATACGTTCGTCCCACGAGATTTTTCGATGTCGCTCACGCACTCGCTGTAGGCTTTCCGACAGGCCCCCCTGTGTTTCGCACTTTTCTCCACTGGGTAAAGCTACCTTTAGTTTGCCGTGTTTTAGAAGCCGACCGCAAAGCCGCCCGCTCCGGTCAACGAGAGGACTCCAGTACGTACTTTTTTTCTTTTTTTTCCCCACAGAAAGCAAATTTCTTTACCGCGGGGAGCCGAGCTCCTCTCCGGAAAGAAGCTTTCTCGCTAGACTAACAAGGACAGACTTGGTCTTTGGATCGTAAGATATTGCGGGATTTTCTCTTCAAAGGATCCGAATAATAGTTACGTCTTTAAATTCGTTGGCCCAGCTTTGGGAGGCTCCTGTGGATAGTTTACGAAAATTGAGAGAAATAGGGGAAAGGATTCAAAGACCGTGGTCTCTCCTAGGATGATCCTGTAACCGCTTTTTGGAAATAGCCACCGGGATGCTTCTTCTAATTATTATTCAAGGAGGGTGACTTATGCAGGTGATTATGCACGTTTGAGTCCCTTGCACGTCGCGACCCCGTTGGTAGCTTGCATTGCATGAGGAATGTGAATCCCAAAGCTAGCATGGGACCTTGGAATGCCAATCGGACTGGCCATCCGAAGTGTGACCTCTCCGTAAGCGCGAGTATCCTAGATGGAAGAGTAAACGAGTGCTTCTTTTGCCCACAGCTGATGCGCTTTGGGTCGGGGCGAACCGGCCTCCTCCAGGACTCTACGGGAAGCGTCATAGTCCAAGAAGCTCAGCATGATGACAGTATGCAGCTGCAATCACTCAGTGAAAGTAAGATTCGATTTGATTATTGGAATCGATCGGGGTGCCTCCACTTCCAAGTCTTTGCCTAAAGTCCTACTTCTGCTTCAGGCACGCCGGAAGTCAAGGCGGGCATCTTCGAGCACGTCGTCATGGCGATCTACTCCATTTTCCAGCTGATCATCAACTCGTCCTACCTGGCGACGAATATACTCATGATGGTGCGTTGATCGTTTGGGTGAAAGAAATGAGAAATGTGTCGGTTACTACCGGTATTCTCACTAGGAACGTCTTTACTTCCTCTTCAGACCTGGAGTATAATGTACCACAGCTGGACGACCTTTGCTCTCCTGTTGTGGGCGCTCATGCTGTGGATGGTGCCAAACAAAAGGTCCTCCATGATGAAGTGCGCCCCGTTCCTCGTGCTTTACTCGACGCTCCTGCTTCTCGTCCAGTACGTCTACAGCATGGACCTCATCGAGGACGAATTGCCAAGTAACGTGCACGGTATCCCTATGGCGGAGATCGGTTTCCTCAAAGCTGACGAACTCAGCCGTTGGCACTTGGTCGTCAAGGTTGCTTACCTATATTTGCGCCGAGAGGCGCGTCTTCGGGATGGTAATTGTTGCCTGGCCATCGAAGGTGACGCGTTTCTTAATTTCAGTGCCTCTTCCTGACCATGTTCTGGATCACGATGAGGCAGTACATGGCCGAGAGAAAGCAGCTGAGGAGGTCTTCGGCCTTGAGGGACATGGCCGCACCTTTGCATGTCTCGGTCTCCACTGCCACAGCTACCATGAACCACGATACTTCCGAAATTAAGAGCAAATTCATGAAGGACGTCGGGGTCCTCGTCAAGAAGATGCTCACCAAATTCTGGATCGCCGTCGTAGCCATCATGCTCTTTATCTGCGGTATTACCGGCGAACGCATGACTGTCTTCAGGATCATCTACATGTCGCTGTTCCTCCTCTTCGTCATTACGTTCCAAGTGAGTGGATAAGGGTAACATTGAGCGGTTTAAATCAACAGACTCGATCGATACAACTAACTTGACGATATCACAGATATCCTGGACGGCCTGGCGGAGGATGATGTATCCATTTTGGATAACAGTCATCGGATATTCTGTCATTATGTTGATCCTCGTCTACACTTACCAGTTCAAGAACTTCCCGGCCTACTGGGAGTATCTGTATATAGACAAAGATCTGTAAGTAGGATAGAAAATGCTCCTTTCGGCGATCTTGCAAAGGTTATTTCCGTGTTTTAGACAAATGGACATTGGCTTGGAGATTTACGAGACCAAGGATCTCTTCGTCCGGTTGCTGACGCCGACCTTTTTCGTGATAATTACTGTCCTTCAGATCCACTATTTCCACGATGACTTCCTCAAGGTGACGGATATTGATAGAGAAACGTGGGTTATCGGTAATTTGATGTTCATGACGTAATGATGCGTTGCATATGTACTTACTTTTTTATTGTCTTCAGTAACGATAGCGACTCCAGACGTGGAAGTCTAGGGTACTCACCCAGTACAATTCCTATAGTCTCTCCATCCGAAGTTGTCGTCGGGGAGACGGAGGACACAACGCCGATTTATAACTTGAAACAGCTCAAACGTAAGTAGGCTGCAATCGGTGCAAAGTGCAGCTACTTCAGGTAAACCGGGATTGTTGTAGGTATGTCAAGGTTGGAACGAATTGCACTTTTTGTGAAATTCATGGGATACGTCGTCAGCTTCTACAACTACGTCTGGCTCTTCCTCGAGATCCACATCCAGAAAATCGTCTTCATCTCCGTAATACTTCTCTGTATAAACGACGTAAGTAGATCGTGTACTTCATTTCATCCATTCCGATTTTCTGCTGCACAGAATCCAGGATGTTTTTATTTCTCCAGGTCTGTGCCATCAACTTCTTCTTCGTCCTGGTAACAGTAGTCGCCATCAACTTTAAGAGGAACATCCAAGTAGTCACAATTAATGCAATCTCCGCCGCCATAGCCGTGCTGGTGGTCGCCAAAATGCTCTATCAAATCAAGTACATCGATCACAATAATTGGAACGTCGTCTGTCAAGTAAGATTCCAGTTAGGTTTAATCGATGTTTGATGAAGACGTTTTGAAGACGTTACCTTCCTCAAGAATATTTTTTCCATTGAAGATGGTTTCTTCTCGTAGTGGTCTCCGGCATCCCAAGGTCCATTTGCCAGCAACAACACCGTTTATAACAGTGCCGAATGGGTGGGCATGCGAAAAGCTGACCCTGGCAAACTTCCAGTTTTGCTGAAAGGGTACATAGCAATAGTCACCGTGACGACCTTCAGGACCATCATTGTCGTTCGCCAATGGTTCCACAGGCATCATTTGGGAGAACCCATGGATCCTCCCCAATTGATGTTCCCTGGTATAAAGAGAACCCACGCAGACAAAGGAATTCCGGAGTGCCTCAAGTTCTTCTTCAACTACGGCTTCTACAAGTTCGGCCTCGAGTTTTGCCTCATGGGCATCGTTGCCGTCATCGGGACCAGGCTGGACTTTTATTCCGTTCTTTATGGCATGTGGCTACTCCTCCTCTTCGCTCTGAGACGGAAGACCATCAGCAACATCTGGCCATTCTTCAAGTTCTTTGCAATCGTCCTGTTTCCGTTACAGTACAGTCTCGTCGTGGGCCCACCGACCTGGTTTTGCATCGGTGAGTCAACCGATAATTTACTTTTCTCATTTTACATTTAATCAAGTGATAAGACCTATTAATCGTTGCGCATTTGTAGAGTATCCGTGGGGTGAGTCGGAGATAATGCGCAGACTTCAAGAATGGATGTACTTCCCAGATCCGGACTTCCCCCCGAACGCCAGAAAGTTAATTTGTGAGTGACATGAAGGTAGATTCTTCGACTGTTTTAAATTATTAATTGAAGCCTCCTCTACATAGGTGATTTTATCCTGCTGTTGATGATCGTGCGGCAGAGCCTCGTCTTCCGCATCGAGGAAGTCAGTACCTCGTCAGGAAGAGAATTCGCCGGCGGGCACAATTATTCCGTCTTCTACGACACGGAGAAGCTGAATTTCGTGAATCCTGTTAAAGACTACGTGTCGCAGATACATAACTGGCTGGATGTGGTAAAGCGGGGATCCATGATGAGTCTCATGTGGATCACTTTGTCGATCATGTTCCTAGCCGGTACTAAGAGAACCAATCTCTTCTCGCTGGGTTATTTAATCGGGGCCTTCGTTTTCCTTTGGCAAGGAAGCGACTTTTACCTTCGGCCTATAAAGACTATCTTAAAGTGGTGGAACTTTCTGATTGGCTACAATGTCACGGTCATCCTTTTGAAGTCACTTCTGCAAGGAGTGGGATGTGTGCTCATCAAGGAGGTGAGAATATTTATCAATTGGATTTCGTAGTCGGAACAACATGTGTTTGAAGGGTAAATTTATGCTGTACCTTTCAGTTGGAGGTATCGGCTTGCTGGTTGGTCCAACTTCTGGGTATCGCCTGCCTGAAGAAGTTCAAGAGCTCCGCAACCGACCTCGGCATCGAAGAAAGTCAATGCACGGTCCCCCACGAGGACATCGGCATGGTCTGGGATGGTCTATGCTTCGCTTTTCTGTTGATGCAGAAGCGGCTCTTCAAGAGCTACTACTTCTATCATATAGTGGACGAAACCAAGGCAATGAGCATCCTTGCATCGCGAGGAGCTGAACTACTCTCGGAGTTGCATCGCAGGCGCATAGAGTTTCAGGAGAACATCGAGAAAAACCTCCTGCAGAAGCTGAAGTTCAAAATGGACAAGATCAAGGCGAACCAGCAGAGGATACAGGGCCCCAGTTACCGAGATCCGCAGACACACAAAGTCGGTAAGACCTTCAATACATCATCGGTATTTCTATTCCACGGTTAAGGAAGTGTGATCGGTCACCCACCAACGCCTCTACTTTTTCTTAACAACGATTATCACCGAGTACGTGTCCCAGTACGACCAGTACATCTCCCAGACCTAAAAATGACCACTAATTTTTCCTCTGACTTCCCGCACGGGGACGTTATCACCAAGGTTTACTTTCAGGACATTGCGTACCCTTCCTGTTAACCTTGTATATTAATTTCGATCCACTAGCACGGATACCATTGTCGATCTGCATCAAATGCACCATCGTCTCGATACTAAACGCGATTAGCAGTCAAGGATACGAGAACAAGTGCCGTTCCATTCCACTAGAAATCCGTATTCTCCAGATCCCGATCCCACCTGACCTCGACCTCGTCTTCACGGAAGAGATCCCAAGAGCTGCCGCGAGGTGTATCGCCTGCGAACGTTTAACCACGAGTCTCTCTATTTAACGCTGTCGCACCAAAGAGGGAGAGGCGCCGTTAGCGAGGTCGTCGAGCGTCGGTTCTTGCGTCTCCTCGGAGAACACGGCTCAGGGCTACCGGACACCCGTCGACGACGACGAGAAGGCCCAGGACCACGAAGAGGAAGAACCGCCGCCCCTGACGCCGCGTGCGGCTTCCCTCTTACAGGCACCCACTCCCAACTCGGCCATCATGACGGTCAGCCTCGAAGGCTACCTCGAGCCGACCAGGATATCCTTCGGATCTCCCCCTAGTAGCGACCTGAATCCCAGGGGAGCTTCGCCGGATGAAAGCTTCCCGGTGTTCTCGCCAGCTCCCTACGATGGTAGTGCCCCGGACCGAGCGATATCATCCTTCGGGAGTGGACGTCGTCGTCGACGGCCCTCCAGTCCGGCTCCAGGACCCTCCTGGACGCATCTTCAGCATCCCAGAGAGTCCATCGTCTCGACCACCTCCCGGTCCCTGCTCTCGCATCACACATGTAACCTCAACAGATTGGCGGAACGTCGTCGGTAGCCTGCTCTCTCTATCTCTATCCGCCTCTGTCTGTCTGCCGTGTACATAAGCTGCGAAGCTGCACCTCGAAGCACCTCGTCGCTGGTCCCGGTGCACCCTGTTTATGGATGTCTTCGTCAAGTAGAAACGCCTCTTGGCAAATTATCTACCGCCCTGATGAAGATGAAGAACAATCAAGGAACGTCGACTGCCGAAGTCGGTGTAGCTTACCTCTTGCAGATCTTGAAGGCCCTTGAGGGAGATGTCGAATTAGATGAATTTCCGCCGTGTGTCTCGAAGATCAATAGGGTGATCCAACGAATAGACAGAACTTCGGTAGCCTGCTCTGCCTAGGTCTCTGCATTTAGTCCTTCGTCACCGGTGTACATAAAAAAGGATCTCTTTTCTCCACCCAGCCTGACGCATCCCTGACCATCCTCAACAGTCGAGTCCGATTTCCTGATACTTCCTTGCTCCGGTCGTCCTATCGCCGAAGAAGTTAATATACGTCTGCCGGCCCATCCTTGATACTCCAAATGCTCGTGGTATATTATTAATATCGCGTCTGTGTAAGCATTATTCCTTTCAGGCCTCGCTCGCATGTATACTTATTCGTATGTGTCTTTCTTTCGTTAGATACGCTCTATCCAGAGTCTCGGCCATTGTACAGACACCGCGCACCGGTCACCAACAGAGAGGGTAATTCTACATTTCTTACAGCCCACCACCAGACTATTCCGCGAGCATCCCCTGTAAATACTCTTGTACATAATGCATCCTGATCTGCATGATGATACATATTCTAAGTCCAGACTAACCAGCTATCTCGGTAGCGAGCTCCCTGTACATACTCTGAGGCGACTAAAAGTAGCTCTAAAATAACTAATAATGACATATCTCCTTAATTAGCTTGCTGACTCGTTGCATGGCTTCCAGCAATAACGCGGCGGTTTTATCAGCCCTATTAATACGTGTTTCTCTTATCTAGCGATTAGATCCGGCGACTATTACATGTTCGACGAGCTGGAGGACGACGACGACGTCACCGACCTCATCCCGGAGATCGACGACCGGGACGAGCTGGATCGCCTGAGAAGGCAAGGTCGCAGAATGACCGTCTCCGAGGTGGGTCCTGACCTTGGGGTCTTCATCTACCCCGTTTCTATTTCTCTTGCCTCCTTTCTACTCCTTGCCCCGTCTTTTTTTTTAATGCCAATTATGGCTCGGGCTCGACGCCGATCATGGGGTTGGGCTCGACGAGGGGCGACTTCCTAGACACTTCTCGAATCTGAGAGATCAGAGTGTGCCGACGATGGTTCCAGTTGATGAGCACCCTGCTAAAGACAGACATTGAGATAGCCACGCACGTCGCCCTGTACGGTGGGACGCAAAAGGACGCCCTAAGGCTGCGACGACAGAGCGTCCCGATGACACGCAAGAAGTCATCCATGTCGTATCTGAGCGCTCGTTCGGAAACGGACGCCGCGGCCACCGACGTGAGATCTTCCTTACTTTAAGTCTCTTCTGCTGCTCGCCGTCGTAGTTCTCTTTCGTTCGTTTTCTGCTCTACCTTGTGAGCGTTTCGTTTCCTTGCCTTCGAGAGAACGGGCGTCGGGACTCTGCCCACCCTCAGAGAAAAAAAGAGTTTTCCTCGAATGGATAGCTTTATTGGTTGCAACCCTAAAATCAACCGACCTAATGGAATTAAGACGAATTCTAAGGAAAGCTCGATTATCTTTAACTCCATCCAGTTAGTTTGATTCTTTGTCGTTACATTTTCTATACGTAAACGAGCCAGAAAGAATAGCTGATTCGGTTTAAAGATAGAAAGACTAAAGGAATTAGTAACGTTCAAACAACGTCTATTTTCCAATGACCATGAGTTTATATAAAATAATTTGATGCACGAAATACTTTTCACGAAATCATCGACACTGACTTCCCACCCTAAGGGGGGCAATAATAGTGATTCTTACAAAATCAATTTTACCGGAGTTAAGAAATTTTTTTAACAAGATAGCAAGTAATTTATCTCGTCCAGAAAGTAATTTCCCTCCTGCAAAGACATTCCTTATAAAGCTGGTTCCTTGTTCCCTGGCGAGTCCTGGACGATGACGTTGATCTGTTTTTTTTTTTCGTTTTTTTAAACGATCCAATTACCTCGAAGGCAAGATGATGAAGTAGCTCCACCTGGCTCCGCTCTGTTTCTTTCTCTCATTTCGTTCGTTCTCATTGTACTGTGCCAGTGGTGGAATGTAGCTCACACAAAGCCCAAAGGGCTTCGATGAAGACGCAACCCGTGGTGCACGAACTTAATCGTTCATCGTTTCACTCCGTAATTGTTCTTCTCTCATTCGCAATAGTGCTCTACCTGTCTAATGTGTAAATACATTTCATTAGTTTAATACCGTCCTCCCAAGAGGTGGTGGAGTTCACGACGAACCTGAACCTGCGTCCCCTTGAACTCCTCTTCCGTAATTGTGGTCCTCTCCTTCGGCAGTTTACTTCACTCGTTAAACTTTTTATTCCAGCCAGGCTAGCTGATATCTTCACTTAGTCGTGCTTGTAGTAGTTAACTGTAATGTAGTATACGTGACAACATAGCCGTAGTCGGTAATAATCGGTACCTTTGGCTGATCTCGACTTTTCATCAGGCACAAGCGCAGACCAGCCTCGAATCCGTCGACGTCGAGTCTTCCGAGAGAGAGATGAAGTCGTTGGACCTGACGAAATCCCAGGATCAAGAGGAAGACGAAGGACCCGAGCAGGCACCCGAAGAGGGAGATGCTGCGGACAATGGAGAGGAGAAAAAAGTGTCCTTAGGCACTTACTTGAAATTCATCTGGGCAGTCATGAACAGCGTCATGGTTTCCATGACGAAATACCTGAACCGCTTCTCCCTCGACTACAGATACATCAGGAAGGTCCTCGCTAAGGAGAAAAAGGCTCTCAAGGTTGGTTCCAATTTACTTCGAGGTATTCCAAAGGCTTGGGATAACCTGGGATTGAATTCCTTTTATTTTTCAGGCCAAGCCGGACTTCAGAATGGGCATGAGATTGGGTATCAATCAGATCTGGCAACCGATACCGATGATGAAGACCAGGTAAGATCCCGCTTGATTACCTGGGACTTTTCTTGCCCGTGGACGTTGTTCGATACTTTGGGATGTAGAAACTGGTAGATGCGCCGCTTCACCTGTGCCGAGATTCTGTCCCTTGCCTTGCCATGAATACATGAAGAGATCTCACGGTACGAAGAGATATATCCTGGGTTGTCCCGAAGACCTCGCTTAAAACCTGGAGATTAAGAATTGGGCTTTGCGTAGAATTGGGCTTTCTCGTTTGCATTCTGGACCCGATCATTTGAGAAGGCGTTTGAGTCGTTGATGCCGACGCGTAGATTAGTACCTGCGGCAGTAATTATCGTAAAATCGGCAGCAATGGTTTCTGTAGCAGCAGTAGAAGTAGCACTTGTACATATGTCCAACAGATTCTCCATTCAGGAAGGAAGCTCCGAGGAGGTAACCGAGCAGAGTTCGACGCCAAGTCAGTCGGGCATTCCAGAGAACAGGTAGGCCCTTCCCGTTGCTTTCTCCCTCGTAGGCAATGAATCGCTGAATCTCGATGAATCTCGCTGATCGACACGGATCAGTTATCGGTGACCGCTCCAGCAGGGCCCCACTAACATCCAATCGTTACTAAATAGCTTTTCATCCAGACTTATAGGACGTTTCGATCGCAATGACCGGAAGTGCTTGCACAGAAACTCGAGAAAAAGCGGTAGCTCCGGAAAGGACCCGATTTGAGTTAGTCACGAGGGCACGGCTCCTTCATTCGGTCGAACTGTCCTGCAAAGCGAACCTGGAGGGGTTTCTAGCTTCGCCGGGAAAGCCTACATCCCAGCATCAAGGTCCCTAAGGGTAGCTTCATTCCTGTCATTCCTGAATTTTTGCTGGCAGCAACGCCCTTTCTGCATGGTTTCGAAAGCACATACGGCGGTCTATCGAGTTCGCGTCGAAGAGCATGCCGTAAGTTATTCTGAAAGAAAACGAAGTTATGGTTCAATTTTCTTGTTTCTATTGAGATTAGTTATATACGACTGCGAGTAAACAGTCGGTGGAAGTTATTACGGGTCAATCGGTGGATCGGATCCCACGCTTCGCGCTTCTCCATCCATTTCACATATTTTTTACCATCATGACATCGCTCAGATAGTTCCTCCTAACGGACAGGAGACGAAGGAACGAATTGCGGAACTGTATAACTTTGTTCTTGGCAGCTCTATTTTCGCGAGCGATTCTCAAGAGCCGCGAGAAGAAGAGGAAGCCGAGCTCTCGGAAGTGGATCAGCCGCCGATCATCCAGTTGGCAGCCTCCATTTGGTTCGGCATTCTGGCTCACTCGACCTTACTATGCTACTTCATGGTGTTCCTTCACCAGATCAAGAACGCGTCGATACTCTCGATTCCGTTGCCCCTGATGGTACTGTTCTGGGGATCCTTGACGATCCCACGACCATCGAAGACCTTCTGGGTCACCATCATTGCGTATACCGAGGTACAGTATTTATAATGTGGTCGTGCCAGTAAACCTTCTAAACGGCTCTTCATATTTCATCCTCAGATCATCGTGATAGTCAAGTGCATCTTCCAACTGGAGTTGATACCCTGGAATCAGGAACTTACGTCCAATCATCCTCTCTTCGGTCCTCGCATCATAGGAGTCGAAAGGAAACCCAACTACGCCCTGTGGGATCTTCTCCTGCTCCTCATGATCTTCTTCCACAGGTTGGTGATCTGAGATTGTCCATCGACTTTGGAATATCCTTTTATAGAATTACCTCGATGTCGATTTCATTTCAGATTCATGCTCAAGTCCTTGGGACAGTGGACGACTCCGGCGACGAGTCCCAGGAAGATCATCCCGTCGAAGTTGACGATAGCGAAAACCCGAGTTGACGGGGCCAATAGAGGGGACGGGGAATCGATGCCAAAGTTCCACTGGGACACGGAAACGTCCAGGTAAGAGAAGTCTGGATTTGGGAGACACTGACTTTATTGACTGAAGTCAGGTAGTTGCTGTAATTTTTCGGTGGTATTGGAATTTAATAGAGCTCCTACCGATGCCATTTCCTCGAGAGACATCCCCGGAAACGCGGAAAGTGATCCCGAGAGATCTCGAGGAACTACGAACGAAGAGGAGAGACTCGTCGCTGTACAAGGTGAAGAGGTCGATCCTTGCGACGAGGAGTTCTCGAAGACTATGAATATGATGTAAGGAACCCAATTTATATCTTATTTAAAAATGTACTCAGTGCCGTAAGCGTGTGGCTGCTCTTCGGCACATATAATCTCTTACCTTTCAGGGTCCTGAAATACCTGGAACCGATGAGATCCTTCTTCAGCAAAATCCTCAGCTCGTTCGGCAAGGAGAAGACCAACGTTTACGCGTACATGTTCCTCTGCGACTTTTTCAACTTCATCCTCATCATCTTCGGCTTCTCCGCGTTTGGGGTAGGGGAGGTTTCTTTTGGCCGCTGCTTCGTGCTTTTGAACTCTTTTTCTTTTTCTTTTTTTAAAAAAAATAAAATGATTCTTGGATTTTTTAGACTCAACAAGGCGACGGAGGTGTCACGACTTACATCACCGAGAATCGCGTGCCGATGCCGTTCCTTATGATGTTGCTCCTCCAGTTCGCCCTGATTGTCGTAGACAGAGCTCTGTTCCTGAGGAAGTCTATTCTGGGGAAATTGATATTCCAGTATTTCCTTATTATAGGCATTCACAGTTGGATGTTTTTCATTCTGCCCAGTGTCACTGAAAGGTATATCTAGCTCGGCTCGTGTTTCCTCCTCGAAGTGCATTTTCCTACATCGTTACTTTTGTTTTCTATTCTAGACAGTTCAATGACGTACTTCCACCTCAGATTTGGTACATGGTAAAGTGCTTCTACCTTCTCCTCGCGGCTTATCAGCTGAGGCATGGCTATCCAACTCGCATACTTGGTAACTTCCTCTGCAAGAAGTATACCATTGTCAACTACGTACTGTTCAAAGGGTGCGTATGTCTTTTGCTAAGAAGGTGGCCGCTCCTTTTAATAAGTGTGCCAATTTATAACCGTTTAATCTCCCAGATTCATGCTGATTCCATTCTTGTTCGAACTTCGTGCGGTTATGGACTGGATCTGGACCGACACTTCGATGACAATAATGGATTGGTTCAAGATGGAAGACATATTTGCCAGTATCTATCAAATCAAGGTAGAATTAAAATGAATACCGATTCAGGGGAGGAGGTAGATCTTACGCGAAACTTCTCATTGCTCGTAGTGCATGAGGGGAATGGAAGCAGACTTTCCACAGCCAAGGGGAGTGAAGAAATCACAGATGAGCAAGTACCTCGTAGGTGGAGGTGCACTCTTCTTGATTATCGGCCTGATATGGTTCCCCTTGCTATTGTTCGCTCTCGGTGGCACCGTTGGAGTGTCGAATTTACCATGGGAGGTGTCGATGAACATTCGCATAGGATCGTACGAACCTATCTACGCCATGTCGGCTCAAGACACCGCGATTTTCCAATACACCGAGGAAAACTTCAAAGATTTGGCGAGTCTGTACGCCCGCGACAGGCCGGCTATTTCGTTCCTGGAGAACTACGTTAACACCGACGTTGCAGCCGTCAAGCTTAGCGGGTCTTCCAGGAAATTGTGGGCAATCTCTCCGCCCGATAAAGAGAGGTGCATACTTGGTCTAGGGAAATGCAAAACACGGTTCTTCATAACTTAAATCGATTTCAGGCTTAAATTGGAACTGGAGTCGGACGACATGGTGACTCTCCACGTGGAATGGACGGTCTCGAGGAAAACTGATGCCAAGGATGCTTCCGGCATCACTACGACGAAAAGAGACATAGATCTGCCTGCATACGTGAACGGCGAATTCAACCCCGTAAGAAAGATCCTTGCCGACTTGCTGACCCCCGGAAACCACTCGACACCGGATGACGGGAAAATAGTTGTGGAGAACGTCGTGCCGAAATTTCTCAAGGTGACCGGTAGAACCACCACGGTGGTGCAACAGTTGATGCACTCCCCGCTCATGCGTATGTACACGTTTATTATTTAACGCTATCTTCTATATGTCGCGAGAATACCAGATATATCAGTGCTCCGTGAAAATGATTATTTTACATTTTCGCAGCTCCGCCTACGTCACCGGATGACACCAAGTATCTCTATCGAAATATCACTTTGCAATTATCCCACGATCCTGTGTGCTGTGCGGAACAACAGTGGTGGGTTGTTAACGAGAATTGCGATGATCTCATCTACGACCTTCTTTTGAGTAAAGTGCCCCGTAACGACTGTAGATTTATCATGATGTTCCTATTCAATGACAAGGCGTTTCCGGAAGGACTTAGCTTCATTTCCGGACTTGGGTTAGTCAACCTTTGTTTAATCGTAGCTTTGGAGTATTATTTATTAATTTTATGAAGAGGATAATGCGCAGTGAGATCTAAAATACACTTTCGTTTAAACAGGATTTTGGGTCTTTACACCACGGCTGTAATTGTCATCAGCCAAATGATGAGAAAAGTGGTGAGTGAGATGTCGCCGAAGATCATGTTCGACGACTTGCCATACGTTGATAGGATTCTGCGGCTTTGTCTGGATATTTATCTGGTGCGAGAAAGTGGCGACTTATGCCTCGAAGAAGATCTCTTTGCCAAACTGATCTTCCTCTATAGATCGCCGGAAACACTAATCAGGTGAGGGAAGCTTTTTATGTTTAAGCTTGTTAAGGAATTGTTGTAATACAAGTATGTAATAATAAATAAACCTAGTAACTCGGTCGTTTTCGTGTTTTAGGTGGACGAGGCCTCCGGAAGTGGGAGAACAAGCTGACGAAGACGACCAAACTACGGAGGCTGCTGGAAGTGGAATTCGACTGGAGCCACATGAAAACTGAGTAATCCCAATCATCGAACCAGGTTCTGAACACACAAAAACCAGCTTGAAAAGTTGAGTAACTGGGTCACCGAATTCTTCTTCAAGGCCGAATGCAACAGTCTAAGTAGCGTGTATCCGCTTCCAATTGTGGATTTGTCGAATTAGCAATTGACTTGAGGCCGCAATGCAATGATTGCAAGCTATTCGGTTGAATCCGAAGTATCTCTCGTCGACATGCTTTCCCCCCCATTTTATACTCTATTTATACGTATACTTTTTAGTGAAGTATCTCCGTGTTTCACTACACCGCCTTATATGATGCATTTAAAGTACTATATATTTATTTCCAGAGTTAGGTGGAAATTGAAACAACGAATAAATCACTTTTGTCATTTTCCGGTCCTAATGCAATATGGGCGATATTTTTAAAGAGATTACCGATATGGAGGGAAATAATGCCCACTGTGGATTTACTCGTTGTAGGGTAATTTTGCCTGACTCTGTTAATTCATAAGAGATACAGCGCCGCTGGTGGTGTTTTGTATATTATTTCTGCGCGCATACCCTGACTTGTAAACCAATGAAAAATTCGATGCTCAAAGAAACATCGAACATAAGTTTGTACATAATATGTAAAGCGGTAACGTGTACCAGAGGAAGATACCGCTCAGAATTGTCTCTGTTTCGGATTTACTGCCTTCGTGACTTCGACTCTACTGGTCAGTTTACTTGGGACTACTTGCAGGGTGCACGAAGGAGAATGAATTATGAAACATTGCAGCTAATAAGAAAGAAAAATATACTTTATTGAAGAAAGACATTATGCATAACTCGAAGATACATATAGCATTATCGTTCAGCTGTGCAACTTTATTTTATAACTATATCTTTAAACGGTGCAGGCTGCAGCTACCTGAAACTTACAACAATTCTAAGGCATACTTACTAATTCTCTTACGTAACAATTATCACAGGATACTAAATTTAGTTTAAGGCACAACAGAAACATTGTCACCATGCTTGCATCCCAATGAAATTAATGGGGCCTTCAAGTTGATAATTCTTTTAATTTCAACTTAAGCGCTATATTTTCTTGATCAACAAGTTTCAATTTCTCAATCCTTTTTTGTAGCTCATCATTTCTTGTTTGTAGAATAGATACATTCTCCCGTAGCCTTACGTTTTCCTCCATTAAAGTCCTTGGACATGCTGTGCCACTTGAACGTACTTCTTGAATCAGCTCATCGGTTTGACACATCAGATTCTTTATTAAATTTATCTGAGCACTAAAATACAATTCTTGCATTGTTCTCATAACTTTTGTACTTTCTTGCCGGACAACATCTATCACAGTATTATCTAAGGCAACTGTTTGAGGCTTTTCTTTATTATTTAAAGACCCACCACTAGGATTGTCAATAGATCGATTATGATCATCAGCTTTGTTGAAGATATGTTTATTTTTACCAGCAGAATTTGAAGAACTCTTTTCTTTACTTGCAGCGTTTGAAGGGTGACTTTGCTGCTCATTATTAACATTGCTCGTTACTTTACTCTTTGCAACTTCTAATCTATCTACCTGCAACCTGTTTTCGACGTCTTTCAATTTTGTCTCTGGTGTTTGAAGTGCGTTATTTTTTTGCTTACTTTTTACTGCAGCTTTTTCACCGACACCTTTATCTCTTGATTGTATTAAATTAGAACGTTTCTTTACAGGTCGTTCTTTAATAAATGTTAATTTAGTACTTGGTCGATTCGATTCCAAAGTCGCCTCTGTAGAATCTCCATGTTGGTGTACAATAACCGTCTTCTTTTCTTCCAAAGTAGGAACGATCAGAGGAGGCTTATTCTCTCTCATAGTCACATGTCTGTCTACGTGATGAACCGAGAAACTGGCATTGAGATCCTCTGAAGCCAAGCCTATGTCTTCCAAAAAGGAGTCCCTTTTCCGACCCTCTATTCGAGGTGGATCTTGACCAAATCCTGCAAAAAAAAAAAGTTTGGTTTATGACATCAGACCTAGAAAAATGAAGAATTCTTTGTACTTACGAGGAGTGCTGGTTTGATCGGTTCGGAATCGTTTACTCATCTTGATAATTCTAAAACCACTAATCTCTAATTTTCTAAATAAATACGAACACAGTTGACTCCAGATAGCTCCGACAAAATTCAAATCAACTGAAATCAACTGAATTTCAGTACTACCACACCTAGTGGAACCTGTTTAGTACTGTTCTAGATGACATCACGGCCTGATTAAGCAAACGTGCGCGTAATATATAAACGATTTCCTAGGGGAACGGGTTGAAACAGAGATGAGTTGGGAGATTGCTTACGGGCAGGATGGTGCGATCGCATCCTGTGCTGCCCTCTGGTTTCGTACGATAGCTTTCACCGTTTTTTGCCCCCAAGGGCGGCGCAACGAATTTCTAATAGGAGCTCGCGCACTCGCGATGGCGGTACCATCTACCAGTCGCCGTTGGCGGCTCACGTACATATATCGTCTACAGCATTCTTCATATTGAAACGTAATTTGCTGGTTTTTTATTGTTTTGTACGGTAAACTACTTTGTTTACGTAATATACGTGAAAAACCTCGAAAAATCTGGAATTACCGAACCCTGGTTCGCTCTGTCGTAAAAATTTAAATTCTCATAATTCCTCGATAAAAACACTGATATAAAAAGCTTTGGAGAAGTTACCGACAAGTTACCGGAAATTTCTCATCGTTCGTGAAGTAACTTATCGCGTTTAGAATTCTAGGGAATCCTACATCAGTCGATACACTTTCGACTTACAAGTTTCGTGCGCTCGCCGTGTGATGGAACTAGTGTACCGCAGGTAGGGTTGAGAAGTTGACTTCGGAGGTGTCTCCGATAGATTTCCGGTGAAGGCAAGCCCATGTGGTGTGTTAGACGTTAGTGCAAGAACAGGCTCTCCTCGCGAGTTGATTTCTTGGTGTTCTCCGCGGTTCGACGATCGCCTTTGTAAATTTTAAGAGATATTTACACGGCGGTGTCTACCATCTGTGCGGGCACCATGGCAGATCTGGATGACTTCTTCGCAAAAAAGGACCGCAAAAAGGCGAAGGGCAAGAAGTTCGCGACCACGGACGAGATCGCCAAGAAACTCGAGGAGACCGGCAAGCGAACGGATAAGCCAAAACCGAAGGAGAAATCCAATCAGGAGGGCGAGGAGACCCAGCAAGTCGAGGTACTGACTTCGGCTAATACCGTCCTCTCGTAACGAACCTTCGCCTGAGAACTGGGCGACTGGGCATGGGAAGTGCCCCACTTCCGAATCTAGAATATTTTTACGATTAAGACTAATTTTGGATCCTTGGGAACCAAAGAGTCCCGGATATGAAGTACTTCCTGTTCGGTGAACTGCTTTCAATGGACAGAGGAATCGGTGAATGATCTCTTCTTATCGCTGCATACTGTTCCATGATATAAATTCCATACGTGTCCTGATTCTACGTGACATTTTAGAAAAGACCATGTCTTTTTTATGACAGTTGGTAACATCCAAGTGTCAAATATACCAACTTAGTTGTGTCACGAATAGCATTATCTGACGGCATCGGTCGTCATTAAAACATTAATATTTATGTCTTAATAATATGATGTCGACAGGTTCATTCCTATTCACTTTTTATCGTTTCCAACGGTATTCTCACTTGATTCTTATGTTTGAAAATTGTTTCCTTTCTTCCAGGCTGAAGATGAATGGAGAGATTTTGAGGAAGAGAAGAAGGATTATACTGGATTGAAAATTGGAAATTTGACCGTGAACGAGACGGCAGATGCCGAAACAGATGACGAAAGGGGGATGGGAGATAATTGTTCCGACGGGGAAGCAGGAGAAGCTGGTTCGAAGAATAGTGGTCCATGGAAAAAGCCTGAACTGCCACCGCCTCAGCAACAAGTCGAAGTCGAAGTTGAGAAACCCCCGCCACAGCAGCAGCCAGCCGCAACAGGAGGAAGCAGCTATAAGGCACCGTGCTTTAGGAATTCTCAAATGTCTGCCACTCCTCGCCAAAGAGGAAAGAACATTGCACCCGATATTAATAGTGAAGAGTACTTCCCGACATTAAGCGCAAAACAGCAGCAACAGCAGCAGGCAGCAGAATCGGTTGGTCCTTGGGGCAGGCGGTAAGTTCCTATATTTTGAGTGCTTTTAGTTTAATAAATCTAACATTATAAATTATAATAACCTTTTACTGTTTCAGCAACGATAACGTTATCTTAACTTCTTCACTAATACTTACAACTTTGATAGAATTAAGAGTTACATGGAATGTTTGAAATAAATGTAATGCTTAATAAAGTGGTCGTGTCTTTTTAGGAAGCGAGAAGAGGGCAGCTTTGAAGAGGTTCGTAACCGAGGCAGCAGTAGAGGTTACAGTGTGCAGGACTCACAGGTGCAAGTGCCGAAACTTTCATTGGGTAACAAGTACGGTGCTCTCTCACAAGATCAGAGCTGAAAGCAAGATTCCTAGCATCGAGCGAACGACGAACAATCAGTACGCCGTAATCGCTTCGCCCCGTTTCGCGGCCCAGTCTCGCTGCAGATTGTATATCGTAAATTAACGTGGATGCGTGCTTCGCGTTGCAAGGTTTTCCAGAGCTCAACTAGAGTTGTCCAAGTTGGATTTAGCGACCCAGAGTGAAGTTCCATGAGCCTGTTGAGGACCTCGCAGGACGGTGATACCGCATTGAGCAAAGAGATTGTCTGCATAAAAAATCCTGTGTGTTTGTACCTAACTGCGATACCTGCGGAGCAAACGAATTTGCCTTGAGCTTCTGTCGATGTGTACGGGATCGATTTTTTAAAAACTGGAGGAGCTGACGGTCGCGACGGCGGAATTTTTACTCCCTTTGGTATCTCTTTTGCGCCAATAGGACTTTACATACGGTACGTCTGTAACTTTCGAAAAAGTGAGAAGTGACGAAATGGAGATTGACCCTCACGTCTTGTCTGGCTTCTTACTCTTAAGAAACTTTCAGATATTGTGCTATATTGAATGGACGGAACTATGGAAAGGATCTACGATGATTTAATTACCAGATGAACATTTTATAGGACGCTTCGTAAACGAGAGATCTCCAGAGACTTATTTGAATTGAACAAACCACATTGATGGGCTGCGTTTTTCTTTTTTCTTTTCTTCTAAATTTTGAGTGCGCAGTACTTTACCTGTAGGTAGCGTTAATGGTGATTAGCATTATGTATCTTTTTTAATTTAAAAAAAACGCGTAAAGTGAGCATGTGATAAGATTCTAATACAACAATCAGTGGAGTACATCTTATTTACCTATTTCTTTTCTATTAAATCTTAATACGAGTAAGCGAAAGGACTATCATACGCTGTTATAAAGGATTGTAACTAGTCAACGTTGATTTTGGGTGATCAATGAGTGGGAATTATATGAAAGCTTCGAAGGCTGTTCGAAGGAACACTACCTGGAGATCTCTTTTTGTTGACTATTACGCAGGTCGTTTTCTTGATGTATGTTACGGGCTATTGAATGGTGCTACGCAATTTTGCACACGATTCCCAGACGTACATAAGTTTCAAGCCAATAAAACAATGATGAAACGCATTTAAGAAAAAAAAAAAAAAAAAAAAGAGATTAGTTTTCCTTAAAGTTGTGCATTGCTCTTTGGGTCTCCTGTCGACGTGAGAAAGATGATTTTAAAAGGTTTTCTAGTTAAAGTGAAAATGCCTGTATCGATGCACAGTAGAGCAACATTTATTCCGAGGCTGGGCTTCGGAACGATGTGTGAACTGAGAAATCATCGTTGCGAAAATATTGAAATGATTTATATCGGTCGTACTGAATGATAACTACAAAATCATAACTTATATTAATGACGTTGAAAGAAAGAAGTCGAGGAAACACGAGATGGAGATTGATTTTATGCAGAAAATCCTCTCGAGAAACGCTACGATAAGGAATGGCTATTAGAAAGTTTGCATAATCTTGCATTACCCGGATACCTCCGATTTTATATTCTAATGGACTTCTTTTTTTTCCGTATTTAGTTAAAATACGAGAAGTATTCACAGTTGAAAATCGCTTGTTTATTGCTCATTTTGCAAAATAATATTTCTTTACACATTTATGGAATTCAGAATCTTAAGATCGAATGAAATGACGTACAGTATGGATATGCTGAAAACAGAAACATACTGTACCATCTTACTGATGATTGCTTAATTAATCACTGTTTTTGTCTTCTAAAAATTTCAAAAAAAATCAAAATAGAGAAGGGACCGGTGTATGTCGAAAAGCGTAATCGGTGAAAGGATCCCTAAGGAGAAACATTGATATAAATGCTTATAAGGTGCTGGAGTCCTTTGCCATTTCTTTAAAATGAGTCGAAAGCGATGAAAAAAATGTATCAAGATCGATAAACATGTAATTATTTATAATAAAATCCATGGGATTCTTGTACAGATTGTTTCGACTGGCGATAACTCTCTATTTGAACTGACTATATGGTATTATCCTGAAATTTTGATCTTTTTGTTTAATTTCAAATCATTAAGCAGCAAAGGGTAACATCTGCATTTATTAATAAACTTAAAAGTATAATACTTTTGAGATTGATTTAATTTGCTTAAACCCATGGGTTAATGTTAGGAAGACAATATGAAAATTATACAATAATCAAGTAGAAAAAGATATACAGCCTATTGAACTACGCTGTTCTCCTAAGTATCCTTTGTGACAATTAAACCATTGTATAAGATGCACTAAGTTATGAATGTACACATGCATTTGTCGGAGCTGATGCGGTATTAAGATATCATTTCATTAGAATCCTTTTGTTTAAATACTGGGAACGCATATAATTGTGATTTAAGTGCCACATGGCCCTTGCCGTTGTTATCAAACCTACAGTCTAGCAAAGAAACTTCGCTAACATTCTGCAGAAGTTCAGAGCCTCCCATTTTGCTCTCTGTATTATTCAAATACTTTTGGGTTTCCATGCGTATCCCATATTCCTTGAAATCCGAGAAGTAGCAGTTTTTCACTTCGAGTTTACAATCATCTTGTAGCTGAAAAGGAGAGTTCGGTGAAGTTAAAACTTTGTTATCGTTGATATGATATGGCACTTTGATTAATTTTAAAACATTACCTGAACACCTTCGACACAATCTTTAAAGGTGCATTCTTCAAGAATAGCTTCACCAGATGAATGAATAACGACTGCAGTACCTAATCCAACGAATGTCGTCCTTCGAGCTAATAACTTTGTGTTGGCCAGTATCACCACTCCAAGCTTGGTCACGCTTTGATTCGTAACATAAATTTTACAATTCTCAATCTTGACGATTCCTGTTCTAACTAAAATGCCTGCCTGCAGATCTCTTAGGTCTACTGAGAGATTTTGTAGTAGAACCTAGAACATTATTGAAAGAGAAGAAACACTATAACTTGGTTATAAAACGGTATATGTATTTAATTATTATATATTTTCAAATAAATTCAACTTCAATGAAACTTTGATTTTTTTTAGTCAGTATGTTGGAATGTATATAACTTCAAAAGTGTCATACTTCACCACCAGAAAAATCCAACAATGATGGACCGCTTTCTGCTTCTATTGGTGCAATTATAGTGATATCCTGATTTGAGATCCCCTTTATAATACCACCTTCTTCCAGTCCACCAGCACCTCGAATTTCATGCTCACCTTCTCCAAGTATAATGATGTCATTTTCCTTTGATGCATCAAGAGCAGCTTGGAAACAATTGAGCGTCCTTTTAGAATGTAATGATATCACGTTTGAATAGTTTGATACTTACTTAAAGAACATGTCAGGTGATAAGAAAGATTGAATTTTATGTAATGTCTCTACTGTCTGTGCCAAGGATCCTCCAAGCCAAACGAAATGCCCCTCGGGCCGGTTTCCTCTACTTTCTCTTCTTTTATCCTCGATATCGACATGAATCGATCCACGATTTCTGACTAGAACCTCCCTCATTGCAGGATTCTCCAAGACCTCCATCTCGCTCTTAATTTGCTGGAGTCTAAAGTGAAGTTTCATCATTTGGCACATTTTTCCTTCATCTAAGAGATTCTTTTGATATTCTTCTTCTTCATCCGCTATGTCTGCCTCGAATCTAGCAATCTTTGTCTGAATTTCTCTGCTTTCTCTTACTAGGGTACGAATGACGTCGCATGTGTCTTTGCTTACAATACCTCTTTTCATATCAAAAAATAATCTAATCCTGGGCTCCAGATGTGTTGACACCCAGTCAGGATTATCATCGCTGTCAGTATCCCATGGCATCCATAAGTAGTTAAAGAAAAACCTCAATTGATCGATGCAGTTTGACGTGCCTTCCATATCCAAGGCAGAATTTTCTTGTCTCAAAGTTGGATAGAGTTCTATTAGAGGTACGTCATATTTCTCTGGAAGGTGAATCTCATCTTGGACAGCAGTAATCTTTACTAAAGCTGTTAACTCTTTAAAATTTACTTGTTCAACCTCTACTGCAACTATTGTTGGGTAATGGATCTCTAAATCCTGACAAGTTAGCCTCGGTATCTTCCACAGAGCCTGCCATCCCGTCGGCTCTATCACAAGCTCCACGTGATAAGACCATTCGGACTGAATTTCAGATGCTGGCACTATGTCTCCTCGACTCGATAAGATCTCATTGAATTCAACCAGTCGCTCCTGAAGACTCTTATCAAAGGTATAAATTTCCATCACTTTCCAGCTGGAATCACAATAAAAGACCTGAAATTGGAACAATGACAAGTGTGTGCATGTATCTTTACTTTTTAGATTGATGCATTATAACTAAAGTGATACCTGAGTTGCTCAAACTTGATAGACACCGATGAGTTGAAAAAAGTGTACAAGGGCCAGAAACAGCAATTTAATAACCTTATTACACACAAAGAAACTTAATTCGAATGATTCGAATAACGAACTTTTTGAAAAGATGCAATCAGCCATGAAACCACTTAAACTACGGAGTTCGTTCTGCCATTCCCGCCGACAGTTGAACCACGCTTACTCAAAATTTAGTTGGGAACTGCTCTTTCATTTTTCATATGCATATTGCAATTAACCAGCCGAAAAAAGGATACAGTTCTAGGAAATGCCGCGCGAAATAGGACGCGCTAGTATCGCGTAAATACGCAGTTAACCATCTACCATTTCATCACTCTTTCCTAACTAATTTGAAGAGCGCCAGCAACTGGTGCTCCGACTTATTTGTTACAGTTTATCTCGTGATAAAGGAAGATTTACTTGAACTTTTCGTCAGTCGCTCTTCTGCATCGCTGATTAATCATTTATAATGGCAAGCACGGTTGAATTCAAAGTCGGTAAGTTATGACATCTTCAGTGTTTTAAAAATCAGTAGCTCAATTAGCGAACACGTGTTTCAGCTTACCGGCAAGTTTTGTTTCACTACGGAGTATGATATCTATGTTTCATAATAGTGCTGCAATGACTATTGATTTAAGTGCTTATCAGGCAGATTGATGAAAACATTACTTTGCACAATTCTGTCTGCATGTAAATCTTAAATCCGAGCAACTCCTTTGATGTGATAATTTGTTGTATATTTATAGCTGACCTCTCACTGGCTGAATGGGGTAGAAAGGAAATCACGTTAGCTGAAAATGAAATGCCTGGTCTCATCGCTATTCGCAAGAAGTATGGGCCTTTAAAGGTACTAAAAGGAGCACGTATCGCTGGTTGTCTTCACATGACAGTGCAAACGGCTGTATTGATTGAGACTCTTGTTGAGCTTGGAGCCGAGGTAAGGGAAAAATATTCTTGCATTTCATTATCTTTAAAATATTCCTTACGTTGAGATATAAATTAATTTTTTGTGTTGTAGGTACGATGGTCCTCGTGCAACATCTTTAGTACGCAAGATCATGCGGCAGCAGCCATTGCAAAAAAGGGAATACCAGTATTTGCTTGGAAAGGAGAAACCGATGATGAATACATGTGGTGCATCGAGCAAACTTTGATCTTTGGCAATGGAAAACCATTGAATTTAATATTGGATGATGGTGGAGACTTAACAAATCTAGTGCACACCAAGTTTCCACAGTATCTTGAAGACTGTCGTGGCATATCCGAGGAAACTACAACTGGTGTGCATAATCTCTATAGAATGTTGCGAGCGGGAACTCTTAAAATTCCAGCCATAAATGTCAATGACTCTGTTACTAAGGTACGTCAAATCTAAAGAAATAATTACTGGCTCATGATCTATTTTACAACTCTTATGAGTGTTAGAAATCGATCTTGTTTTTAAAAATGGCAATGAGTTTAGTAGCTCAACGTGTTTGCATTTCGTTTTCAGAGCAAATTTGATAACTTGTATGGATGCAGGGAGTCTTTAATCGATGGTATCAAAAGGGCAACAGATATCATGATTGCTGGAAAAGTTTGCGTAGTTGCTGGTTATGGAGATGTGGGTAAAGGATGTGCTCAGAGCCTACGAGCTTTGGGTGGTCGTGTCATCATCACAGAAATTGATCCAATTAATGCTCTACAAGCTGCCATGGAAGGATATGAGGTGACTACAATGGAAGAATCTTCTGAGAAGGGTCAGATTTATGTTACTACTACTGGCTGCAAAGATATAATCACTGGCAATCATTTCATGAACATGCCTAATGATGCAATTGTATGCAATATTGGGCATTTTGACTGTGAGATCCAAGTACCATGGTTGGAGAAGAATTGCGTGGAGAAAGTAAACATCAAGCCACAGGTGGATCGCTATCTGTTAAAGAATGGCAGGTAAATGACACATTTTATTAAATCTTTAATCTCAGTATTCTTATAATATATTTAATATATTGTACCTATCATTATAGTTGAATAATGTGTAAAAAGTCACTACTAAGATTATTTTGTTTAATTAGATTAATTAATTTCAGGCATATCATTCTTCTTGCTGAAGGACGACTGGTTAATTTAGGATGCGCTACTGGACATTCCAGCTTCGTCATGAGTAACTCTTTTACGAATCAAGTGTTAGCACAAATTGAATTGTGGACGAAGACTGATTCGTATTCCATAGGTGTGCATATGCTTCCCAAGAAGGTAATTAACTCAGATTTTATTGAAATTTTGCTCAATTTTGTTGCAATCATTTCAAATAATCCTATTTAAACTTTAGTTGGATGAAGAAGTGGCTGCTCTTCATCTAAGTCATCTTGGTGTTAAGTTAACTACACTTACACCAGAACAGTCAAAATACCTCGATGTGCCAGTGCAAGGTCCATACAAATCTGACCACTATCGATATTAATTCGATTACTGAATGAATTGTACATGTTATGAATTTTGTACATTCCCTATGTTTGTCCTAACTGCATGTACAGAGTTTGGGGAAGAACAATGTATCAACCGATGAAGATATATCAGTACTGAGTAGAATAAAATAGAAAATATACATGAATCTCAAAACAAATTACTTTTTTAAGTCATTAACACTTTAACGACCGCCCTTTTATCTATCACACTATCTATCACACACATGTTGTGTGAGCGGTCGTTAAAGTGTTAATGAAAACAACGAATGATTAATCTATAAATATTTTTAACAATTTTGTTTATTACAAAAATTCGAGTTTATTGTTCTCAGATTTCTACAATATATATGTATTATTTACGAAGTAATAGACGAAATGATGAAAATATCAATCGATCGGTTGTAACACAAGAAATATGCGTGTGTTAGTGGGTTTACTAATTAGATACAAAATATATTCATAGGGTTTTCTTCACATAGTCATCAAACAGGTACACAGAAACAGAGGCATCCCGATCACCAAGAAGATCTTTCAGATCATTGGTGTGTCCAGCAAGAGTGCGCACACAATCTGCTTGTTTTTCAAAGAACTGTTCCTCGATGTAATGTGCAACGGATGCATCTTGTTTCGTGTGGTGTTGAGCTTGAGTGTGGATACGAAGTGCCTCTTCAGCCAGTTGCTTCTCAGTATCAAGAGCTTTAGCGAGACTGTTCAATTCGTTCAGCTCCAAAACTCGACCGTCTTTAGCCTAACACAAAATAAAAAAAAAAAATTGTTAAAAAGGGAACGAACATATACTTGCATACATTTTCAACAGTTCAACAGCCAATAGCATGAAATTATCTAGGAAGTACTTACATTCTTCTTAAAGCGTGGTAATTGATTGAAGTTCATTTTTCCTCCTCTCTTGGTGATAAATTTAATTACATCAATAGCATCCTCCCAGGACTTGTCTGATAATTTGCGATACAAATGTTTGAATCCTTCACGGTTCGCTTCATAATTTCCAAAGTGTGCCGACATCAAGAGAAATTCAAAACTAGTTTCGATATGAGCATTGGCATAAGCCTGAAGATCGGCTTGCAAGGCTTCGAAGGAGCCATACTTTGCATTACAGTTAGCAAGCAAAGGCCCATCTGGAAATGAAGATACATTTGATTAAATTGTAGAATTCTATTTTGTACCAAAAGATAATCTTAAATGATTTCTGACTGAAACGAACTCACCTACTGGTGTGGGTCTAGAACTACAGGCTGCTTCAACGTCATTATAACAGAATTCGGCTTTAGTAAGCACAATCAGAGAAAAAAGAAGCCACAAGAGATACATATTTACTGCAACAAAGTATAATATTCTTATACGCAACTTTAAATTTAAAAAATGTAAGTCATTGATGATTAATCATTACTTTATTAACAATTAATTTTTGGATTAAGATAGATTTGCCGGAATCTCTGTTAACCACATGACAAATTGCTGCAGAAATGAACCTCTACATTGACTCTTATCGTATATAGATTACTATCATGAAATCTAAGTACTAGAAAACACCTGATAAGGTCAACGCCCAGCAAGATGGTGAAGTGCTCGTTCAAAAAACGTGTCAGTACTTCAAGCTAGCCGAAGCGAGTTTTGTCCGATATAATGCATGATTGACTGGTCGTTATATCCTCGGCACTTTGATGGGCAAGTTAAGCAACTTTCAATTCTCCTTGAAACAATTATCTAGCACGCGAAGAGATATCGAGTAAGCTCGAATAAGATACAATCGGGAGACTGGCAACTCAAGGTAAAAGACTTCTCATAGGGAATGAAGAGTAGTCATTTCCTGTATATGAGATAACTTCTCGGAATGATTACAATTAACTATTTGACGGTAAGTAAAAGAGGTAAAACTGAAGTTTGAGGTTACCCACAATCAAGATTACAAGGGTTTTGTTACGAATAGTACCGTCCACAAAGTGTTTGACGATGCAATTGTTTTTCGTTTAAATAGAGATCTATTGTTACAACATTCACCTGTTATATTTGTATCGTGGAACGGTGGATACAATGAACGACGGTTAAAAACTGACAAGAGAATCCCTTTATCGAGTATCAGGGGAAGTACTTCGCTCGCGCCTTAATGAACAGCGACCTTGTCGGAGAGTTCACGCGTCGGAGGGAAAGGCTCGCTAGCCGAGTACTGAACGTTGAACGTTGGACGTTGGACGACGAACACCATCACTCGTCGTCACCTTCGTCACAGTCACACTTCCCGATTCTTCCCGATCAGCTGACTGAGACGAGCATGCGCAGAACGCGTATACGCTTTGGCGTGTCATTGGAAAATCCCGGGAAGGGTGACGGTCTCAATGGCGCCATAAAATTGGTCCAACGATGTTGATCTAGAGTCAAAGTTCCATTTCTCATTCGGGTGCAGACGCGCTCCATTTACCATATAATAAACACCTAAAACGTTTCAAACCGTTTGCCGTGCACCTATCCAGAATCTAAATCCCCATTTCGCAGTAACTGAGCTCAGAATGAGAGATTTGCAAAGTGGAACTGCAGTCTGGCAAGGCATGTTTAGCACTACGTTTCCCGGTTCCCGCTGTTTTTGGGTTTGCCAGCGAGAGGGGTCGAAGGGGAATCCAGCTAAGGCATACTGATAACGCGTACGTGCACCGTTAAAGATTTGCTTCCACAGATAAGATCTGGACTCCTCGGGGTTGTTCGATGGTCCCTTTTTTCCTGTGCCCCGGAAGATCAGAGTTCCACTTTGATTGTACTTTCTCTTTCTTCGGAAACCGGTCGAAACAGGCATGGCAGCGCCTCGCTGGTCGCCTGTACTAACTGCGTAATACCTGCGATCCTCGAATGAACGGGAAATACCAGACAGTTTCGCGAAAAATGAGAAATCTAGATCAACGGCGAGGCGGGTTTCGTGATAAATCGGAGAATGCTTTCCGTGTTCGCAAATAGGTTGAGATAAACGAGTAAATAGAATGTGGAACTTAGGGTTTTGGGGGTACCGGCGCCATGGGAAGCGATAGCTTCGCGGGAAGCGGGCGAGGGAGCGCTGACGTATCCCGCGTTCTAGGTTTCGTCCCCTCTCCTTTACGCGAGTAACTGCGGATAACGGGCGAGTCGAACGAGTCTTTGTTGCCGATGAGGCGCTCTCAATTATCTGGTGTACTGCGTCCGTGATAACGCCTCTCTTCGCTTGGTTATCAGTGCTCCGAGAAGAAACACCCACTCTCCGGTTTGTAGAGCGAACCTTCTATACCAGTGCGTATAAAGGTTATCCCTCTTTACCGATCGCCCTCGCGTGTGGCCGAGCGTGTGTAATCGCAAATTTTTCGGAGAGATATTCGTATCGAATCGCTCGATCGGTGCCATGAAGTCCCTTTGCGTTTTCCTCGGTTCTCTCCTCTGCTTGGGCTTGGTCAGCGGAGATGGACTCAAGTGTAAGTAGACTTTGATGTCCGAAGAGTTTTTGCGAAAACTTGACCGATCTCTCTTCGAGACGTTCTCTTTAAGATATTTGAAAGGCGTGCTTGTCACGTGCTCGCACCTATTGGTTTTCTTTGACTACTGTCGATTGTCTGTTTTAGTTCATTAATTGAAATTTTTCATACTAACTTTACAGGTTTACGGAAGAACTGTCTTGCGATTTAACGATGACGCAGCAATGATGAAATGTATATATTGATATGATTTTCACTTGTTTCAGGCACCCTTAAGCCTGCCGACATTCCCAATGCATGGCTGGACATGGTCGATCCCTGTATAAAGATTTTAGAAGCTCAGGTGAAAACGGAGATTGAAGCTTCCATGACTTATCTTGCGATGGTAAGTAGCGATGCATTAATATCGATGAATGATCGGTCGTTTTAAGATTATTCTAACTTGGTTTTTTTTTTAACTTATTTGTCAGGGTGCTCACTTTGCACGGGATTCTGTCAATCGACCTGGATTTAGTAAATTCTTTATTAATAGCGCTTCGGAAGAAAGAGAACATGCCATAAAGGTTATCGAATACCTATTAATGCGTGGCCAACTTACAAATGACGTCAGTAAACTGCTCAAGTTTCCTCTGGTATGTATTGCGAAATTTTGACAAATTGCCTGGTAACATATGAAAAACTGTTGAGAGATCAAATTATATATTTATTTGTAAATATGGATGCGTAATTATAGACAACTTCTCTAATTCTTTATAGCGTCCTATACGAGAGGAATGGACAAATGGAGTAGAGGCACTTACGGATGCTTTGAATTTGGAAGCACAAGTTACTCGAAGTATTCGTGATATCATCCAAATTTGCGAAGCACCAAAGACTAGCACTTTCAACGATTATCACGTAAGTACATAATATGAAAATAATTCTGTTGCTTCTGAGTTCTTCATTGCTTATTTTGATATGCAGTTGGTTGACTATCTTACGGCTGATTTTCTCGACGAACAATACAAAGGACAACGTGACCTTGCGGGAAAAATATCGACTTTGGGCAAGATGATGGCTACCCATGGTCCACTTGGAGAATTCTTATTCGACAAACAACTACTGAGTGATTAAGTGTAATATTTGTATTATACACATTTAATATTCAACTTTTGAACCTTTTTTTTTTCCCCCAAGATGTGGTAAATCTAAAATTTAGAATTCTTCTACCGTACTGTTTTACTGATATCAGTTTCAGGAGACATTGCCTTAACAAGAACGATGTTTTTTTTTAATGTATCGGATAAGATGTAGGATTATCATGTAAATAATAGTAGCGTTCATCATCAGTGATGTGTTTCTTTTAGCGTGTACTGTAAATAAAACGGTATTTCGCAACCGGTCATAATTATTTTAGTATCAGAAACTTGCAGAGTCATTCAAATGGACGTTACATATTCTAACGTCGCTAATGCAACTCTTATTCATCAGAAACGGACTTTTTTCTAGGCTTTTAGTACATTATGTACATCGTTTCTCACAACGTTTTGATAACCTTTAGCCAACATTGCAATTCACTCATTAAATAAAGAAAAAAAACGCTAGATTAAATAACAATTTAATTTATAGAAGACGTTTATGTGGCCTGAATTAGATATGCGTTTAAACAAGTTAAAAGTACTCGGAGAGGTTAGAAATTTAGGTCACGGACGATGGCGCTGTCTTGTAAGTATGCAGTTTAGGCGAGAACGCTGGAGAAATGACAAGAATGTAGAATACAGAAATGAGTTGGGACAGAGATATCTCTGCTTCTGTACATTTAACGATAATCTTAGAAATTAAAGAAATGATGTTGGCTTTTAACAAATGAATGAATGAATGATGTTACAGTATATGTCGTTGTCACTGTTTCTGACTAAACGCTTCCTAATTTTTGTAATGTATTTCTTCGTTTGAATTCTTGTCCAAGTTTGGAGGAACCGATGAGAATCTGTCGATAAAAAAGATTCGTGGACGAGCAGCGCCACCCTAGGATGAGGTACGTACTATGGTTACTGTTGGTGAATCTTTTCATGAAGAGATGCACTTCTACACATGTCCAAATTCATCGCTTTTATTAACAGGTTGCCACGTGGTGGTATATAACGCGTTCCCTCCTTTTTTTTATCTGCCGGGACAAACTAAATACGCCGCAGAGGCCACTTTTATCCATCATGTTTTTAAACTATTAGCTGAAGGTCGCCAGGGGAGCGGTATTTGTCAGTCGGTGTCGTCGATTCCGATTTCTATTGTATTCTACGGCAAATTAAAGGCAGTTCTACCTTTCTGCTCACTTTTACCTCACGGCATTGTCTTAATGTGTTTAGGTAATATGTTTACTATGTTGAGGATTTCAGGGATACTTTTGGAATCCGAGCTTTTATGTAGGAGCAAGTTGGTACATTAATTTCTCATAATTACAAATTTCACTTGAAAAGGTGATTTTAGGAAAGTTCTTCACCAAGAGCCCCTGTGGCCTAATGGATAAGGCATCGGTCTCCTAAACCGGGGATTGTGGGTTCGAGTCCCACCAGGGGTACATTACTTTTTTTTTTATTTGTTGTACCATCTTTTTTAGAATTATCTACTCATAAGCATTTTTAAACGTACTTCTTTCCTTAACTCAGTCATATTTTAAATAATTAAAATTTTGAAGACAAGTATTACTCGATACAGCAATAAAATGCTTTTGTTATATTAGGATATACAGGTTAAATGAAGAAGATAATTGTATATGGAATCTTGTTTATTTAACATAAACAGTCTCAATACATGTAAGTCATGAAGTAAACATTTATCGTAACATACACCTAGCGAGGTTGAAATTCGAAACAGAATTATAATTAATCTTATGATAGAAAGATGCTAATCGTTTACAATTGAAAATGATTAAAAGTGGTAACAGATCGTCCACGTGTCATTGATAGTATACATAGTAATATGATTAAAATTCGGAATATTTAGTACAAGCAACATTCTTTAGATATTTAGTAATTACGAAGATGCTTGCAGGTAGTCAGGTAATGAAATACTGATGCTTTTATACAAAGCTGTAAGCTTCAAATACATTTAAACTGAAAAGATGTAGAATGTAATTTTCTACGTGGAATGTTCCAAATTTTAGTCAGATTACTCATTACCAACGATCAATCAATTGTAATTGCACCTTTTGCCTTTTACAAAGCTTGCTTCTGTTTAATTATTGAGTTGTTTGCGGTCTGAATCTGCGCGCATTTCGTTTGAAACTGTTTCTCTCAGAACCAGCTAGGATTCCAGCTTTTCGCAGTGCATCAAATTTCCTGTTCTTTGCTGTTATCGCCTGGCTTCTGAAACTGGTCTTTGAACCACCCATTGTGTACTGTATATTTAATCTTCGTCCATGGAAGAATGTCTGATGCAGAGACAATCCTTTCTGTAAATCAAGATTAAACCAAATAAATATAACAAGATAGTTGATTAAAGTGAAAAAAAAAAAAGAGAAATATTTTATACCTCGTAATCAGTATTGTTAGCCAATTCAACATAGGCAATGCCACGTGATAAGTTTGTATTAGGCTTGATAGGTATTCTGATATCAACAATTTCCTTCACTTTGGTTAAAAAGTGTTTTCTGAGATCTTCTTGTTTCACTCTGAAATAGATATTCGTATAATTATTTAAGGATCCCTACAACGTAAAGTTAAAGATATTCACAAAAATAATTCCAAGAAAAAATGTAGGTTCTTACTCATATGGTAGATTTCCAACAAAGAGAACAAATCTCTTTTTCTTGGGCCCATCTACTTTCTTTTGTTGCTGCTTCGGTTCATTTTTCTTTACTTCGTTTCCTTTGGGTTCTCCCTCTTTTTCCTCGTCATCTTCGCTCTCACCTTCATCCTCACTTCCCTCTTCATCAACAACTTCTTCATCATCGGAACCATCATCCACTTGCATTTCTGTGTCTTCGTCACTTTCATCTTCCTCATCATCTTCAGAATTATCACCAGCCTCGTTATCTTGTTTCAATTTAATTGAAAATGGGTTAGGTTTTTCTTTCTGTGGTTTAGTTACATCCAAACTAGTATCAGCATCTTCGGAACCGGAGTCTTCTTCGTCTTCGTCATCTTCATCTTCTTCTTCTTCGTCTCCAATGGAAACGTTTGCAGAAACTAATTTTTTGCCATGACCGTCATTTTGTTTATTTTTATTTCCTGAAGCCTTTTGTCCCTTTTGTTTAATTGCTGCCTGCTTTTTCCCATCGATGGATTCTTTTGCTTTCTCAATAAGTGGTACAAGTACATCTGAGCCTTCTGCTGGATATTTCAAATATGCCTGAAGCTTGGCAAGCTTCCTTTTTGCAGTTTTTGTAATAGCATCTCGACTTTTTATATCTGCAATCTTTTGATTTAGTGTCTCCACTGGTATTTTACGAAATTGCTTTCCATCGATCTCAACTAATTCTTCGTTCAATTCATTTGATTTTTGTCCATTAATATTTTTCTTTTTAATATTTTCTTGCTTCAAATCTTTTTTTTGCTTCTTTGGCGACAAACCTTCCCTTTCTTTAAGCAGCAAATTTACTTTTTCATGCTCATCACTATTCTTACGTTTCTGCTGTTTCACAGATAGTTTAGCCTGAGCGTTTCCTGATTTCACATTTTGAGTCTTGCTCAACTGGTTTTCCTTCCTGAACTTCATGTTTATTATCTGTTGAACGCAAGTAACATTAAAGAATGCTCAAAGTATACCCATAAATTAACGTAAAAGTAAAGGTAAAAATACCGCGGCGTGGGTCAGGATACTATTGAAATTCTAAGTCTATAAATGCAGATAAATCAATGGAAATTGACAACATTTTTGTAGGCAAACACAATAGGAAGAAGTTCCCTTCAATTTACAACAACTTTTTTCCAAAATGCTGCTGATTTAACTACTAAAATTATTGAATTACCGGTGAGTTGGTGCTGGAGCCACGTGCTGTAACGACGAACGCGCAATGAGGACGCCTTCCAGGTTAGAACTCGATGGAGTCGGTGCGATGCGACGCATTAACACCAGATGGCTATTTCCGATACAGGATACTAAAGAGGGGGAAACAAGACGTACAGGATTGGTCGCTTCTATTGTAAACGATAAAATCATTGGTTGCTACATGGGAAACATGAAATACGGATCGTTACGGAAGTGACGTTGGAAGTGGACTCCTCTCATTGGTCGCCGATTTCAGAAACTATGAAAGGTATAGATGAGGTTAGGCCGCGATTTAAAATGATCTACAGGATTCTCAGCGTAACTGGAGATGGCGCTGCAGGATGTCAGTTAGGGATCAGGAAACTCTATTAGCACATACAAATAAGTACCAAAGAATTATTAAATATTATTAACTACCGCGCTTGGGAATCTGGATAAATGTGCAATACGCCCGGACTGCGCATCCTTGGATCGTAGGTCGTCGTTTTGCTAGCTTTTGGATTTGCTCGCAGAGTGATTTTTTTTTAATCTGAAAAATCAGGAGATTGCCAACGTTCGAGACGTAGGGCGCTCTGCCCGAAGAGACTGCAAGAGTCAAAGAGGCTATATGCCGAAACGGCCCTTTAAGAAGAGGTTAACTACGATGGCCTTCCGTTCTTTCGAATGGACAGCCATCCAATTTTTTTTGCCACGTTGTCCCTCCTATTTTTTTTTATGTCATTTTGTCAAGATTGACAGGGAAGAGAGGGCGAAAAGTCATTTTGATTATGTCTCGTCGAGTTTGCATTTAAATGGATTTTTTCCTACTTAGTGATATGAAAAATACCAGTTCAGTCAATTTAAGGAGCTCGATTTACCATTAATATTCTTCACTTTTAGTAACTCATTCGCTGTCTAATCTCAGACTTCCTGGATTTGTTTAATGTTCTGTTTTGCCTGCTCCTTTTCGGATTTAGGTGGACCACTTAACAGGATTAATGTTTTTTTTTTTCATATCGTCACGGGTAGTTCCACTTATAAAATGTGACGCTGCATCCGGAATTATTAATTTTGAATATTATTAAATTGATTCCTATTTTTTTACGGGTAGTTGCGATCATCTTGTCAGACTCGATGTTTAATATTCCACGGGAGAAACAAAGGGTTCGTTGAAAATATCTTTGTATTCAATGATAACAGATAAAATTACACGTGATACAAACGTGTTATTATTATTGTTTTGCCGACAGACGGTTGGAGCCGCGGCTACTCCAGTAAATCTCGAACTCCCGTTTAAATACTAAATTACACAAATATACAAGATATATACAAGTAGTTTCAATAAGACACCTTTCAACGGGATTAATAAGTCTAGCGATGCTAACTTCGAAGTTAGGCCGACCGCCGGTACAGATATTCTTTAAAATCTACCTTATATACATTTAACCGAATCTTGGACGTGGCAGTAAGTCGCGAAACTAAATCCGACGTTTTCAGATGAACTCAGTGACGAATATCTTTTTGAAGTCGGGAACGGAGCCGCCGATGTCGTGCTTGCAGATTTCCCCGTTGTCCATGTAGCTGACGAGCGAGTTCTTCAAGGTTGTCCGAAGGCTTTCGATGGACAAGTTGGGCGCCTTGTGGTTTGGATAGATCTTGTCTAGGTCGTTCATCGAGAATCCAGGGGAGATCTTCCTCTTTAGGTGGTAGGATTGTATCGTGGGCTTCGTGTCGATCTTCGTCTTCTCCAGGCCGAAGGAGGTGCCGTTCTCGATTATTCTGGGAGTGAAGCTTCTCATGTTGACCTCGGTGCTCCTCCTCGAGGGCAAGAGCTCCACCTGAGGGAAAAATCATTAAATCGTGATGAACCTGACCGAATTAATGCAGACTAACTTGGTTAACATGGTTTCGGTGCATAGAGGCATTGATGCATCTAGCATGGTGCAAAGGAAACAAAGTACGCTCTCGGAGGTCTTATTTTTTATTCGTTTTCCGCCTTTCTGAAGCCGCCATTCTACGATATGGTAGCGGGTTGTATGTAACTATTACTACTTATCACTTTAATCATGACGAATTAATTTTGATTTCGAAATTTAAAAATGCCCGGATATTCGGTAAAATTAAGTTAAAACTGAAATGGAAAGGCGAAAAATGTTACTACTTATACACTTCTTTTACCTCTTTTAAATTTACCTTGTATTTGACGTTATATTTTCATTGGTTGGTAAGCAAATATGGTTATATTTTAGAGGTACTATGATTGGTCCACCAAAAGGAATGTACGCAAAAAATCATTGCTACAGCGGTTGAACTTTTAAAAATTGTATCGATTCAATTATAACAATTTTCCGCGGATCGTCCCCTTTGCATCATGTCTGCTAGGATCGTTTAGAAAGCTGCGTCTACTGTTTAGTTCCTACAGGGGATCTCCGAAATGCGTGTCAGGGGAGGACCTTGGTCTCCTTTCGCTGATAGTACTCGAAGTCGTCGTTGGCCACGGTGGTGACGGAGCAGCAGCTCATGGCCCTGCTCCTGCAGGAGCTCATGGTGTCGTTGAAGTCCCCGTTCTCCAGGTCGCAGCTCTCGTCGTCGGAGCTGACGTACCCGACTTCCTGGTCCCTCGGCCCCTGGTTCTCCTCAGAGCATGAGTGCCTCTTCGAGAACTCCTTTCTGATGTCGTAGGTCCTCGAATTGAGCCCGGCCCTCTGGAACCTCGCGTAGTCGAAGCTCTGGTTCCTCCTGACGGGGTTTCGCGATCGCTGACCCTGACATAGGCTATCGCGTATCAGCTGATCGCCAATTTTGGCCTCCAGCCCGATCAGCTGTTCCAGGTCTGGTAAAGCACCTCTGGATTGCCTTCTGCAGGGCTCCTCTCGGATCTCGTCCAGGCTCCTGGTGAACTTCCTCTCTTTCCTTGGGGCCTCCTCCAGCTGGACCAGGTTCTCCATATTCTGCCCGAAGACGTCGGTGCTCCCGATTTTTCTGCGCGTCCCGAAATCGACGTTCTCGACCATCAGGACCCGGGACGACTGCTTGCTCGCCTTTGAAGTGCTGCTTCTGCTGTCTTGTCGAGGCTCGAAGGTAGAGCTTGCGAAGGACGTCAGTTCTGCAGGAAGTGAGGCGTACGTTGGCTCCTCGTTCATGGACTGCGCCCTAGGGTAGTGCTGGATCCCCATCGTAATTCCTCCAGTTCTTCCTGAAAAAGGAAGATCTCGGTTAACTTGTTCTGACAGTGCTCTGACTTTCGGCCTACAATTTGGTACTGTTTCTGTAATTGCAGGTGAAGTTGCTTTCTCTTGTTGAAGATATGTTTCTTCCAAGTCGTAAGTCTGTCCGAATGGATTTCGAGATATTCGACTTCATCTTGCAAGTTCTTTTTGGATATTCTTTTCTTCTGGAAATGCGCTGTTGGAGCTTACCTCGATTTTGTTGGTTGTGTAACCTTCCGTATAAGCTCCCATTGGTTAGGGGAAACTTCAGTCCATGGTTTAGATTCAACTGAAGCTTGTATTCGGTATCCTGTTCGAAGTGCCTGAATTTCCCGTCTATTCCTCCTGAAAACGAGGCATGAACTATTAAACAGCCTAGATTTGTGAAGGGATTAGGAAGAGAAGAAAATATGTTTTCCGATTTTCTTGTCGAGGTAAAACCTTTCGGCAAGAAAAAGTGACGAACTTAAAGAGCAAGAACGTACCATGGGACATTTTTCTGGCATGGTCCTGTTTCGTGTAGACCTTGGCAACGTATCGGCAGAACATCTTGTCAAAAACGGCCAGAAAAACGGGCAGCAGCGTGTCCTTCAACAATGGAAGCCACGTGGCTAGGTTCTGGGGGGTGCAGAATTTTTGCAGGAGATTCGGCCTGATGGACACGATCTGAAAATGATGTGTTACCGTTAAAACATATTAGACACGTGTAGATTATCTGAAAACATTCGGTAGACCTTTCTGGCCACTCTAAGCGGTCCGGATAACACCACGCGATCGGGGCTGCTAATTGACGCCCAATTACCATAAGTTCTCGGCTATCGGGATCTCGGGGGAAATGTTAGAAAAAGTCACGCTAATGATCCGGTCCGCTCGGCAAAACCTTCTTACGTGTTCCTATCGGGCTCGGCAACTTTCGATTTTACAGGCGGCTCTCGCATCGCCACGGTGAAAACCATCGCGTCGCGCTTTCAAAAAGGCACGCACACTTTGTGCACACTTTATCCGTACATACGCGTACACAGGCCTCGCGTTTGCATTAATTTCGCGTGTGCGCCGCTCGTTTCCCTCGCCATGTGAAAGATGCGCGCCTCTGTAGGCGTCAATTAAAAAAATAGAAGCGGCTCGCAATTATCGAAGCGCGCGGGGTCGCCATTTTCCGTCGACGCGACGCGCGGGGGCCGCCATCTTGGATTCCGTTCTTCTCGATAATTTTCCTAAGTATTACGGTAAAGATTTCCACAAAATTTCCCTCCCCAAGGAAAATTAATCCTTTCTTTCTTATCCGGCCAGGATTTGCTGAAGAACTTATTAGGTAATTCGAAAAATTCAATCCTTATATAGCAGCAATCAGAGTCACGTAAATTTAAGAAAATTCCTCACTTTTTTTTTGCTTCACTTTTTGAGTTGGTCGAAAGATCATTTCTGTATCTGTGGCAATGAGGAAATTATATTTCTATTTCCCTCACTCTTGAAATCGCGATCTTTACTGTATATAAGCTCTGTAGCGTCTCGTTGAAATTCAAGGCGTTTCTCAAATCACTCGACGCTATGAGTTTCTTGATATGGGTAAATTTTTTAGTGTCATCCCGAGCAGAGGATTAGTCAGCAATCAGTAATGTGCAAGTCAGTTAGTAATGTTAGTAAATCAGTAAACAGGCGACGATGGTTGCCAGAAAACGACAGATCTTTTGAAATGACCTAATCAATTTATTCCCGCGCTATGTAACACGGTTCGATGACTTACGCATTTCTATGATTACTAGTGTTTAATTTATGGGTACGATTTTACCGTTACTATTTTATCGGCGTTATCGCCTAGCAGAATATCGACTTTCACCGTTTTACGATTTCGAATCGTCCCCTCGACTCGTCCCGGGAATTTTAACGAGCGACGCCATAATTGTCAGCTGATCGGCCCGGTCTTTATACGTGCGGTCATGTGTGGTGTATTTAATATAGAGAATGCGCAATTGCGCATGCATCCGTGCCGCGGTGTGGCCGTAAAGGAGTCGAAACAATTTCACTACGACCCGATTTCCAGCGACGAATCTCAATGAGACCGCCGGAAGGAAATCGAGGTTTCCCCCGAGAGGTGCGACCTTCAAGCCTCCACGAAAGAGAGTCGAGGGAAGATGGAGGACACTTTTTTTTTCTTCTACCATAGAAATTTCACGTTCCGAACTCTCCCTGACCCTATATGCGAGTCTTCTATCCTGCCCCGGAAGTGGGGAGTAAAAAACAGGGGGCCTCCAATTATTTTCACCGCACTTCCGGATGTCACACCCGACACGACTTCCGGCGTGGGTTCACTCGCTCGAAGATCCTTATTTATTCCACTGGCGAATAATCGCCCGTTCGTGATAAACGGATTCGATTTTCTTCCTTTTATCGAGAAAGAGTTGAGAAGGCTGTCGTAGATGTGTAGATTCTGTAAATCCAAGCTATTCCTTTGATATTCTTGAGAGAGTGAGAGAGCAATGAAAAGGGAAGAGAGCAAACAACGGAATTATGTTTTTCCTGGCTCTCTTTGTTTTTTTTTTCACGGTAGATAATATATGAGCTTATAGAAATGGAGAGGACATTGCTATAGTATATGTATGGTTCAAGTGTCCAAAGGATATTGGACAGAAGGATCTTCCGTTTCTTAACGTTCCGAAAGCTACATTTTCACATGCTCCACTGTTGTGTCGCTGCAAGCATCAAAATGCAAATTTTTCTGGAAATTTCCGAGTAACCGTTTCAACAAGCTGAATCGGTTTCTTGAATTTGCAGCAAAAACGAGTAGCAAGAACGTAGACTGCAAGCAACTTGCTAGAATCTTGAAGATGTATACATCATGCTTGTTTGAAACTGCTGTACAATTTTTTTTGCCAAATTTCAATATGCGAACGAATAAATAAACGTACTCTATAGCTTTTATGTATCGTTTCTGCCGTGCACATAATTTTTGTCGGCAAAGTTAAGCGACAGAGAATACCTTTCTAGTCTGACCTCTTCAGGATAATCCCCTTTTTATATGATCTCTTACATTTACATTGTACCGCGCAATTTTCTTATGTAAAGAGAGAGAGAGAGAGAGAAAGGGCCAGAATTTTCTTCTCTTCTCCATTTCTTCTTCTATGGTGTTAGAGTAAAGATATCCTAAGTCGATGATCGTATTACAGAGATTTTGGCTGGGCGCGATTGACGATCAGACGTTGAAAAAGTTTCTGCTAGCGGGCGATTGGTCGATCGCGGGAAGGTACTGGATTTTTTGGGTCTTTTTCCAACCGCAGTGGCGGAGAAAACCGCGCGGAAAATGCCGCAAAGGAACGCCGCTTCGAGGAAGGGCGTCGACTACGCGCGATAAATCGGCCGGCCTGCCGGCCATTACGGCGTTACGCTCGGCCTGGTGCATGTAATTTTGCGCATTACGAAATATCTGTGGGGCCGCGCCGCCCCTCGAGAAAAAAAGCTGGAGAAAAGCCCGCGAAATAGACGCCGGCTGTAGTAATGACTCCCTGTTACGCCGAGGCCGAAAAAGTGGAGCATTCACGGGCCCTACGAGGCCCTCTGGTCGAAGGAGTCGATGCCGTGGCCTTTTACTTTCCAAGGCTTTTAGATCCGATAATTTCCTCCTCACGTGCCGACAACGAAGAAAATTTCGGAGTCTCGTTCAATGGCCGAACAATTTTCGGTTGGAAGTCTATTTGATGAGTTCTTCCCCTTGGAGCCGTGAGATGGTCCCATGCTTCACGGCGAATCAAGATGGCGGCGGAAGAAGCGATTCCTGAACCAGACACTGTTTCGGATAATAAATGAAAATGTCTACTAACCGGAAGATCGTTGAAAATGCCCATGAACTAGAACTATATCGCTTTGGGCAATAATTGAACGTGTTCACGAACCAGAATATCGATTTGGAGGATAATAAAAAATATGTTCGCGAACCTGAAAATCGCCGTGGACCGTATTTAAAAATGTCAACGAATTATTAGATCTCTTTGGAAGATGAATTAAAAATTTGTAGATGAGTCTTACCAAGATAGGCACGTGGTCGAAGACGTAGCAGACGAAGAGGATGCTGAGGACGGTGGAGTAGCTGTTGGTCTCGTCGACCTGGACGGTTCTCTTCCTGAGGCAAGCTCTGCTGTTGGTGGAGCTGCTGGTGCAAGACCCGCTGGAAGGATCCCAGTTTTGAGGATGGCAATCGAAGGCACCCGAAGAGTTCTTCGAGCTGGTCTCGGACAGGTCTGAGACGGACTTTAGGAGTTCCCCTCTGGTCCTATGACAAGGATGTCTGAAGACGGCAGCGATCAGGCTCACGAGGGACGTCAGGACCAGCAAGGTCCTCAAGGAGTTGACGAAAATCCCGTATCGGCTGGATATCTCCTGGGGCAGGAAGACGCAGACCTCGGGCTCGAAATTCAGGACCCCGGTGATTCCAATGCACGCACTGACCACGCTCAGGCTGACCAGGTGGTATTTCAGGTGGTTCTTCGTTAAGCTCAGTTCCTCCCAGTTGACGGCGGCGAAAATGGCGATGGAGGTCAGGGTCAGCTCCTGCAGGATGCTCGACGAGTTCAGCATCCACACCAGGGTCGAGCAGAGCTCTGGGGAAGAGAAGGGGTTCGTGGATTTAGTTTGGGAAAATCATTTTTGGAAGACGAAGGGTGGAGGAAGATGGCGCACCTCCGAAGTGGTTAGCGGGCCTGATAAGCGTGAGGATAGCGTACAGCAGGAGTCCCAGTTGATTGGCCAGACTTTCCGCTAGAACCGCCACCGCCAGGATGTCTATCCTTCGCTTCGAGGACGACGGCTGATTCTGGTAGATCAGCAGCGACCAGGACAGCAACAAGATACAGATCGGCGAGCCGACGCAGGTGGCCAGCCACTCGCCCACCTCGCTCCGCATCTCTGCTGACATGTCAAAAGCCTCAGTCAAGGTGCACGGGAAGATTAAGTCGCGTTTTCCCTGATTTACGAGACAATTTCAGAGCTGAAATCGCGTCGCTAGAGTGTCAATGCATATTTATGGTTGCTGGTTATGCTATAAGGCGCCTTGATCCTTGAGGGGCAACGAAAGCCGGGTGCTTTCCGGGGCACAACAATGCTTCTTTCTCCTAATTTTGACTCCCACGGTTGGCTTTTTTTTTTTATGAAATCCTCCCACGATTGCACCTCGTTTCCTTCGGTGCACTCGAGCATTCCGTAATTGGACTTTCGCGACATGCGAAATGATTTAATTATTCGGCATAGCTTTCACGCGAGGAGTTAGGACAGTCGTTTCGAAGTCTTCCCAGCCGGTATCTTCGTCGAGCATCGCCGGAAGTAGGAAACGAAGGATCCTTCGTTGTCACCCGTGCATGTGCACAGTGCGACCGATAATCGCTGGATTTCTATTCGTTACTTTATTCTCTGTGATGAACTGTGTCGAAAATCTGTTTTCCAGAATTTCGACAGATTGCCCAGTCTCGAGATATTCAGATGCGAAATGGACCAATCGCGCGAAGGGTCCGAGCGCTAGACACGCCCCTTTTCGGGAGCTGTCGCGTGATTGGTCGGTTACGTCGCCAAATATCTCGGGAAGCATCAGTCTCTCGGAATTGTGCGAAAGAGATTTTCTCTTCAGCTTTTTGCGAGGAAGTCGTTGGTGCATGAATATTGTCCGGTTTTCACTTTTTTTAAGAAGGATTTTTTTAGCTGCTGGGAAATGCGGGCAAGTGTATGCACGCGGAAAAGATCGAAGAGAGGACTTGACTGGAGCACCCATGAACTCTCCCCACCTGAGATCCGAGACCCGAGAGATTGTCCCTCCCTTCGGTCTCTTTCGCTCTCGTGGTCTGTCGGACCCCATCTCTCCCTCTCTTTCTCCCTGCACTCTTGCACTGCAACTTTCTATTCCGTGCGCGGAATCGCGGTCTAATTTATCGCCGGGCCCCGGCTTGAGCAGTCGAACTAAACTCGAGGAAATCTCGATAATGTCTTTCGCCTTTTGCGCCGGAATTATCGTTACAATTACGTAACCCAGGTTACATCTGTTGTCTACGCAATTACACAGGATGTGATTGCGCAACCGTTATTTATATCGCTCGCCTTGGGAATTTCTGCAACGCGCTAGATTTTCATAACGCCTTCGACCGGGGGATGACTTTACTCGGAAGCGCCCGCAATTTCTAATTAATTATATAACGCTCGCCTGCATCGATCGTAGAAAGAAATCGGTGCACCCAGTCATTTCCTGGATTTTTTTTCCTCTATACGCACTTGGCGCGAGACTCTGCCTCGCCTCTCGATTCCAATCGAGCGAGCCAGTATCGGGAATTAATTACCTAACTTCCGTTCTTCTTCCTCTATAATCGATATCGCTCGCCAGCTGTTTTTTGTTTGTTTACATGCACTTGGCGCGAGGTGCAGCAAAGCCTCTCGAGTCACGTGAATCGATAAACAGGTTATTATCTAATTTCCGCCCGCACTTGTCGCAAATCGCAGTCGGCTGTTTTATTATTCGCGTCCACTTAATAATAGATGCAGTTAATAAGAGGTAGCGGGTCTTTCTTATGTATATGCGCTTGATGTGAGACTCTACCGCGTCTATTCATCCCGACGAATGGATGAGCAAGCCGTTATTCATCTAATCCTTTGTTACATGCCAAGTGAGGGGACATCTTCGGCTGTGTGAACCTGGAATCCAGTTTGAGGAACAAGCAAAATTAACAGGCTTATTGGAATGTTTCTGTGACGTAGACGTTTGTGGCATTTCTTTTTTTTTTTACAAAAACCAGAGCTATTAAAAGAAAATAAACAAATTCCGAAAATTACCATTTTAATGTTTTCGAGGTTTTGGGAAGCTTTGAATTTTCCTAACATCAGAGAACCCATCAGAGTCGAAAAATCCAAATTTCCACGATTTCGGAATTTCTTTATCTTTTTGATCAGCTCTAGTTTTTGTAGAAAGAAAAAAAAATGCCACAAACAAAACTCATCATGACACAAACGTCTACATCACGGAAACATTCCAATAAACCATTTAATTTTGTTTGTGCGTCAAACTGAAGTCCAGGTTCACACAGCCGACATCTTCCTATGAAATTGGTTTAGCTCTCGTGAACTTGGCGCGGGATGCTACCTCGCCCGTCGAGCGGGTTACGAAATCGGCTCGAAGATTAACGGCGACTGGAATTAACCGGCGAAATTCGGCGGGCGGAAGCGAGGCGGAACCGGTGGAGTCCTCGAAAAATTCTCGAACGACGCGGCTGTCCTTTCTCCGCAGCGGATCGCGTCGTCCAATATGGCGGTTCTCAAGGCCCGTGGACGCGCGTCGTTATCCGCGAGGATATCTCCTTGGGATGACTTCAGGTTGAGTGCCCTGGCTGCTCTTTCGAGCACCTAATCGCACACTTTCTCGGCCGATCTCTGTCCGAGCGTTCCAGCCGCCTCCGTTTCGGATGTTTCTTTCGCCCATGGGAACCCCCGCGTTCGCTCGGCTGCAATGGGAAAGTCGCGGGAACTGGATTTCCGCGCGGGATTCTGGGACGATTGGGAAAATTGCGGGCAACGTTCCGCGCGGTATGTCTGCTCCTCGAGAATGGGATGCGGAAAGTGGGAAAAATCCATGCGTATAAAAAGAAAAGGATGGAGAATATTGCCTCGCGAGCCAAGCTCAAGGCGCATAAGGAAGGATCGAGTGGCGGCCATCTTGCGTTGCTAACGTTCTCGCGTCTTTTGACTGGGTATAAAAAGCAAGTTGAAACACATGGGAACTGTTGTTATTTTCAGTATTTAGGCCGGTAAAAATAATACACGACACGATTCACCATTTTTATACTTTTATACTCTTTGGCACGCACTTTAGTATATTTCGAAAGATTTCCTAAATGTAGTTTGGTTGTTGCTGTTCACAAGGGTACGAGATTGTGGATCTAATTTCTTTCATAGCGAGTTTTAGTCCCCGTGTCTAGGATCTGACTTTACGCTCCATTTCTGTATTTCTAGATCTATGGAAATATCGCATTTCAAAGAAGCTCTATAAAGGAAGAGAAACGCCAAGAAGAATGATCGTCGTGGCATCGCTACAAGAATGCAAGAGTCTGCGAAGACTGCATTTCTATGCGGAACTGCCGTAGGAGTTCAGGGACGCAGAACGCGAAATTGATACGGGGGTATTCGATTTCGGGAGAACGACGGGGATTAGAGAGGCGGATAACGGGGAGGGGCGCCGAGAGAATTCTTGCGTTCACGTTAGGGGAGACGCCGCCGCCATCTTGGATGCTCCTTTTCCGGGGAGGAGTTCCGCATTCTTCCGAGTTCTTTTACTCTTACAATGGATGATGCGCTCTTCTTTCCCTCTCGTAATATTCAACGTTTACCCCTTTTCTCCATGACTGCTCTGTAATGTTTAACGTTTCCCTCCTTTTTCCTGTTTTCTCTTTCGTGACTCGTCTGCAAGGGGGCAGCCATGTTTGAAGGGAATCAATTTCTACGGATCGGATCTTAGCTTCCCAAGGTTCTTAGGGAGTTCTTTTTTCCCCTTAACCGGCGGAAGGCGTTCTTCTTTTCATTTTTCCTCGACCTTGGATCACTCTGCACCTTCCAGCATTCCAAGTTAATCGGGCGACACGCCTGCTCGAGGCTCGACTACGTTCGTAGACAGCAAATGGAGAACATACATCGGTGCACTAAGGCGCATAAAAGTTTATGCACGTGAATATGCAAGCAAGCCGTTTTATGCCCTGTAACCGTAGGTCTACGTGTTCTACGCGTAAAAGTACGCTTAACCTTCTGGAGCAAGTTTTACGTCTCCTCGGACGTCGGGCGCCATCTTGGTATCCAACGACACCTCATAAGCGGACGGACATTTTTCCACCTTCGCTTTTACGTCTCTCTTTCGCGTACGGTTAAGGAAACATGAATGCAGATTTCTGTTTGCTTTGTTTCTAGACTCCCGAGAAAGAAAACGTTCTGTCAAAGAGACTCGAACACCATAACTTTCGAGTATCTATTTCTAGCTTGGAAGCGAGGGTTTTGGGGGACTTTCCGGGACTCGTTTTCGCGAGAGGCATTGTGCTCGTAAGGTTAACCTAAATTTGCACATTGTCTCGACGGACTTTCCCGCCACAGCCGGAATTCAAATGTCCCGTTGGCTTTCTAATAGCTCGATTTTCTCACTGGTTGTTTGGGCTTGAGAGAAAGGGATCGCAGAGGTTAAAATCGTAAAATCGAGTACAGGTGTTCGAAAAGGAAGGAGAGTGGCTGGTAACGGCCGAGTGGTTATTGACTTTTAATGATTCGATCGAATGGCATTAGGCGAGAATCGATGAAACTGTGACGAATTCGAGGAATCCGCCGTGAACCCCGAGAAAAGCGCACAGGTGCGATAACTCGCCTCTTATCTTGCTATCGACGAGCGGGAAAGGGAAGAGAAAAGAAACGTTTCTCCCGTGGGGAAGAAAAGTGGCACAAAGAAATCTTTATTTATTTATTTATTTTATTAACAATACATTGGCACTGCGGGTCGGTACAGTTTATTAACTCCAGGATTAATGCTAAGCGAGGGGGAGGGAGAAAAAAGATACCTTAATGAAGACAGGCGTGGGAAGAACAGGTTGCGACAGAGAGGAGATGAACTTCACAGATGAGGACCTTCGAGTAGTTGAACTGCAGGATTTAGATATTATCTGGAAGGTCTCGCGTGTAACTTTGCGTGGGTATGTTAATGGTACTCGTGCCGGGGGCATAACGACAACAATGTGCAGTTATACGCACGAGACAATTGACACTTAAGTGGCGTCGCGAATTCGGAGGTTATGTTCATTCCACGCGGCACGACGTTACGCGACATTCTCTTCAGAATTGCGGTAATCGTTTATAGGTTTTAATTAACATGAATTTGCGCTTTCCATTGGGAATAATTTCAGTTTTGTTTAAATTGTGTACTTTTAAAAAATTCACACTTAGCTGGCGTTGCAAATTTAGAGGTTACGTTTATTCCATGCGGCACGACGTTACGCGACATCCTCTTCGGAATTGTGGTAATCGTTTATAGGTTTTAATTAACATGAATTTGCGCTTTCCATTGGGAATAATTTCAGTTTTGTTTAAATTGTGTACTTTTAAAAAATTCACACTTAGCTGGCGTTGCAAATTTAAAGGTTATGTTCATTCCACGCGGTACGATGGTACGCATCATCCTCCGGAATTATCGTCATTTACAGGTTACACTAAAGTAAAACGTTCTTTAAAATGATCCGAATGGAGTCAATAAAAAAATTAGTTGGTTTTGCTTAATGAACTTTTCCTTCTGCGGGTACATTTATCATTTAATGTGATTAATTTCACCACTAGAGTCGTTAAAATTACGATATTTAACCTACATCGCTGCATTAATTGTAAAAATGATTTTTTTCTCGTTTATTATATTTTAGTCCAAGGTTTAGCTTCCGGCTTTGGAGTTGAAAGTTTAACTTCATTAGTGGCGGTTTTCATTATCCACGAATGATGGGCGAATCCCGGACCTTTACGGTGTATATAAGTGCGTGTAAGTGTGGGGAGATTACGCGGATAAATTTATCCGAGTGTATATCTGGCGCGAAACTCCACCGAGTTTCCTGATTTTTTATCTGCGTGAACATATCATTCAATGTGATCAATTTCTCTACTGGAATTGTTAAACTTACGATATTTAACCTACATCGCTACAATAATTGTAAAAATGATTTCTTCCCGTTTATTATATTTCAGTCGAAAGTTTAGCTTCCGGCTTTGGAGTTGAAGGTTTAACTTCGTTAGTGGCGGTGTTCATTATCCACGAATGATGGGCGAATCCTGCGCCTTTACGGTGTATATAAGTGCGTGTAAGTGTGGGGAGATTACGCGGATAGATTTATAATGGAGACGTATATGTGCTCGCGGTGCAGCGGTACATACACCTAGGCCGGTCGACATGGCGATTCGCACGAGGCCGCTGACAATGACGTCTCCGGGAGGATAGGTTATGATACCCCGGGCCGGGCCCGCATTTATGATTATGACCTCTGGGCCAATTAGCGTGCCCGCGACGCAGGGCTCCGCCAATCAGGCGCACCGGCCCACGTGCACATCGTCTCCCACGACGGCCGCCATTGTGACACGGCGCGCATAGAGCGGCGCATCCACAATGTAACCGGAGAACCTAACTCGGTCATGTGAAACTACGGGCCTCTCTCTCTTCCTCTCTTCATGTAAACCGTCCTCCTCCTCCTCGTCCCTCCGGGTGACTTTCGCGCCGATTTATGCCCCTCTCTCTCTATCTTTCTCCCGGCGCTCTTTTCCTCGCAAATGCCACCGCGCATGCCCTTGCGCAGCTTCACCTTATTACCCGCGCATTCCGCCGACGTAAATGGAGGAAAATACGTTAAAGCGTTGTTCATACGATTTGTATTACTTCACTTTATGAAATGTTTCCATTTGTCGTAATTAATTTCAAGGATCCGCGGGGATGCCGATATAGTTATCGACAGGTGTTGGGTTGTGTGGTTGTATGTGATCGTGTCTATGGATGGAATGTATCAATGCTTGAGTGCGAGGTCGAATTAGATCGTTCTTTTCACTAATGGGAAAGCTTGAGTAGCAATTTTTAGCGACAGGGTTTAGGCGAGTCGTTGTTTCGTTTTAGTTGGGCGTCTTGGGATTTCCTTTTTTAAGCCGAAGGCATTATCTTAGACACAAACCTCGATTTAGTGCCTGCGAATTAAATTAGCTAACATTCTATCAGAGCGGAACTTTGGATTGAAGGGAACGAGACCCAAGGTCAGAAGCGAAGTGACAAAATCTAGTAACGATTTTGTAACGTAGGTTAGGTTTCCCTCCTTGTTGCGGATTGGTTTACGGTGAAAAAGTTGCTAGGTAAGATCTCGTCCGAGAATTCCTGTAATTAGGGCAATTAGTGCTTACCGCAGTTGCAGGTGATGTTGGGGCGAGAATTAAGCAGAAGGAAGATGAGAAGCAGGTGGAAGGGAACAAGATTAACTTTTTAGGCGTTTAGGCGAGTCGAAAGTCGCGGGGTACGCGCTCTCCGAATTTCTATTTTGCGATCCCCTCCCCTACATTCTACACTTCACAATCTACATTCCACCAGGTTTCGAGGCCGGTTGAAACAGGTTCTTAAAACGGTTGTTGAAGAACGCCGAGGCGATTCGATGTGAACTCAGGCTGGATGATGCACGGTGGCTTTAACCGCTGCACGCGTGGGAATAAATTATGGGAAAAATATGTTCGGAATTTCTGACGCCTCTTAATCCGGCATATTAAGTTGCGTTTAGTTCTGCCGTGATGAGACGCGGTTTCCCGACGGATTTCTCTAAGAAGTTTCCAGCATAACGAAACCCTCGTTGTCCTTGTTAAATTTTAAGGAGGCGCTATTTTATCAGTGTAAAAAAGGGTTAACATTATTTTTGTCGTAAACGGGTACATCCTCTTTCAGTTGATGTCATTTGTTTGTCTACTTCTCTTAGGTGAGCAATGTGAGATGGCTAACGCTTATTCGTACCACCGCTTGTCCAGAGGTGGCACTGTACAGAACGAGACAAAGACGTAATTTTACATGAAAAAAAAAACAAAAAAAATACTGCGATATTTATCGGACTTTACGTGACTCTACTCCCTGTGTTGTTCTGCGATTGGACTTTATAAGGACGGATGTATAGTTTCGGCAAGTTAACACCGTTAGATGCCGACTCGGAGAATAAGTTGTTCCGGATTCCACAGAACGTTTCCCCGGTCTTTATGCATCGTTGAGTGAACAGTTTTTATTCGTTGTAACGGTTCGTATAGTAAATTATCCGTATAGAGGTGAAAATGACTAGTTGCGTTCATTGAAAGATCCTCCTCGGGACGTCGAGGAATCACGAGACGTTTCTCAACTCTCGATTTGAAATTCAAATCGAACTCTTGATAGTCGCCGGATAGTGTGTCAATGTCCTCAGTGGATGCCAAGAATGTTTCATTTGTCCGCATTTCTGCGCGTACATTACTCGAGTCGTTCTATGCAGAATTTCTGCACCCATTGAAGCGCGGCAGAGCCTGGTTTATGCTTCTCTACCTTATAGTTTCCTTTATTCTAATTTTCTTAAGACCATTTACGCTCGAGTCCTACACTGTTAAAAAAATTCATGAAATTTATACACTTTTAGTACATAAGGTCGGAGTAAAATTATAAATTTGATGTCTTAATAGTGAGTTAGTATACATTTATTATGAAATTCTAAGTAAATCTGCAATTTTATAACACCTCGTTGTAATTTTGTGAAATTGCGGAGAGAAATTATAAATTTGATATTCGAAAGTCATTTGGTACGTATTGTTTGCAAAGTCTTTTAGATGAATTTTTAATTTTACGATTGCTTACGTAAGATTATTTCTAAAGAATTATAAATTTATTACGTATATGTACTAAATTTATAGTATATGTTGTACATATTATTTGAAAATACGTTTTAAAATTAGTATACCATGTCTGAATAAAACTTCCAATAAATATGTTATAAAATTATAATAATTTTGTTAACAGTGTAATTCGTAATCGATCTTAATCCATATCAATTGGATTGCGCTCTACATTGCTCTGCAACTTATGCGTAGTAAGCACATTTCGACATTCTCGTAGCATAATCTTTAAACTGCTTCTAATTAAAACAGTTAAGCTAATAGATGGCTTCGCTTCGCTGATATCCAAATTACTGCTACCACAAATAACGAAAACGGACTAAATTATGGATGGTTATATGCAATTCAAACTACGCGCACCTTTTTCGATACGCATGCGCTTTTCGGTAACATTTCGAAATAAGTTCAAAGTTCGGATTAAAACAGAGGTTAGGGTTAAGTTAAGGTAAGTATAAATCTCCTTAAAAACATCTAAGGTGTAAAAAAACGTCGTCAAATACATTCTTGTTTCCCTCTTCAATTACAAAACTGGTTCAAATCGGTTTTCTTGATAAAAAATGTAAATCAACTGTTTTTGCCAAATACGATGGATTCATCCTTTTAAAAACCTAACAACAAGTGAGATACGTTGCCGATATTTCTCCTTGCGTCGTGCATGTACATCTATTCCAAAACTTGGGTTTCCCCTTAAAATCGTATGTATGTAAAAATCTACACAATTTTCCACTTCGTGTAATCAAATAATAATAATGAAAAACAAATGTAACGAAATAAGGAAGATATTAAGTTAGGGTTAAGGTGAGGATAAATGCTCTCTTTGAATTTTCCACTGTGAATAATTAAGTCAGGGTTAAGAGAAACGCATAAAGAAGGTTTAAACGGGTGTTACGATCTCCCCAGTTTGGGCGCCTTATACATAACTTCTGATGATTATTTGACAAGACTTTATATGACATACTCACTGTATAATATCTCAATATCCGCTGCGACTGCAAGGTATCCCATCTATCCACATTTCCACATGCACTTTCGGTCAGCACTACCTCTTCCTCGCGCGTGCCTCTTCAACACCTAAAAGGGTGCCCTCGGAAGTGGCTCGTGAAAATTATTTCTGGATCATTTCTGAGGGCATTCTGCATTTGACACTTCCTCCAGATGCTCTGGAGATCCTGGGCCGAAAAAGCAGCCGTAAAACCGCCTCTCGTTTAACGGAGTATTTTAAGATCTCGCCCGACGAGGTCCCCGTCTCAACATCCACGGGTTGACCGGCTGCATCCGCGATAACGGCTGCTTCTTCTCATCCACATCAGCCGACTAATTCCCTTTTCACATCTTTTTGGGATGCTGGCATTTTAGTTTGCGTTTACGCATCGGATTTCAACAGCTGGTGGATAATCAATTATCGTAGGGTATCAACTTCGGCCCAGTTGAGATGACTTCAACGTCGGCAGATGAACTCTTCGGTACCAACAACCAGAATATCTCGTTGAAGATGACAAGTGATAGAATGTCTGGCAGAATGTGAATATGTGGCTTTTAGTAGCAATAGGTGGACGAGGTTGTTCATCAACACTGGTTAAGAATCAGTATTGTTGATAATACCTAAGCTATTTGGAAAATCGGATGATCCTGACCGAATCTCTCTCGCTGTCGGCGGATGTTTTAGAGAGTTGACGACAGTTTCTCCTATTCGTCAACATCAACGAGCACACTTCCTCAATTAGTCGACAAACTGCAACGTCCTCTTCGACACACGGACACTTGCTTCGGCGATCACAGGTGGAATTTTTCATTGGCCTTCGCGTGGAAGTAATCCTCGAAACTCACCCAGTTTCTCCAACTTCCGGTTTAATAGCCGAGAAAAGTGTTGAAAACACTCCGGACAAGGTGCGAGGAAAGTGGGCATTAACTATCACAGTTTAGGGAATTGGACAGGGATACGTTTGTCAAGGAACTCGAGATTTTAGGAAGAAATTCGACATTCTAACACGGGGATTCCAGGAAGGTATTTTATCACGGGGCTAAATTTCTTATCAAATTTCCGACGATGTTATGTTAAACTTTGGTGAGATTAAGATTTAAGGACTTTTCAAAGCGTTTGGTGTGTTCGTTTTAACGGGAGATTTAAAACGGAGATTAACTCGGAATCGGGAGCTTGATCGACGGGGAGTTGTCAAGAGTTCCGCGGGAACGGAGGCACATTTTAGAAATCGATTTCGAAGCCTATTTTTGAGCTCTAATGCCGCGATGGCCGAGTAACATTACCGCGAGGAAGCCCAGACGGGGACTGACTGGTTGTGGGATTCATTTGGGTCAGCAGCACAGCATAGTATAGCATAGTATACTGCTATGTGCTGTCTATACTATGGTGCACCTCGGAGATATGCTCGGGTTTATGCTACGGTTTTGCCGTACACATTCCCTCGTCGTTGTGAAACTACGCGTTGCTTTTCCCTCCACATGTTCTGCCCCACGCGTCTACACATGTAAGTAGAAAGACACATTATTTTGTCGAAATTAAGGTGAAAGAAATGGAGACCATACCCCGTACGTGTCTTAAATTATAATTTATATCACGAACTTCATGCTCCGCTTCGACTTAAAAATACGCTCAACAGTTTATTAATCCTCGCAATGGAACGCAGCGACTTGACTTGTCTAACAGTAACCGTAGGATAAAATACTTCTTTCGTAAAAAAAAATACGTCCTCGTAGGACTCTCGAAGTACTCTCGCTCGTCACTTTGGGCCTCGCTTGGGGCCGTAGAAAAAAGAATACTACCCCGTTAATACTGGGAACTTGGATAGTTCAGGAAAGCAGTCGATTCCAGTTTAATGGATTTCGAGTACCCTAGCTGCAGAACCACGTACTGTTGGTTCGAAAATACTCTTCGGAAGGGGTGGCAGTTACCCCGGAACAGCATCGGGCATAATGCTGGTTTTCCTACGTTTTTGGCAACTCCTTTATCCGCGACGTCCCATAAATCTAACATCCGACATCCAGGTTTTCTAACGACAAGAGAAAAGATAAAATAGATTTCGCTTTATTAGACGGATGAAATGGTACGTAAATAATTTTGGGGATCTTACGAAGTGCTGTAGCAAGATCCGAAATCAAGGACCACAAAGTCGACTTGCATTTTTTCCAGGATCTCGTAAACCGAGGACGCGTCTTTTCTGCCGTATATCTCATAGACCCTCATGGTTCGGTTCCTGAAAGTGAAGAGAGGAAATAAGAGCGTCATCTTTATTTCTTCTAATCTGGAATTATTGGTTTTTTATTATTAACCCTTTTTCTGCGAGCCACAAATATGCAACTCTTTCTAAGAGCGGCATTGATTTTTATTACAGTGGTTGTCTAGTAAACATTTGTTGGATCTGTTGTCATTACTTTTAATGAGGAACAGTAAAAAATTGGCAGTCAAATGTTTGAGGGTCGGAAGGCGTCTTCGGTATATGTTGATAATAATGCCAATGTAATTTAATATACTCAAGTTGAAAGGGTTGAAATGGTAAGGTACCTCATCTCCTGGTCCTCGTAATATGGGTTATTCACGATGGGTCTTCGAGTTGTAAGCATCAGGTTGGCCATGACGGACATCTTTCCGGCGAACGCGGCGTCTTCTGGTGTGTTCTTTCTCACCCACTCGAAGAGCTCTTCCTGTTCGAAATTCCGGTATTCCCCTGAAAAAGTCGCAAAGTGAAGTACACCGGAATCCTAAGGAAAGGTTAAGGAATATTTACCGATGTATCCGCGTTCTTCTTTCAGTCTTTTGAAACCCTCATGGGACATCATCGCCAGGACCAAGATGGCGAAGGTCCACCGGATGATGGGCTTTCTACATCCAACTTTTTCCAGATATCGAGGCGACGCAATTAAGCCCGCGGTTAGGCAAAGATGGGGAGTCATGAACAGCTTCAACCTCATGATGAAAATAGCCATCAGGGTGAAGACTCCTGTTTGCAGGAAGTGATAAGCCACCTCGGGCTCGATGCACTTTGTGTACCCTTCGACCAGGTACCTCCTGTACCAGTAGTAGAGCACCAGAATTCCTGCTAGTACCTGGTATAATGTTATATTTTAATAATATTTAATCATTGCTACAGTTTGTAGATATCAGTATGACGTTCTTACCGCAGCGGGAAGAAGACAAGTCTTGAAGAGGGCCTCGTATGTCTCGTATTGAAGGAAGTCAAATTCTGGCGAGCAGGTGTAAAGCAGCGTGTGGAAGTCCTTGTAGTCGGTCAGTTTTGATTTTAGGATATTGAAGACATGTTCGTCATGCTCGTAGCCAAACAACGCCTTCATCAAATGGGAGCCTAGGATGGTCCCTATGATTTCGATTAGGATCATTTTTGGAGTGAGATCAAGATGGTTCGCGGGGAATCCGGCAAGAGCCGCGGCTAGTATGCTGGGAATCAGAATGCACATGTGCAGGTACTTCTTGGCGGTCATGTACAATACGGAAATGAAAGTTGCCGACAAAATGTGTACTATGCATATCCTGTAATAGACTTCCGTGGATATGATCTTCAGCCATCGGAGAATCAAAATGATGATCACCTGGGTGGTGAAGATGAATTGCGAGAATTGCCATAGCATCAGACTTACAGCAGTTAGGCCAATTTCCTGGAACAAAGAAATTCGGTAATATCGAGGCCCCGTTTACATGCCGCGTTTTCGTACGTTAGTTAATGCAATGACAAAACTAGATTGCATATCATTCAGAAATTTATCCAACGAATAAATCCGTTTACTTTGTGATGAAATCCCCAATGAACTTCGTTAAGGTTTTGGAGGACTTACTAGCAATCCTGTACGAAGAAATCCTCTTAGACTAATATCGTTTTTGGATTCCGAACGAGAGTGTTTAATGTACATCATCACCGTGTACATTTGACCGAGCAACATGGGATATGCAAAACTTTCCCGCAAGGGAGGAGTCCACTGGACTCTGGTACATTCGCTATGGTTGTAGAAGAAGCAGGCTATAGTTATTAGGCCACTAAGAATGGAGCCGCTTAAACCAACTGCATAGCAGAACAGCATTGACGCCATTATGCAAGCATAACCCCAGACTACATTCAAGTAAAAGTATATCGGCACTCCTGGGCCCTCGCAGCTGATCACAGGTGGCATTCCATCTCCCCTTTCTATCTAAAATCATTAAATATATTAATGATTGAAATCGCACAATATAATCAGTAAACCTCGAGATGATAATTCAGAGATCAGCGAATAAACGGCAGTCTTACCTGCCAGCACTGCTGCTCCGTGAATAGGCCGAGGTTTCGAGAAATGTGGTAAAGTGTCCCAATAAACAACTAGAATAAATAAAAAGACATTGATAAAATCCACGAAATAAGATCAATCACGAGGAACAAGAACGCTACATTCAAATCCCACCTCTTGGTGTGAACAATACTTTTCTTCGACATTTACAATGTTCGGGTACTCGGTTAGATTATAGGCGACGAGTTTTTTTCTGCCTTCCGTTATGCTCTCGGATTCGACCAGCGTCTTGTAAAACGAGTAGTACATGCCCTAGAATATTAAACGAAATGATTTTATATACGCTCGTAATACATTTTATATATTCGCTGTAAAACAGACGCGGTAAAAGAGAAATGTCCATTATATCAGTAGTCAGGAAGCTTTAACGTTTGAATATTCGGGCACCGCAGCGCCATCGTGCGGTGGATGTCTGAGTTATTCTTTCGACCTGGTCTACCGTTTCGGATTGCAGTTCGCCATCTAGGTCGCACCAAGATGGCGCGATCGGGACATATCAGCGCCGGCCACTCACCATCTCCGACCGGAAGGACATCTCTCTCTCGACGTCCGATAAGTGCGAGAAGTGGCGGTCGTTCTCGAACATCGTCGAGACATGCCAGTAATGAAGTAAGCCGCAAGCCGTCGCTGCACCGAGAAATAGCAGTCTGAAGGGAGACTCGAGTCGGCACAATGTCTACACGGCGACGCACACGAAGAAGCGATTGCGGCTTACCTAGGAAACTCACGAGGCTCACGATGCCGATGTTCCGATCTCCCCTGGCCGCTTCCATCGTCGAGACTTAAAGGAGGATTTTCGAAGGAGTTCCGCAGCCCCGGACGTGGGCGGCGCCGCGAAATAACGGAGCCAGCCGAAGTCGTCGCTTCGTCTCTGCTCACTTCAGGCCGCACGCATTTATACGCTTCTATACATAGGAGTTAGAATTCATCGACAGGAGCCTCAGGGACGGACGCAGCGTGCGGAGCCCCACCCGTCTTTGTCGCTTCATGAGAGGCGGAATGGACGAAATGACCGTTTTTACGAAACCACGATTAAATGCGGAGAAAACCATTCGGTCGATTCGTTCATAAATACATACTTTAAATGTCCGAAATGGGCTCACGTTAAGTCCTCTTAACCGAGAAATAAGTATTTAGCAAATCGAAGCGCCGAAATCGGGCGTTAAGTCGCCGCCATTCGCGCAAGCTACTTATAATGTATTTGGCGCGAAACTATGCCGTTTCCTGATGAATTATATTTTTTTTTTTAGGGCGAGTTAGGAGGCATGAGGCAAGACATGGGGTCTTCACGTGGCCTCAGGTTTTAAGCATGGAGTTGAGACATCCTGCACGAGATCTGTGAGATTCTGGGCTTTTTTACACGACGAATTGGGAATCCGAGAGCTTCATGACTTAATGTGCCTCTTCTTATATCACCGCAATCTCTGTTATTAGTATTTAGGATTTCTGATCGTTAAGAATGTATTTATAGTGCCCAAGTTGTATTATATAATTTCACGTACATATGATTTAAAAATATAAACAATACTTCTGTCCCGTGTTAATGATTCGCGATCATCCTTGTTTTCAAACCCCGTCGCTTAAGGTGATATGAAAGTGCGATATATACATAAGAAAAAGTGCAAATATTTATAAAACTTATCGCCAAACAGGGTGCACCGAATTATCTGAAACTTTAACACGTGATTATGGAGGCCTTAAGGAATAATGCGCTGCTCGTTAAATTTCTGTTTATTGATAAAAAATGTCTACTTAGCGCGTTCTTCCTTAGGGCCATCATAATCACGTGTTAAAGTTTCAGATAATTCGGTGCACCCTGTTTGGCGAAAAAGTTGTATAAATATTTGGACTTTTTGGTATGTACATATCACGCTTTTCATATCACCTTAATAATTCATTTCTTGGCTTATTTCATTGGCGCATGTTTAATGGTACATGTAGAGGCGCATTGGGTCGGGGCATTCGGGAATTCAAATTGAGCAATATATTAACATGCCTAGAGCGCATGTGCTCGCAGCTGTCATGCGCTCCTCGTGCACGCGGGAGGTTCGTTATCGATTCGTTAGCGTGGCAGCCCGGCGTGTCATGGAGGATCTTCTGCTGCAGATCGTCAGGGAGGCTTTCAATGGGAAATTACCGAACCTACGAAAGTCGGCGCAGGATGCGCACGGTGAGTTTTTTTAAAAGGACCCTTCCTTCCGGTAAGCGCAATTTTCAACGAGCTCGACACGCGTTGCTTTCGTAGATTTCCTGGACAAGCAGCAAGGCCTGCTCAGAGACCCGCCACATGAGTTGCGGGCAAAATGCCTGCACACGTTCCAGCTGGCCCTGGAAACCAGGAGGAGTAAATTCGTCGCCTTCGGACTGGCCGGATTGCACGTAAGCGGTTTTCCAATAATTCTAACATTCTTCATTAGCTATTGGGATTCCCGGATGCGGCAATATATGGAGCCGAGATCGATGACACTCGAGTTTCGAGAACGTGCGTCACTAATGGAGAAGTCGATGGAAATGCTGCATGGAGATATACCTAATGCCGAGTGCAGGATTAATGCCAATTTTTACCCGACCCGATGGCGTGATATGGAACGTCTTGGGAGCGTTTAAGGGGACGTGAAAGTGGCATCCCAGAGCTCAATCGTTCATAAAACTTTTCTACGAACTGGGTGTCTCAAATCGTATCATTCTTTGAAACGTGAATACGAATCAAAAACACCTTCTTCAGGTGTAAAAAAACCTCGCCAAATATATATATGTGTCCGTCACTAGTTCTTTCTGTTATAATCTCGGTTACATTATGTTAATACGGTCACGAAACAACTGAAATCAATTATAATGCACCAAATACGAATAATCTTTCTTCTCGGGTTCATTCAGTTCTTTTATTAGCTAAAGGAAAAATACACAGATCTTTTATTAGCTAAAGAATGAATACACAGAATTTATAAAACTATATAACAGAATCTATAACATAAAAAATATGTACAATTTTTTTAACATTTTTGGCGAGCCGCTTAATAATATTTATGGTTTCTGAGAGCATTTTAGGCTTTATGCTATTACAGTACATTGAAAGAAGTGGGCAGACAATGATATGAACGCTAGTAATGTTGCATATTTGGCGACATTGACGTAATAATCTCAAATCGTTTCATTCTTTGAAACGTGAATATGGAGACCTCAAGGTAGAACCTGAAACTCGGGAAATTTCATTTTCTCCAAACTATTTTTAAAATACCTATAAAGAAATTTGAAAGGAATTGAAATTTCATGAGTTTCAGGGCTCTCTTTATAGTCTCCCTATTCACGCTGTGACATTTGAAACTATTCGGTAAACCGAGTTGGGAGGAAAGTTTTTTATAAACAAAATCTCTTCGTCGCCACTTTCACATCACCTTAATGGCCACCTTTCTTTCAGAAAATGTTGAGGGACGACAGGTTCCAATCCCCATACGAGCCGGAAGACGATTCCTTATGGATGCCTGCACAAATGCTACATGCCATGGGCTCCATGCTGACTCAGTCGGATGACACCCAGACGGATATGTTGAAAGTAAACCATCGATCATATGATATGTCCCTGCATTTCTTCGGAAACTCGGTGGATTAACTTCTTAATTCAATTTTTTCTCTCTTTTTTAGGTACTTCTGCAAGTCGCCTGCTCCTCGTATTGGACAATGAACGGTCGCCTTATCATAGCGATCATAACGACGTGTTGCGAAGCCTTCGAAAATGGGAATCAGGCAGTCAGAACTGCAGCCCAGGCAGCTACTAGTCAGACCCTCCGGTCATTTTGCCTGTTTTTAGGTACATTCGCTATCGTCTACCGTTAAAAATATCGTATCGAAGTATAGTAGTCTCTAATCTCACAATCGAAGTATAGTAGTCGAGGTTTTTCCTCGCGCCGCTGGTTTTGGCTTCAGTACACTGAGGAAAAGGATTAGTTGACCGATACAGATTTTGCCCGACTCACGTATAATTACAAGTAACAATTATTTCGTTGAGAAGAAAAATTGACGTTGATTTAAAAGGACTTTTGTTTACTCAATCTGACACTCCTTAGGACGTATTTGATCGCAGGATTTTCTTGTCCCAGTACACATTTCTTTGAGTCAATCAATTCTTTTTTTCTCAGTGTATCCAGTTGTATTTGTATGAACATAGACTATATGTTGGGGAGTAATTTTTTATACAGATGAGGAGTGCCAAGAGATGGACGAACATGCGAAAAGAAACAAAGATGTCCGCGAAAGAGGAGTGTCGTGCTTCAACGAGGCGATACCGATACTTCAGTATATCTGCAGTCGATTAGACGAGGCGCAGACGTGAGTTAACGATCCTCGTTGAAAGGTTAATCCTAAAAAACAAATGATTGACATCGATTCTTTAACGAGGCATCGCTTTTTCTTCCAGGAATGGGCGCAACGGCAGTATCGTGGTCTTTCTTCTGGAATGTCTTCACACTCTGATCTCTTCATTACCGCAGAAGATCCACACGAACGCTCACTTCACCACGTTCCTATGGCAGAAGTTCTGCCCAGCTTTGATCGCATTTTTGGGCACGCCTAGAGTCGATAAGACATTCACATCCAGGGAGGGGAAGGAAGCGGAAGTTGGCAGGGGCTCCGGATACCTTGCCACATCCTTGAGCTTCGATAGTCATCAGGCTAAAACCGTATATAGGTGAGGATCGTCGTAGCAACTTCAATTATTCATATCACACATTGATCGTCGATGTGGATTTTTTCAGCATCGGGACCGAGCTTGTTCGCTTAGTGGGATGCGTAGGATCTCTGAGACCTGTCTTGGAGTCAGTCTTTCACAGGATGTTGCTTTACCCGCCACCTCAACAACGATTGGAGTCGTTGAAAGCCCTGAGGGAGTTGCTGAGGAGTCCTAGTAGGATGGTCGATTTTGCTGGACCTCTTCTAGTCGAGGACGAGAAGTCGAGTCAGCTGCAGAGCGACATGGCTTTGATGCGATTGTGAGTCTCCAAGTTTGCCGATGTTCACTTCTATTATTCAAATTTTCGCCAAAGGTACATTGGTACCGATTACTTGAAGAAGTTATCGCGTAACGAGAGCTCGTCGTTTCCTTCCACAGAGCAATGGATTCCATCGAGGAGTCCACATCGGTAGGGACTTCCGTTCTGTATGCAAGTGTCTCTTGCGTGGTGGCTATGTTGTCAGCTCTGCAGGAACTATGCGAAGGGAAGGCCATAAGTCACAATTACACCTGCACTATTAACAGTCTTTACGAGGACCTGGAGTCTTGCGACTACAGGGGACCATTGACCTACCAAAGTATGGCCAGGTTGCCGAAGACCTACAGGTATGGTCGCTGGAAACGGGTACATAGTAGTTGGTCTTAATTCGCTAGAGTTTCTATAGACTACCCTACAATTGAAAACACCATTCCAGGGAACAGTTGGAGTTGATGAAGAGAAGCAACGGCTCCGACTCCGACTCTTCTGGACACGGTCCTTCGGAGAACGGATATTCTACGGACACGGAAGGTCCTCAGAACGAATCTGCCGATGATGTCAGCATCGATGAAACTGATTACGCTTTGGAGAACGAGAAGGAAAGACTCAGGCTGGAGAAATTACCGAAATGTCTGCACGTAGGCAGACAGGTTGCCGAGGAGTGCAACGTCGACGTAGAGAAGTACAATGCCAGAGTTTTCGTGAAAATCCTCAAATCCAGACTGATCCCTACAGTTCTGAACCTGAGGACCAACATAGAAGTCGACGAGGTCCTCCAGAACTTCGCCTCGAATTATTGCGATGGTTAGCGCGATTAACTTCCGATGTTTGGAATATAATAGCTGAAGTTCCCATGGAATTATGATTTTTGGGATTTTTTTCTTTTAGGGATGTTCACGGAACAACAGGCTATGAAGGAAGCGAACAGCGGCGTTAATAGCGATTCCGCGCTCGTCACTATCATGAATGCCGATGGGATTTATCTGGCAACTTACGCAGCTCTTCTGCTGAACTTAAAGTTGATTAAGAGAGGTTACTACACCGACGAGAGCCACCAAGTACCGATCAGCGAGGTCCGTTTAGCAGTCAAGGATCAGACCTTAGGGTTCCTCCAGATGAATATCGTCTAATTTTATGTTATTTAGGAACAATTCGTAGAAGAGGTCCATGGTTCTGGAGTCCTGGTCTATCTTTCGGCAACTTGGCTATCCGAATTGTATCAGCAAGTGTTGGCCAGCAACCTTCTGGAGAAATGCGGATATGACCCTAATTCGACGGAGAACAGTGCTCTGGTGAACGTGCTTACAGGCAAGTTGACGATACCTTTTATTTTAAAGTAAGGCAGGCAATAACAAAGATTTCGGATGCAGATGTGGATGGTATCGTTGGAAGCCAAAGAGGTGGTCAGCTCTTGTCCGATTACCGAAGACTGGAACGAGCCCAGTTGTCCAGGAACGAGCCAACTCCAGAAGCCGAGGCTGGAGCTAAATTGTCCAGGAGGGTTTTAACTTGTTGTTGGGCGAGCATGATGACCGTCTTGGCATCGGGACTTAGCCCTTGCAAGGATGAAAATACAACCAAAGGGATACTGAACAAAGAAGGTGGACGTAGAGGCGTTAAGGACACCGTCGTCCTAGCTCTCGAGGGACTCCACAAAGCTGCGACTCTGAGCAACGTTTTGGGTTAGACATCATTTCAGTCGTTAATTCTGATATAGAAAATGAAGATTCCTGACTGGAAGTTCAATTCACTGGGTTACTTTAATCTCTCCATCCTTCAGGTCTTCAGAGTCGGTGCGGCTCCATTTTCGGGCTTCTAGCCAAGGCTTCGTGCACCGAGCAGTCCATTTCAAAGCTGAGACGAACGAAGGATGTCCTTCGATTGAAACTGCAAAATAGAGCAACTAATATTCATACTTCTCATGCACTTAGTATGGAGATTCTTTTGGCCCGCGGTCTAGAGCTTGGTAGTCATGGAAGTGATTGCTGGCCCCATGTCTTCACGTGGGTACCAATCTGTTTTTTTAGAAATTCCGTAGCATCCGTGCTTATCATAATTCCACTACTTTAATCAAACCAGGTGCTGTCTTTACGTCAGTAAATTGGAGCACGACTTTTTCGGGAGGAACCAGAACCTCGCCCTTCCTAAACCCAGTCAAAAGAAGGAGAAGAAAGAGACCACCAGCAACGATTCAAAGACGAACTTGGAGAGACTTAAGATGAGCTTCAGTCTAGCTGACGAGGAAGAGACTTGGTAGGGTAGATTTAATTTCATGATAAAATTGATAATCATTGGAAATGTGGATGATCCATTTTACTCATCCTAAAATAACCCTCTCTATTATATTCATTTCAGCGTCGATGTCTACAGCTTCCTCTCGACTCCGTACAATCAGAGTCTAGCCTGCGACTCCATTCCCGAGGTCATTCAGGAATCCAACGCCGATAACCAGTTCAATGGGATCCTTCCCACAGAATATGCAGCGAAGATTGTCTGCGTATTGTCTCAACAAGTGGATAGACTCTTCGAGGACGCAGCTTTGAAGCTGAACCTCAGGGCTCTGTGCTCCTTCTTGACTGCTCTCTGTAGGTCCAGCAAAGCTCAGCTCTTCAAGAGCAACGATGGCTTCAAAGACAACAGAAAGTTCTGGTGGAAGAGAAACAAGCCCAGGGAGGACGACCTTAATGTTTTACTCTTAACACGACTTGGAGAGGTCATGCTGAAGTGCGTTAAAAGTGGACGGCCGTTGATACACATCATGAGGGTGCCTATCTTTCTTCGCATAGTTATCCTTAATATTGCGAGAATAATTTTCACGAATCAGGATTTCTTAGGTCTGGAGTATACTCGGGCCGCATTTCATGGAAGCGGCTTGTCACAAGGATAGGAGGATCTCTAAGAAAGCGGTGCAGTGTATTCACGACTCCGTTGCTGCTCTCTTGAACGAGCAGGTGGAGTTGTCACAGTTCCACTTCAACGAGGCGCTCTTCAAGCCTTTCGAGAACTTGCTGTGCCTAGAGCTCTGCGACAGCGACGTGCAGGACCAAGTGAGCAGTCTCTTTCGCGTTTTTCTAAAATTATACCTAGAAACAAAAAATGGATCCTGGAGCGCTTTTCTCTCATCGCTCTACGTTACGAGTTACCTGCAAAAATGTATTTACCTCGAAACTCTACCGTTTGTTGATAGGTAGTTCTCGAATGTGGGTAAAACACGAGTAACGATAAATTTGTGCGAATCGATCTGAACGGATTAATCCGACGTGTGGATTTGTGGACCCTACGGAAGAATTCAATTGAATCGCACATATTATACATTCTTCTACAACTCGCTAACGATTGTGTAAAGCGATTTGTTCTTTTTCGTAGATCGTAAACTGCATATGCGAGTTTGTAGAGACCAACCGAGCCGAGATCAGATCCGGGTGGCGCCCTCTCTTCGGCGCTCTACGAGTCGCTTCCGTCGGTAATGCAGACTCGGTGGAGTCGGCGCCACTGTTGGAGGTGTTCCGAGTGTTCCTTTCAACCGATAACACCCAGGTATTCGCCAATGCAGCGCTCGACTTTATCCTCTGCTTGCTGAGGCACGTAAGAGGCACAGGCGAGCCGGAAGATCAAGAAGATCAGGTCCTAGACCCAAGTGGTGCTCCCAACAGCTGGAGAAGTCGGCTTTGCCTGGAGAGTCTGAAGTACCTCCTCAGCTGCGGGGACATGTTAGCCTCCATGTACAGAATGGCAACATGTCCCATCTTTAACTCGGCCCAGCGAATCCAGGTGTCGAACATCCCCCAATATGTGGATCCGATCATTCCCAACTTGGAGTTGACCAAGTTCGACCGGACCCCTGAAGCCCACCAGGAGACGCTCCCAGAAGTCTCCTACGAGGGTCTGGAGACTCTGGATGAGTCTCAGACCACGACTTTGCAGAACATGGACGACTCGAGCGGCATCCTCCGAGTCTGGTACCTCCTTATAGAGGGTCTGGCCAGTGCGACGATGATTTGCCCCCGCAGATACCAGTCCCATGCCCTGGAGACCCTGTTCCATTTACTCAGGGATGCGATCAACCTTCCCGGTCCCGAATTCGGACTCTACTGCGTGAACCACTTGCTGCTGCCGATGGTGCAGAACTGGCTGAGGAAGACCTCCAAGATCACCGGGGGCTGGGACAACTTTGCCCCTAACTTCAAGCAGTGCTGCGGACTCACCACGGACCTGCTGGTGGACTACATGACCCATATGCAAGGTTACACATCCTTGGATCTTTGTACTTGTCTGATCAATCGTAAACTCTTCTTATTTGCGATTACGTTTTAGGTCCTGAAGTTACCAGGAACGAGAAGCTCTTCCCAGCTACGACTTTGATGTTGAAGCAGCATCTACTAGTCATGTCCGAGTGCGTCGTCCAGTCAAACGAGAGCATCGCCCGCCTGGGATGCGCGTGTATCAGGTTAATTCCTATTTTTTAATTATTCTAATTACTATAACTTGGAGCTAGATAGAGGTAGAATAGTAGGCGAGATCCAGTTCAAGGGTTACCCATTAAATCCGACGGAATTTCTGGAGTTGGACACCGGAACACTTGGGGCATTGACTGGGGTATCAAAGGGTTACCAAGCTACCGGGACCATTATTTAAGATTCTTAGAGTCTTCTGAGGGATTCAACGTCTGAATAAGATTGTCAGCAACCCAGTCAATTTCATACTGCCGGCTAAGAAAGCGATCTTAGGACCTGTTTCAAGTTTGGTACGCTCGGGTGGCCGGGTCTCTCGACCTTGCGACTCCTTAAATAGTCCTCACACTGACACGGGGGGAAAAGTGGCGACTGTGCTCGCGGAATGCACGCATTATGTTGTCGTAGGTACGAGCAGAGCGTGCGTGAAAGACGATAACGAAGCTTGACAGGCTGTCGGATAGTATAAGGTAGCAAGCGACATTCGACACCCAGGCGTTGGTGCCGGCGAGGATGCAGGCGGATAGGCGTGCAGCGATATTGGTGCCGGTGCATTTTCTCAACATTAATGCCGGGCACACATGCACCCGGTAATCCAATCCTCGAGGGACTGGTATCGATGTACGGTTTGCTAGCCTTAAAAAGCGGTACGCAGGTCCGCGGGCGCCGACGTAGCCAACGAGTGGGGAATTATTCTTCCTCTTGGCGGCCTAGAGTTTCCCCAGAATGGGAGCAGGTCTAGGATCCTACTTGGCTCGGATAAAAGTCACGACCAACGACCTGGATTGGCGCAGCATCGATCGACTCGTCGTGTCTGTATTTGGGATCAGGAACGATGGTACGCGGTCTGCAGATATGATCCATCAACATGATATTCTTAACGTTAAATTTTCATGAAACATAAAATTGAAGATGCCCGGGAGATTGATTCTTATCTATGAGGGTCTATTTGATGATGTATCGCAACTGGAAATGGGTGGGACCGATCACTTCACTAGGACCCTAGGTTTCAAGGTGTTTTCAGGTCTTGGTCTTGTTGGAAAGTAGCCAGGACTGATGGGTTGGGCTTGAAAAATGTCCTTCCGATTAATTGAACCATGTGTGCGATTGCAGACACGTGCTGGTCAGCACCAGCTCTATGCTGACCATGGAACAGTGGGAAGTCTGTGGCGTGGCCTGCTACCGAGCCTGCTCAAACTCGCTGCACCAGCTCCACCAACTGACCAACGCCTTCTACGTTAAATCCGACTCCTTCTGCGGTGATGCGGCCCAGGTCAAGGTAGCAGCGAGGAGAGACGCCACCCCAGAAGAGGCGGAACGATTGAGGCAGCTGGTCGCCCAGGTCGGTGAATCTCAGCTCGCTATCGTAGACGCTACGAACAGTTAGAAAGTAGATCACTGGGGTTCCCTTCGATCTGGTACATCGGGAGCCGTTGCCATCGTTCTAGGATTTCCTAGGTCCTAAGTCCGAGTCCTTGATGCGGCTTTTTCTTGCGTATCCCTTGTCCAAAGTCCCGAATCGCTCCAAAGATGGGTTCTGCTCGATGGTTCTCCAGCTCCCGAGCTCCAGATCTCCTAGGGGTTCCCCAGGTAATCGTTCCTAGAGAGCTTTCTAGCCGTTGAATTGTAAGAGGCGGCCCGAAGAGGTTCTTGAAGGGGACTTGACTCCCAGGTGAGCCAGCTGCGCGAGATATTGTCCGCCGTGAAGAGGCGCGACACTGGGTCACTATCTTCGGCGAGCTTCGAGGATTCCACCCTCGAGGCCACCTTCCTCGACCGGCACACTACCTCCTACCCCGTCGGTTCTAGGCAGCACACCACACCTCCCGATTACACTAACACTACGACGAACACGGGCCCTCATTGGCTCTAGCCCACCACGGTAACTCACGTCATGGATTTTAATAACTTTGAGAAAACTAACACTGAGAGTTCCGGAACCAGTCGATTCGATTCGTACCTCCTCATCGTCACCAGCACGTCCCCACGTCCACCCGTCATCGTCGAAAGTGTCATTTGGAGCGACAAGAGGGTGCCCGAGTCGAAATTTTCATTCTAGAACCTATAATTCTCGGCTTTAAATGGATTTTAAGAGAATCATTTCTCACTTCAGTAAAACCGAGGTCCTAGTTTGGACCTTAAAAATGGTAGATATTTTCACTTACACTTTATGCCTTCTAGGACCTCATAAGGACCTTGGTTGGTACTTCAAGATCCTTAGCCTTTGTGCACCAGTTTGTATTTACGTGAACACTGATAGTGAATTATAGATTGTAATGGAATTATAGTTGGTGATAGACCTATAGATGATCATGGACAAGAACTGGAATGATACTCTCCCGCATATTGGCTTTAGGAATATTTTTTTCTCTTACTTTCTGACGTAAAACTGTCCTTTGTATTCGCAATTATTAATTTTTCTAAGTTCGGAGTCAAATTCGTATTTTTATTTCAAGTAGCAAAGGGGTTAAGGTAGGTTTTAAAAATTCTTTAAACTTGCGGATAATAGAGGTTTACGAGGAGTTTTAATTTGAAATATGAAGGATATAGGAGGATCAACGTCGGATTTAAAAAACGATCAACTTTGATGTGGCAAGTATGAAGGTTTGAAGCAGGGTTGAAGTCATATTAAGGAGGACGTGTACTAAATCAAAAGTGAAGTTGGATCAAAAGAGATTACGATGGTTCAAAATAGGACGAAAATTTCGACTCAGGTGAGGTTTTCCACCTACTTCGTCACAATCCCAGCGCCGGCATACGAAAGTCGACTTGTTGCTAGACCCTCGTTTCAAAAAATCGCTGGTTCTGGAGTTGACTCGATAAAGGGTCCCTCGTCACTCGGGATTGGTTCACCATGTATAGAAACGCACTCGCTGGTAGAAGGCACTAAGGGTCCAGGATCCTCTTCGGCGGGGACCTTCGTCCAGAATCGCACGTTTTCATCCTTTAACTTCACCTCCAAATCCAATTGTTGCGAATGAAGAAAGATCATTGGGACAGTGTCCAAGCGATTGGCTGTTGTTGAGGGGAACATTTTGAAGGGAAACTAAAAATGAAATTTCTAACGAGAGCGCGATTAGGCGAAGGGCCCTGTTTGCTCGATAATCACATTGAATTATGGTCGCACGGTTTGATTCACCATTAAAATCCATGGCCTGGGTCCATGGCTAGATGATCACTCGCATACATTTCCTCTCTGGTATTGTTTTCCGGACATTGTCTCCGATACAACACCAGTTCCGTAGAAACTGCAGCTTTGCTATGTAGATCGCACTGTGGGAGTTACGGGGGCACCATCTCACATTCATGAGACTGTTTAATATCCCATAACCCATTACCTGATTACGAGTATTCATTCAACTAAACCAATCCATATCTTATCAATGCCCTCCTCGATATTTTTCTCGATGACGACGTCGGTTCAGCTAGAATGATATTAATAGCTTTGAATATGAAACACTGTGATGTCTGAAATTAAGATAAGGCAGAATTAAGGTGATACGTTGAGAGGGGTAGGTCCTGATTGGCGCTTAATTATGTCCTTAGGTCTTCCTTCTGGAGGATCAGCGTTCCCAGGAAACTCCTCGCACGTCCGACGGGAATTCTTACGTCTTCCTCCTGTATCCTCCCTGCGTGGCGTCGACCTTGAATCCCGATCTCTACATCGTCAGGGTGCACTTCAAGGCCTTAGTTATAGGACTTTTGGCTCATCAGTTGCTCCTCCACTGCATAGCCGGCGTGTTGCTGCAATGTGCCGGCCCTCTGATCCCAGGGTTAATATTTAAATTCTTCTATAGAGAACCCCCAAAATCTAAGAAATCAGCTGATTAAGGTGACGTGAATATAGCGTCAAAGAAATCTCGTTCATAAAATTTTTCTCTGAGCTGGGTGTGTTATACCGAATCGGTCCAAATTTGACAATGTGAATATGGAGTCTACAAGGAAGGTTCTAACTCATGGAATTTTAATTTAATATTTGTTTATAGACATTTTAAACATTTTCTATAAAAAAAATGAAATTTCATAGGTGTCAGGATCTTCTTTATACCCTCTATATTGACGTTGTAAAGTTGGAACCGATTCGGTACACACCCAGCTCAGCGAAAAGTTTTATGAACAATTGACCCTTCATATGCCACTCATATTACCTAAATGATTTGCAATTAATTAGGTTAATCTGCTTCGCCGAGTTAATAAATTGGATGTTTCATAGGCTACCACACGGAGGTTTGCACCCGAGGTCCGCGGGGAAGAAAACGGACCCAGAGCCCCTGCCATTCGGCAGGACGAAGGTTTTGGATGTCTTCTTGGCAGCACTGAACCATTCCTACACTTCGGCGAAGACATTCGACACGAGACCAGGTCTGAAGCTGCTGGTTCAGACTGTGGCCAGCTTGGATCAGGGAGCGAACCTCTATCGTCAGGCATCGGCAGCCTGGACCACGAAGATGATGACCCTGCTGAAGTACTGTTCTTCAAACTGCGCGTCCTTGGACGTGAACATGCTCCTGGACCTGATAGAGAGCAAGAATGGACAACTGGAGCAGGACGCTTCGGAGGAGCTGAGGATCGCAGCGAAGTACTTGAGGGACCTGAAGAAGACCTTCGAGGACTTCTGTTGCGACTACGTGGAGGTTCTCAGATCGGGCGAGTTCGACGATTTGGGGGGAGTAGACTTGGATTGCGAGGAAAGAACCTACGACCCTAATCTGGACGAGGAGAGTGTGTTGGAAGGCTTGGTGCCGGAAGAGGCAGACTCCAGGAAGTTCAGACTTTCCGATCTTACAGCTCAGTACTCCACGGATTCCGACCCAGAGTCGGAGCCAGAGTCTGACGACGACGATTCCAGACCATCTTCCAGGTTGGAGTCCATCGGGGAACGAGTGGCGTATCCTGAGAGGTCGGTGGGGACCTCCAGCGAAGGACTCGTGGACACGGAAGAGAGACCTTACAGTCGCAGCTCCTTCAGCACTTACAGGTCCACCAACGATGCACTGGACGAAGACCGAGGAACAAGTTCCCCATGTAGGATTCGCTCTCCAGGGTCCAGGAAGGAGCCGGTCCTGTTATCCAGAAGGAACTCCCTGAAGTTTGTCTCTTCCAGGGAATTGAATGAACTGAAGGATTCAAAGACCAGCGACGAGGACAGAGCGAAGAGCTCCTGCGGTATCTTGGGGAAACCAGCGAAGGTGTCGCAGTGCCAGATCCTGGAAGCTGGGCATCCAGGGTCTCGATTAGGGAATGGTTCAGGGGAATCTCGTTTGGATTGCCACCAAAATGCGGAGAAATCGATCGTTTATCATCGTATCTCCGGGGATGACGACGACGGGGATGATGCTGGTGGGAGGCTGCAAGAGCAGGAGATCTTGAGAAGGGGGTTGGAGAGCAGAGCTTGGGTCGACGAAGCCGAAGGATTCGTTGATGGAGAGTCTCAGGATGTGGCTATTTCGCAGGATAATCATCAGACGATGAAAATGGAGGCCCAGCAATCCGGCGTGGAACACACTCGGAGGAGCCAGGGCAAGATCTGGCTAGACGAGCTCAACGAGATCGTCGGGGACCAGGAGTTTATCAAGCCGCGTGTTCATGGCACTCCTGCTAATCCAGTAATAACCGTGCCAACGGAGTACGAGGTTCAAAGGATCGAAGGGATCAGGAAGGACTTCGAGGCCAAACGCCAGGCGTTCGCCGAGGCCCTCATAGCGTCCATCGATTGGGCCTTGAAGTTGCCGGTAATATATAACCAGGAAAATAATTACATTGTCTCTAGACTATTTATTTTAAAGTTCCTTTATGAACTTTCTCGATAATACTTCTAACGAAACGTGTTCTAGGTGCCAATCAGATCTCGGGTCTACCCTGTCTTGCTAAGTGGTCTTTTCGTCCTTGTCGACAACGCCGTGGACTATGAGGTCGGTCAGAAAGTGGAGACGCTGATACGGCAGATTCTTAACACCTGCGACTGGGTGAAGATCAACTCTCGCGAGAGGGTGGTCGTCGGTGAATCAACGGGTCGGAACACCTGAAAATCCCGCAACTGGGCTTTCCCCGTTTCTGAAAACGCACATGGGAAAGCGATAAAGATGCACAACAGTCCTCGCGATGGCGCTGCTATCTGGCGGAGGGAGTTTGAAGCTGGCCGGTGTCAAGGCGTAAAGTGGAACTCGGCGGCAGAGGAGGCACGGCACGGCCGAACTGTCGACAGCTCAATGATACGAGAGAGACTGATATAGATCAATTTTAAGGTTATAAGCTTCGTTTAACCGTTTTGCGGTCTTCGGGTACTTTCTGTACTCCAGTCGTGTTTACTGTATTCCTCCGAGTACGTCGCTGTTGCTTGTCGTGTAAGTCGCGGATGCGCTCGTGTAACTTCGTCTCGCATAAGTGATTGTCTACCGCAGATGATGTATCTTGTGATCTCGGCGATGAGTCGTACGATAAAGATGGAAGAGGTTCGATTTGCGCGTTTCCTGGGCGTCTCGTCTCAGGTTGTTCGTTAACTCGTGTCCCTAGGTCGGGAATTCAACGAATTGCTTTCGTCGGAAAGGGATCGCGCCTAGTCGCGGAAAGGGCAGACACCAAAGTTCCAGGTCGCGTCTGCGGTCGGCACAGCCGAGTCATCCGTGCCTCGTAAAGAGGTTAGCTTACGAGCGACGGCCGCCACGGCTTTATTCCCCGAGTCCCATCCGCACGGAATCGTAAAAGCTCAGATGCGTAAAGTCCCTAGAACTCGGCCCCGCCCGATTTGGACTTCCCTTCTCCCCGCAATTCGAGGGCAAACTCGCGAGGTGGTGGACTTTTCTAACGGCGCCATCTTGCCTTTTCCTCGAGGAGACAAAAGACTTTCCGCGTCGAGGGGACTCGCCGAGACGGCCTGGGATGCGCTCTCTGCTGAGATGACGGTTTTGAGGTTAGGGGAGTCGCAGTCGAGGAGGCTCTGCCACGTTGGAGGGGTCAAGGGTGAAATGGTCGCGGAAAACAATAACGGGTGCGAGCCGACGGTAACCGCAACGTCGTCCCTCTGCGCGTTACACGCACACAGGCGCGCATCCTCCACTCATAACCTCCGTTAGGTTAGGTTATGGGGCGAGTACGTGGAACGCGCACGTTCGATGCGTTCATAAATAAACGAACGACCGTAAACGTGACATCGCGCCGCCAAAGCCGGAGTGCGAGGCTGCGCCCCGTGGTCCATTCTCGCGGACTGACGACGTTTCGGGCGCCCTCGATTTATTTATCACCCTGACCCAGAAGGAGAAACGTTGCCTCGCGAAAGTCCCCAGCAGGGCCTCTGTCGATTGCTAATCTAATGTTCCCGCTCGTCATAAAAGAAAGCAAAAAGAACAGATTCAGGCAACTAACTAATGGTCTCCACCACGAAGTAGTATAAGGAGATACAACGCCATGTCTTGAAATCGTCCCCACTTTAGTGGTCCAAGATCTTCAGATTTTATCCGACCTAGTGCCGAGAACGCCTCCTCGATGAGATTTTTTTCCAATTAAAAAACGCTTTGCGTACCTTAATTGCAAAATTAAAATCATTTTAGGTCATTTACGTCGATAGGAAATGTTTCAGTCATGTAGGATTGGAGTTCCCTCCTTTTCCGCGAGTAGCGCTCGCGTCGTTAGATCAGCGAAAATCTAAGATCCTGGGTCCGGATTCTGGGGTCACTTTCTGTGGAACCGAACATTGGAGCTATGTCTCCTTATACTACTTCATGGTCTCAATTTGACAAAAGACATGTAGATTCATCGAATTCATTTCTGGGGAACGCTTTTGGGATTCCCTAGCGGGACCGTTAATTTAATCCGAACTCTATAAATTTCTTGGTATCATTCCCCAATGTCGATTGCCGTTCCGCTTTTTCAGGAAATGGTTATTTTCACGATATGACCCGCGTCCTCTCCGCAATGATTGAGAAATTGATGAAAACCGTATGTTTCTATTCGGGACGGATCATCGGGATAGGGAAGTCCCTAGCGCTTGGTGGTGCCGAAGCTATCGGAAGCGGTTGATTGGAACCGCTTCTGGAAGCTGGGCTGCGCCCTTTCGCGCGTCCTGGGGTTTAACAGCTCCAATGGAAGGGCGTTAACTTCGGAGAGGGTTTAATTTCCCATACAGGTGCACCGGCCCCGCTACCAGATACGGAACGGAGCAGGATGTCGATGGGCAGGAGAGTAGTTGAGCAGATTGCTAATAAAGGAAGCTACATACACGCGTCCAGCCATACTGCAGGCTGGTGTAACCGCAACTGTCCATCACTTCGTCAGTCCAGCTAACGTTCAGACATTAAATGGAGCTAGCTGCACTCTGCAAGAAGGGATCCCCCGACCCCTAACGACTCTAACGGCGGTTCCCTAAACTACAAAAGAAGATTAGGAGTTTTCGCTGGACAGGGAGGCCGGGAGCCACTCCACCAGTTTAGGAACGAATTCGGCAAGACTTTTATTCCATGGAAAATATCTGCGTATTTACATCGTTATTGCTAGGTCGGTAGGGCGCTAGAAATTGATGATGCTATAAAGGGGGCCCATCTCGGGCCCCACTAGACTCGCGCGAGTCACTTCACTAGTGTCTAGGGATTTTTCATTGCATGAAACCTCCCGCGACAAGCGTCGAGAGATGATCCGCTCGCTTCGAGCGATCACAGTCACTGGTTCTAGGTCTAGGGATCACTCCTTAACGTCATTGTTTTTCACGCACTCCATCTCCATCGCTGATAGTACGTTGGGAAGTACGGTAACCGAGGGTCGTAATGATTTCGCTTCTAGGGATTTGCAATCCCACAAATGCCATATTTCTATCAGTTCCTTCCGCGGATCAAGATTCCGTAGGTAACAAATGATCCTCATCGGGAATCCGAGGTTGCTTCAATAATAAGCTTCGAGTTCCTAAATCCTGACATCCTGGAAGGGCCCAGGGGATCCGTCTCTTCCGTTTGCAGAGTCGAGGATGATAAGCGGGATCCAAGACTCGAAACTTCCTGCGGACGTTCGACACCCTATAGGGGAAATCCAGTCCAACAATTGTCATGGGATGAAGATACACTAGGTCCTACAACTAGGCTGAGGCGAATCTAGGATTTTTGGGGACCCTTTTGGTGCAAAGTCTGATCACGACTTCCGAGGTCTCCCTTAGTATGGTCGCCAAACGTCGTTTCTTTGTTCGCTTTCCTCCCCTAGGACCCCGATCTCCAGTCTGTTGCTGCTGATGGTCAAGTTCCCACTGGCGATCGTGACCTGCTCGTCGCTCAGGTCGCCATGCAGGTGCAGGTGGATCTGGTTTTGATTGACGGTGCTGTAGAGCTGAGGGTAGAGGACCATAGGAGCTGGGCTGATGTAGTTCTGGCCGGGGTTGTTGTAGTAGCCCTGGTAATTTGGATTATAGTTGTGCGAGGCCACTGGTACTGGGGTTGCTGGTCCAGGAGTCCAGGAACCGTAGTGGTACCCTGGACTTGCGCCTCCACTGCCTCCAGGGTATATCTCTGGGTCCGTGGATTTGATGGGCACCAATGGGATGCTGGATGACCCACCATGGCCTGGATACATGGACACGCAGTTCGGCGTGTAGGCGTCCTGTTGACCCTCCGATGGTAGCACTGCGAACACACGTTACAAGGCTGGATAACTACTATATACAGATATAAATTAAACGACGAATAAAAAAAAAGGAGAAAATTGTTTGCAATTTAGCTAAAGTGGCTACACACGTAACGATTTGTAATCTGTGCAGTTAAATCGAGTTCCGTAGCTTCTATATGTAATCGCGAGAGTTATTGGGCCGTTCCATAGGGTGGCGCATCATTTTTCTTATTGCGGCAAATTTTCCTTGGAGGTAATCGCGTGTTTTAAAAAATAGGACTTTATTCGTATTATATAGAATGCACGAGGTCGGAAACAAGGAGCAGATTCTCGAGTTCATCCGTTCAACTTTCGCACGCGATATCGACAGTTTTGTATAAAACTTTCATAATGTTGACCCATGACACGACTTTGCAACAGTGAAAAATTGGTCATGCGAGTCGAATAGTATGTGGAAAAAATCCGTATAAGCTCCAGAATGGGACCTAGAGCTAAGAGGGAAATAAGAGGCAAAAGAGGCCTAGGTCATGCAGGAAGGGTTAAAGTTTCGATTAAGACATTTTTAGTTGTTTAGTACTGTAGTCATTTTGTTGAACGATTCTGGCTTTCTTACCGGTTGGCAGGGGTACGGGTTCTGTCGTGGGATGATGCGACAATGATTCCCCAGGGTAGGAAAATGCTCCCCCGGGGACGGGGGAATAAGACCCCCCACCGCTTCCTGGAGGTGCTGGATAGGATGGTGCTGTTGCTGGATACGTCCATTCCGTTGTACTCGTGCTGGTGTCTGAAAGAAAATTTACGTCTCGTTGGTCGAGCCTCGCTTCTTCTGGCCTCTGCTCGTTGATCTGCCGGCGGAAAGCTGCAGAGCAGAAACGAGAAAAGCGTTCTTGTAACAATGCCGTTCCAGGAATGTTTGGTTCGTTTGATTTCGGGTACCCCGGGAAATCGGATAGATGGATAAATCGTTGCATGCACTCTAGCCGTTTAGCTGGCCACTTTCCCATGAATGAGTGAAATCAGCGCATTTTGCGACCGGTCGAGAGGAAGTTGGTCAAATTAGGCTGCAAATCGAACTGGAAATTGCGACCACGTTCGGAATCTCGGGATTTTCAAAAGCTTACTTGTGCCGGTAATACCTATTTGGGGGGTTTAAACCTCTTTTTTAGAAGGGATTTTGTTTTACTTCAACCCTTATTTTGAGTTAAGGTGACATGAAAGGGTCATTCTATATATTGGGTTGATGCATAAGTCATTGCGCATTTTTTCAAATATAAAAATGCACGCAGAAATGAAATGTTTTAACATAATGTTATATATTATTTCAAAGAGAAATTTTTGCTCTACGAGACAGTGTTTTAATATTTTTGTTAGATTTAATTGTTGTGCATTTTCAGGCAATTAAAATGGAGGGTCAAGTGGACAAAAATGAGCATTTTCGACACTTTCTTTTGATCGAGTTTAATCGCGGCTCAAATGCTTCCAAAGCGGCTCGTGAAATTTGTGCAATATACGGAGAAGAAGCTATGACCACAAGGACGGCTCAATGGTGGTTTTGGCGCTTTAAAAATGGAAATTTCGACCTCAAAGACACAGCGCTCGCTCCGGACACCGGGTTGAATTTGATGAAGAGCGATTGAACCAGCTTATCCATGAAAACCCGCGACAATCGACCAGAGAACTGCCACAAGAAATGGACTGAAAAATTAAATCTAACAAAAATATTGAAACATTGTCCTGTAGAGCAAAAATTACTCTTCAAAATAACATATAACATTATGTTAAAACATTAAATTTCTGGGCGCATTATTATATTTGAAAAAATGCGCAATGACTCATGCATTAACCCAATATTTAAAACGTCAAAATATTGATAAATCTTCTCCAAATTGGATGCACTGAATAATTTGAAACTTCTCCACGTGATTACGGAGGCTCTAAGGAAGAACGTGGTTCTCACGAAGTGTCAATTTTCACAAAAAAAATATATATATATATTCTTGCTTCTAGTCTGGGATAAATACAATTTTTTTTTATCATAAATGAAATTTTATGAGCATCACGTTCTTCCTTGGGGCTGTATATAGTTACACGCTGAAGTTTCCCTCGATTCAGTGCATCAGTTTACAGAAAAATGTATAAATCTGATGTTTTATATGTATGGAATGACTCTTTCATATCGCCTTAAAGCCTTATTCTCTGTGGTTTTTCCCACTTTTCAGGGAAAATTGATAAACTTTGATGTTTGGAGACAGGTTGGCTTATTAGACTTTTGCGAGTCGATAATAGAGCGCGCGCGCCAATGAGTAATACCGACGGGATTAATTGGCCGCATGAGTCACGCGCCAAGCAGCACAGCACCGACCGGAATCAGCTGTTCTCTTTCCTCGTTTACATGCGAAGCGCGTTTTCCGCGATACGCAACGCCTCCGGGCATTATTAATCCGCGCCCGTCACGGACATTCGGAAAGCCCGAGGAGAAAGTTTAAATCGATACAAAGTGTAAAAGATGACTCTTCGGCATGATCATTTCGGCTGAAGGAATAACCATTGTTCCCGCGCGATTATTGCCAGTCAGGGTGACATTCGTATTAGGGCTTCCGAGGTCGATCAAATATTCATTGAGGGCGGATGAATGTCTCGCGGAAAGTCCGCTGGTATTTCCTACTAACTTCCGGCAAGGATGACAAACTTCAGGGGAATCATTCCTTTCCGCGAATCAATTCGTACTCATACGTCGAATCCCAGACGAGGTGAAACGTCGCGCGAGGCTGCGATACCGAGGAGGTTATCGCATTTCGTAAGAAAGTTTCATAAAGTGTCGTCAAAAGTCGAGATTCATGTCATGGCTGTCGAGATTCCGCGATTCGCGGAAAATAGGATGGGGTCTTCCCGTATAGAGACTCGGACCGCTTAGAGCGCAGCGATTGTACTTGGCGCGGAAATGTTCTCTGGAACGTTTAGCAACGTCCGTTCTTAAATCTACTTTTTCCTTTTTTTTTCCTGTATTCCTAGGAAGTTCTAAGGAGATTGGAGCGCGATGGCGCAATTGCGTCATTCCTGGGAGTCTTATATGCCTTACGTTTTGCGCTCCTTCTCGCGTTTGATGACTCGATGACTTTACGGGGAGTTTTCACTGCGCGGAACCACGACCGCGCGTTAACTGCTGATTGCGGTTGTCCGGCTAAAATTAAACGAACGCCGTCGCCGTGGTCTCGCCGCCATAACATTTTTCGATCTCCCGGAAAGAATCGCCGGCGTTCGGGCGACGCGCCAAGTACATATTGTGCTGTCAGAAAAACAAAGCAGACCTCTCCCTCCGTACTTCGCGGTCTCGAGGGAGAAAATCATTCATAAAATTCCGCAAGTTGCAGCAACCCGAGTCGAGTCGCTTCCTGGGGGAAATTCTCGAGCAGGTGGCGCAACAGACTTCGGGGAACCTAACCTCACTTCGCGTTTCCGGCTGCTCGAGGCCGGATTCTCAAAAGGATCCGGCGAGGGGGATGCTGCTCGAGGGGGCGTTCGTCATTACCAAAATAGCTCCGTATTGCCGCAATTACCGACACGGTGGTGGGAAAACAAAGGCACACCATGGCGCCGCTGGAAACGGACCACCTGTTGGGTAACAGGGATCAAAAGTCCGGGGAGAGGAAGAAGGTGGAACCGAAAGACGGAGTCTCCGTCTCCGGCCGTATTCTTTAGTATTGGACTTTAGGTTTGATGCTACGTGAAGAATTAAGGTGAAGTGAAACACGTCGAGGAACTTGGTCGACGTCGATGAAGAAGATTTTTCTAAATGCCTACGTTGCCGACGTTCGTATTTATATTGAGAGCTGTGTCGAATTATATTGGGTATTGTACCAAATGGCGTACTCAACCTGTCGTTTTCGTACAATAATTATAAAGAAATCGAAGTAGAACTCCAGAAATCCTCTGGATTCATGCTTTCTGAGGCGCTAATTAACTGCAGAGAGATCCCCTGCGCCATCTGCGATTTCCAGGTGAATTAAATTTTCACTCCGAGACCTCGTATTCCCATCGTTTTGGCGTAGAAGCGCATACAACACTTTTTTCGCCTTTATCCCGTTCAAATGCGAGTTTATCGATTACCAGAGTGTTCTAAATTGTCGTAAAATTGTCCTGACCCTTTCGATTCTCACGTCAGAACCTTCGATAATTGTATATTGATCGAAATATGAGAGCTCGACGCCATTTTTGTTCCGGTCTGGGCTGAGTTATAAAATTTTGTTGAGAAATCCAATTTTGAATGTGTTAGGACAATTCTTAGATGATCAGGAGTGATGTGTCAATGTTTCGGACAGTTTGGTCTAATACCCTTAAAAAAAAATGTTGCATTCGAATCGACTGATTTGAAGGGTGTTTCACTTCACCTTAAATAAGTGAATCGGTCTCAGAATGTCAAAATGAGAAATGTATTTAATGCTCCGTAGAATAAACCTTTCGGTATCAGATCGTGGTTGCTAATCAATACGTACTAGGATGTTTTTGACAAAAAACTACATAACATCTTAAGTACGTATGCGCGTGACATGGTCCCTTATGCATTTCCGCTCCCCGGTAATACATACAGTGGGATGATCGTAGCAACTTTAGAGCGATAATTACAACATTTAGGTTAGAGTACCATTGAGTGTCACGCAGAGCTTATCCGTTTATTCCGCGAGATCGGAAAACCAATCGGAACGGCGCTTAACCCGTCCCTTCCGAGGAAATAATGTTTCAGACATGATTTAATTCGCTCTGCGCGTTCTGAAATGCCTTATTACCAGAATATAGCAGCGGACTGCTTAGAAGTATCGTGGGAAATTAATTATGTCTTCCAAATTGAAGAAATGCCTGGATATCCGGCGACCGTGTAAAAATTGGTATGGAAAGACGAAAAATCATGGTATTCATTCTTATATTTTATTTCGTCTTTTAATATTAAATCATATTCGGCGCTATATTTTCAACTGGCTGGTAAGCGGGTGTTTCGGAAGCGTCACAAAAAACGCGTTCCGTGAGGCTGTGTATGGCTCTATGCGCTCGACGCGTCCAGTGTGACGGTTTTGCGCGACTTTGCCGCGGTGTCGCCGTTCCAAGTCCAGTCCGGCCATTTCTACGGTTCTTGTCCAACTGTTGCCAACTGGCGTATATCGTGGTAGTAGGTATTATCCTTTCCGCCTTTCTTGCGACAACAGGACATTGCGGATGCGACTTGCAGGCACGATCAGCGGCGTCCAGTTTTTCGCAAAAGTGCCGAGCATCTCGAATCGAGTCCGGGAACGCTTCGGACGAGTCGCGTCGTTCGGGATCCTAACCTAGCGAACGTACGAGAGATCCCGAGCGGAGCGGCGTTTACTACCGCTCTGCGGGTGTGAAACCACAGTGAGGTTTTGGTGCTTAGTCCCCAACCAGCCATCTACTTAACGAACCGTCCAACGACCGCCGCCATTTGGCCGTAGCGTCCCTCGCTCGCGTCGATCGGCGTCCCGCGTTTCCCTCGGGAGGCGGCGTCCCGGGCCGGCGGGCCCAAGATAGCGAGGTTAGGTCGTAGGGCCCCGGGATTTCGGAACGCCCGGAATTCGGAATCTGGAACGATCCGGGCCGCGTCCAGGGGCCCCGTGGGGCTTCGTTTCCCACCGAGATAGATGCTCGCTCGGTCGTGTAACGTAAGTCGATATTGCGTCTCGATATACCCGATATATCGATATACACCCGGGGCCCGGTGCCGCGAGAGAGAAGTCTTACGCATACGAGAGAGGAAACTCTTGCTCCTCGGCGTGTCCCGACGCGTATCGCTTACCATCAACGATTTCTTCTTATATAAAGTATCCTGTCACGGGGATAGTGTTTCCTACG